CCTAACCCTAACCCTAACCCTAACCCTAACCCTAACCCTAACCCTAACCCTAACCTAACCCTAACCCTAACCCTAACCCTGTCGATTAAAACGTTAGTACACTTCGCATATAGTTTCATCAAAGTTCATCAGAGGAATTGTGTGTCAACCCTTAGCGCCCCCATTGTAGTGTGAGGTATTAACTGTGGTTCATTTACCGCTGTCATCTTGTGATTCGAGATTCGAGGCAAATCTTCTCCCATAAAGCGTCGCTCCCATCCAATTATAGGATCAGGTACAGAATTGTAAGAGGGCGTCTTTAGCAGTCGCTGCCAGCCAGGTCAGGTCGATAGCCCTGTGCACGCACGCCTAGCAAATACAGACACTTTCCCAGATAGCCATGTTCCCGGGGCCTCGAATGGCCGGGCTAATTACTCCGCCATTAATTCTCTACCCGGCCAGCGTTCCTCCCGCACCAACTCGCGTCGACCATTGTGTCGAAGGCATTTGCTCGGAATAGTGCGCTACGACTGTCTATATCATCACTCCTACAGTAGCCACTGGTACAATCTTCCTTGATGAAATGCTCGTCGTCAAACGGGAATACACATGAACATGATCACGTGTCCAGTGTTGCATTTTCCATATCGGTATTGGCTGTCAGCCCCCGCCCCATTTGGTTTCATCATCACCTCTTCTTCATTTCTCATCGCCCCAAGGCATTGGCTAGTTGTTCAACAAGAAGCAAATATGTCGCGGCGCATCTGGGGTCAGGTGGAGGACACCTTCGAGAGTTTCATTCTCGGGAAGAATTTGCTCAATCTTGACCCACCCGAGGGTCCTTCGGTTTGTAGTCCTGGTCACATAACAATATTTCTCAACGACACTACTGACAATGGGAACTAGGACCGTACTGAAAATGACGTAGTCGGCAAAACCTACATCTACGAGACCCTGAAACAAGACCGCAAGGCATTTCGCCTGCTGGAACTCCTCCCAGGATCCCGCCAAGACGATATTGCGTGCACCCTTACGGAGCACTGTTTGGACGACTGCCATGGGAAGTATGACGCGTTAAGTTACGTTTGGGGCGACGCGTCTGTTACTACGCCCATCCAAGTAAACGGAGATACTTTAATGGTCACTACCAACCTGCGGGCTGCGCTTCTGAACTTGCGAAAAATAGACCAACCTTATACCCTTTGGGTTGATGCGGTTTGCATCGATCAGGGCAAGGTATCCGCGGGCAAGACATCAGAGAGGAACCATCAGGTCTCCATCATGGGAGACATCTATCGAAATGCGGCGCGTACTGTTGTGTGGTTCGGAAACGCCCGGCACCCCTTTACAGAGCAAGCATACAGCATGATGGAAGTGTTAGCAACGGAAGCAGAGTCTCGAGAACAAGGCAACGCCGCGAATGGCTCCAACTACTCGCTGCCGTCGTTGCTAAGCGCCGAGCGGATCGAAAGCCCCAATTTTGACCGATTCAAGGACGATGTTAGCATTCTGCATCTCGCGTCTGCCGACTGGTGGCACCGCACCTGGACGGTCCAAGAAGTGCTGCTTGCCTCCGAGGTCGTGGTTGTGACGGGTACTTTTTCCATGAACTGGGAACGCTTCTGCGCTGCCATCGACCACGGTCTCGCCGTCGGCATATGGAACCCTACGTTAGTTGGAATAATCCTCGATCCCATCGTCGTTCCGTATTTGTCGATGAGGGCCCTGCGAAAGCGGATACTCTCGCCCCTTGAAAGCCCAGCCGACCCTCAGCCCACCGCAGCACTCGTGTCCAGGCTCTTCGAGCTCTTGGTCCGGTGTCGCTTCCGACTAGCGTCAGATTCTCGAGACAAGGTCTACGCCCTCCTTGGCATGATCAAGAACGAAGGCCAAGCAGACAACCCGCTCGGGATTGAAGGTGACTACCGCCTCTCTGAGACCGAAGTTTACCGTCACACTGCGCGCCAACTGCTTCTCCAATCCTCCAGTCTCGACCTCCTCGGTGCCAGCACTCCCACGCCAACTCAATCCCACCCCTCCTGGGTCCCGGACTGGAGTAACACCGGTAACGGCCCTTTCCTCCTTATGTACGACGCTCGTGGTGTTATCCGAGAAACCCATGCCAGCCGCCACACCCCTTCTGTCCCCCGTTTCCTCGACCACGCACTCCTCCTCGCGGGCCATGAACACACCCCGGTACTACGCCTTGCCCCGGTTCTTCATCGTCTGCAGCGCCACAGCGAGGACAATCCCATCATTAAACGTGGTGACACCATTGCTGAGCGGCTGTCCGCCCTCGGTCAGGTGTTTTCCTACTTTTCGCACGTTTATTGGGAGCTGTCAGCCGTCATCCCCCATCTCGGAACATTTCGGGACTGGGAGGAACTCGCCAAAGAAGGGAGGAAATCGAGGGTTCGTGCCGGGGGTGTCGCGGTACGGGAACGGGATGGGGAAGACGAACAGGGTGGGTATGATCCGTTGGCCATATATTGGCAGACCTTGTGCACCGGGACCATGGCGGCTGGGGGCGGCAAGACGGAGACGGCCAGGTTGTTTTATGCTTGGCGAGCTAGTCTCAAGTCAATTTTCCGACTGCGGAAATGGCACGCCGATAGTTTATTGCGGCCGTTGGCATTTGTCGGGTACTTGATGAAGACGTGGGGGGAGTACAGCGCATTCGCAGGGTTGCTAGAGCATGTGTATGAACGGCGGCTAGGTCGGGGCGCAGATGGGTCGTTGATGCTGTTGCCGGAACGGACTGAAGTCGGGGATGTGTTGGTCTTGGTGAAAGGGGGCAGGCAGCCCTTGGTGTTGAGACAGGACCCGAACGGCGGGCAGGGAAACTATACGTTCGTCGGCGAAGCCTTTGTTTATGGGTGCATGGACGGGGAGAAATTTGAGGAGGGCAAATGCGCAGATATGAGAATTCGTTGATGGAATGGGACAATGGTTCAGCTCTAGTCTGGCAACATTAGTGGGAAATATGAGGATATTTCTACTGTACTGTAATTACTAGACATTGACATCCCGCAGTAGCAGGCCTAGTAATTAGCTAAGCTGGCCCTCGATGGATCAATAAAGGTATTAATTACCCACAATGCTTTGTTGGAAATCGAGGGCTGCCGAGCACAAGCGAAATTTAACCTTCCTTGAACTGTGGCAATTATAATTAATGGACAAATGCCCTAAGGAAGTCTTACAATGTTAACAACCTTAACGATACCATTTACTGAGGTCGGTCAGTGAAGTCAAGGTGTTTCATAATTTCCGAGACCATTTTGGCCCTCTCGGGATTCCTCTTCAGTACATTAATGAACAGGGAGGAGGGGGTAGTACCACACAGTGGGTGCTTGACGATCATTTTATTTCTCTTCTCTCTTCTCTCTTCTCTCTTCTCTCTTCTCTCTTCTCTCTTCTCTCTTCTCTCTTCTCTCTTCTCTCTTCTCTCTTCTCTCTTCTTCTAACCGCTCTATAGGTAATACTTTACATATTAGACCTAACTTAACGTGTCTTTATATGACATTGGCATCTGGGGTGTCGGCTTCAGCAACAACAACAAATCTTCAGTACGTTGAATTGATTCCTCGTGGACGATCTCCAGGGTTTTCCATCAAGGATTATTGTGAACACATTCTGAATCGTAACTATTATTTACCCAATCTTAAGTATTTGCTTTTGAACTCCGTTGCCCCCCTTTACATCGGCTCAAACCGCCGAATTAGACTCGGCGAGGTCATGGACGGGCTCAACACTCCCAATCGTGGCGTTTTGCTCACCATACGGCGGATCTCCGCGTCGTCGTCTTCCTGCTCGTCCAATTCTGGGCTTGGCAACTTAACGGCTCGGTCCAAGGCAACAGGCAGGTCGCGATGACGGCCACGCAACATGACAAGAATCAAGATAAACTTGCTCCCGCCCCGCCAGTCCCCACTGAAACTGTACGATGCGTGTGGGAGACCGATCGAGATGCCATTGTTGGCATACGCCGAGACAATCTCAAAGAGAATGTTGAACAGGCTGAAGGTAGCGGGGTCCTCCAACGTATGGCCTGTCTCAATGATGGTGATGAGGAACCAGGCCAAGGCAATCCACCAAACATCGTGGGAGAGCTGGCTTCGGACATGCTGAGAGACAAGGTCTTGACTGGTGGGTTGGTGCTCTTCGAGAGATTCCACACTCGCGGTGCTGCTGGTGACCGACGAGTGCGGTGTAGACTGCGTTGTCTGGGGCATGTTGATTCGTTTCCTTTGCGGTTGTCTCGCAACACCGACACCCTGGAAACCGGTCATGCGTCGCTGGAGCTGGCGACCAAGGATGGCTCCTCCTTCGCGACCGAAGCCGACAATCCTGTCAATTCCACCCCGGGACACCTGGGACAGCCGCGAAAGACGCGAGCTGTTAGAGGTCGCCGACATAGGACTCGATGGTAACGGTGTTCGTGCGGACGGCCCTGGTGTGACAAAGAGACCGCCGGCACCCATCGGACCTCGCTTGTCCTTCTTCTCATCATCTTCGTCATCGCTATCTACCGGGTCGTCTCCGGCGTAAATACCCAAGGACCGTTCCTCGTAAACGTTGGAACCACGGACCGTGATCGAGGTCGGGTAGGCCGATGCGTAAACTTTTATCAGCCATAGTACCTGCAGACCGAAATACACGGTCGAGACCGACACGACGGCAAAGCCAGCAGTCAGGTTGGCTAACAAGTTAGTAACACTCTGACGGTTTGGCGTCCATAATGGGTTGGTACTTACAAACAGACTGAAAAAAACCGTCCATGACGCGCGGGCTCGGAGGGATGCTCTCAATCTTCTCGTTTCCGAGATTCAGCAAGAAAAACATGATCCAATCCACGATCACGAAACCGCCCAGCCAAACAGTCAGGGTCCATGTCGGGCGGGCCGGAAACATGCCGATGTACACACGGCGAGGGTAACGCAGGATGAAGTCGAACGTCTCCTTCCACACAGCGTGGTTTTCGTCGTTGGTGGAAAAACGAAGCACTCGGGAGAGTACCCAGGTGATGAACCGCAGGAAAATTGGGGAAGCCTGACTGCCAGCGAGAATGACAAGCGACAGGACGATGAGGACAAAATAGTAACCGGATTGGAATGCCGACATACCGGCATCCAGCAAGGTCAAGCCGCAGCCGCTGAATCCCGAAACCGACATGAAAATGCCAGACCACCATGAATTTTGTTGGTTCACGGCCGAAATCTCGGGAGCGTTTACTGCCAGCCACGACCCAAGCGCCAGAGCGCCGAGAAGCTGCCATAGAACGTAGTACAAGGCGACCGTGATCACCAGCACCTCGACTGCTCGGTATTCCACGCCACCGAGATACTCGCGCTCCGTGAGGGTCAAGTCAAAGAACTCTCCGTTGCGCCCAACGTTTTTCCTCTTCTGTTCGAGGAAGTTTTGGAACTCGAGGCCTCCATCGCCGGCTTCCGTATCGGTGTCTGCTCGGGGTGGTTCCGCAAAAGTGACGCTGCGCGCTCCAGGCGTACGAGCAAGTTGCCCTTCTCGTATTGGCGCGAGCCCCGACTCCATGTCCGGCTCGGGCTCGGGCTCTCGTTTCGGTACAGGGTCTGGTGGTGGCGCTTGGATGGCTGGGATGCGTGTCCCAAGACCAGGAAGCTGGGTCGCATTGCCCTTGGACTTGGATTTGCTGAGTGACTTGAGCCGGGCCAGAGCCAACAGCTCGGAGAAGCCGGCCGTCAATCCCATCGAGGACCCGACCCGCATCTTTCTCTCTCGTTCGGCCTTGACGACGGCCCGAAATCGCTTCTCAAACACGTGCCGTCGGAATAGGAGAGTCCATAACGACATGAGGATTGGATGCCCGAGAAGCATGGAGAGAAAGATCACAATTTGTTGGCCGAGCGACATCTGGCTGACATTGATGGTGTTTAACCCCGTTGACGTGAGTGCGGATGTGCTGAGAAAGAGACTGTCCATAAAACCAATGTTGAGGCTGCTCGGTGACCCACTTCCCCAAAACACAAGGGCGAAAAAGAGCGAAACGAAAATAAAGTAGGCATAATGCACCGTGACGAAGTTGATGGGGGGCAAGTAAGGACTGATCTTTTCCCACCACTCGGCCACACGGCCGTTAGCGTGTCGTTGCCGGAAATCGTCAAACCACTTCATCGTGCAGTATTATCGACGCCAGCAAACGAGACATTCATCGGATTGATTCTAACGTTCTGCCAAGGAGAATGAGAACACTTATGTATCATGACGTCTCATGGAGGCTAGGAGACAGCGCCGCGCACCACGCTCCCAACAGCGGCGTTGCCCTTACTGAGCGGCGCTGCAGCACTGCGCAGCCCCTCTGTGTGCTGGAAATGGGGCAATCCTGCCTCATGACAATCCGTCGGTCATGGGTGTAAGAGCGAGGGTTAGTGACAAAACCCTCGGGATTTTCACCGAACCAGCAAGCGCCGGCGTAGTATGCTGGGCCGCGCCCTCAGTTTATTAGTGCGACTTGCTGGCTGATTCGCCGTCGCTGATGGCCATTTTTGGGCGGACTGTCCCAACTCTGCGGCACAGCGTTTGAAATAATCCGCGCCACGGCGCAATGAGCGAAGGGGGAATGCGGACATGGACTGCACTCACATGATGCTTAATGAATACAAATCGGGGCCCTGAAGCTGCATTCCAATAAAGCCTGCACGAAGATAGCCCGCCCATCAGCTTCATGAGATCGGGGAACAGTTCCATCATCCAACACAGGACAGATCGCGTGAATGACAAAAGTGGGGCACTTTGGATAATTAGAGTATGAATATTATGAGTAGAAACTGCGCACATTCGAAGATGCACGAGGGTGTCAGCAGAAATGGAAATGCGTGATGGGGAAATATAAAGGTACGTAGGCAACAGTGAGGGGACCCAACGAAGGGATGGGGCGACGGCAGAGATTCCAGGTTGCGGCGTAATTATCACCAAGACAGCTTAGACAGGGTTCAAGGCCATGGAACCACCGCAATCAATCGACTCATTCCCTGGTCACGACAAAAAGACTCGCGATAATAATTGATGGCTCAATCAAGCAACCTGACTGGACCTATTAAACGGCCAAAGGAAGTATCGTTTTAGAGCAGCGATATTCCCCTTAATTAGACCAGAAGCGACGGCAGTGTATTAATTTGTTACTACTGAGTTTCCCATCCTCACTGCAAACGTCTTGTGATCGACGCTTGCGACAACTATGAATGCTCTAAATCCCGAGATGATTCGGCAGACGAACCATTCAGTCGTACTTTTCCTCCACCCCCAACGCCTCGGTGTCTAGGGGTTTCCCGTTCCTCCTGCGGCTGCCTCTTCTTTTCTCAGCTTTATCCCAGCAATAATCGCATTCCAGTCCGGATACCTGAAATCCATCTTCACCCCCATCTTCCTCTGTATACGATTCGCCATAACCGCCCCAATCGCTCCTGGGTTACTCATAGTACTTACTTCCTCCCAGTACTCGACATCCGGATCCCAATCCTCGTCCTCGTCCCACCCTGACTGGCACCAATAGCTCACCATCTCCTCCCGGAACATGCATTGTGCAAGATCGACGATCCGCGGCGTCTGTGACTCCTTGTCCACAACCACGTTGCGCGGCGCGCAGTCTTCCATGATGACACCACGTTTGTTAATCTCATACGCCGTATCGACGGCCGACTGGATAATGTGATGCCATGTCCTTAGGTTTGGTGGTGGGGGGCCGAGCATCAGGTCGTCTAGACAATATCCGTCGATCCGTTCCAGAAGGATACCTCTCACTTCAAAGTAGGGCGCTACTTCCTGTGGTATGATGGTCGGGAGCTTGGTGGCCGATAGACTGACATGGGCGCGGATGTGCGGGACCAGCGTACCTTGGTGATCGGCGAGTCGGTAATAGGTCTCGGTCTCGCATTCAAAGTGCTCATAGTCTTGCTAGAGTGCGGCCTCGTACTTGGCGAGACCTTCGGCGCGATCGGGCTCGTCGAGAAACTCCGGGGCTCTGACGGGGAACGTCTCGGTCTCGTTTCTTTCCTTTCGATAGCGGAGGAACGCTGGCATCATTCCCCCTCTGACAAACGCCTCGAACGTTACTTCGTTTTTTCGTGTGTGTGGTGCGGGCTTGTCCTTGCGAACGTCACGCAAGCAGGAACCAAATCAACGGTCATAGAGCTTGAGAACACAGTGGCCAGGCGGGCCCTGAAGGGTCTGGAAAGTGACTTCCAAGACGACGGACATGGTCATGGAAATCACTCTGCTGATGGTGGCGGTAATGCAGGGCGGCAGGTTGGGTGAGTAGCTTTTCCACACTTCGAGATCCAACGGCCCCCCTTCTTGGTAGGGTATAGGACTGTACATGGCATAATTTTTTGCCGAGATCCATCTCCACGCAAGGCTAGGTACCTATCCATTACAAACAACGCACTGGGCAACGCAATACCCACCCGAAGGCCATCCCAGTGCCGACATCATTACCTCAGCAGCCGAGAGAACAATGATGAATAATTACACACAACCAGAGACACCATGCTGAGGACGATATCGTGCCACCTCCAGAATCCCCATGATCCAAGCAAAGCGTATAACGCAATCGAGCAAGTTTGAATCTATGAACAACGACACTAGTACAGCCCGTGATATCGATGCCACCAGTAGGATTCCGTAGGCTCTTTCGATTTTGAATATAGTTCTTGAAATTTCACCCTGAGGACAGATTGTTCGGCTTCCGCGTTTCGCTTTTTTGCCCACTGCATAATCTGCAAGTAGTGATTGTTCCGACCGAAAAGATTCGGTGTCATATCCCAGGGAAAGCTGAGACGGATATACACCCGAGAAACTCCAGAGGTTGCCAACGGCTTTAGGGACCGCACTAGCGTCATCTGGGCATCATGGATGTGGTCAGCGTCGGATCGTGAAATAACTTTGTGGTATACGTCCGGGCTGAACACGCCACGCTTTACTGTCACAAGGCGGATGGTAAGCGCGGCGCCGTTGATCCTATCTCGTAGCCAGTCGATGGTAGCGCGCCAATCCTGAATGGCTGGGTGCTGATCTTGGGGCCAAGTAGACGCGAGATATGGCGGGAAGACGAGCTCAACGAAACGGAGATAGATGAGGCAATGGACTGGAACCACGTCTCGGAGGAATTGCGACGCGGCAAGACGGCGGTATGGATAGTCGCAACTACCAACAGTGGTGGTAGAACCACTCGGGATACCTGGCTCGTTGGCTTGGTCTAATGGCTCCCGAAGCTCCACTGCGTCCGTTTCCACATCCACCTCGGGCTTCGTGAGCGGCAAATACGGCGCTGCCCAAGAGGGGTGGTCCAGGTAGTCGTGCACGACAAACCGATTCCGCGTGAAGAAGATGAACTGGGCGTCCTGACACCATGTGCGACAGATCAAAAATAGCGTCGGTCCTGGCGGAGCCCAACATCTGCACAGTTGCGTAAACGAGGCATGGTAACGACGACAAAAACAGCCGTTGGGGCGAACCGTGTCGTCTGGCTGTTCCCAGCACTGGACGAATGGGCGTAGGTGCAGATTATCGGAGAGTACTTTTCCATGGAAGCGATGCATGACGTATCGCTGGTCCTGCCGACTCCATGTAACTTCTCTGCCGGGAGCTACGAGGTCGGTGCACTCCAAGATACAGATGCGTAGCTCCCGTGGGAGAGCCATAAAGCATAGTTGCGAGGTAGAGTGCGGCAGTGGAAGCTGCACTGCGGCGGACTCGTAACGCGGGAGAGAGAGTCTACACACGTGCAAGGCAGCTTCTCCAGCAATCCTCTGGAGCCCAGGGTCTGGTGCATTACCGAGACGGATTTGGCAATCCCGGAGCTGGGGAAGTAGACGAAGCGGTGTAGTGATGAGCGAAGTAGCTTCAAGTGCCTGGGGGTGACTTGGGTCTATGTCGCAAACTAACCCTAGCGTGAGGCGGCCGGCGGTGATGTGGGAAAGATGTGACGCTGCCAACTGCCATTTGTCAACCAACTCTCGCGCCGCAAACAACCCGTCGCCGTCCTTCTGATGATTTCGGTGATTAATTCCGTGATCGGGCGTCGATGACCGTGTAAGCAACGGTGATTGATGATAGTCGGGGTGCTTGTGAATGCGTGCCATAGATTGTTGCAATCCAGGAAGAGGATTGGGGCCATGCAGGCAGCACTACTAGTACGAGTCGAAGGTATCGCTCTGGTAACAGCAAGCCTCGTTAAGTGTGACGGTGAGGTGTGTCAGCGCCGCTATCGCTGTGGTGGGCAGCGAATGTAGAGGACCAAAGGGGTTTGGGTCGGTAGGGTGATACCGAATATTGAACCGATTGTGAGAGTAAATGAGCGCGGCAACTTCGTTGTAGATGAGGCGACAGGACAGCAGCAGGCCAAGTAGTGACTTTGGCTTGGGATAACCGACGCCGATCATGCCACAGTGGAGGCCAATGTCATATCGGTCATAGTAGCTGCTGCCATGGGGGACTGGGGTGACAAAACGCAGAAACCGATAAACGCGGCCCCGGACAGGCGTAGGAAGACGCAGGAGGGGGGGCAACGCTTCGGCTTCCATGTCTTCCGGCTTTCTAACTTATTTGGTCTGTGCGATGATTAATTTAGGTAGGTTTTCTGTTCTCGATCGCGTTTCGGTTCGATTTTCCAGCCAAGACCCGTACTAGCCACCGGCAAGACGATACATTAGTTTTCTTATCTTGTGGTTAATCAGGATATTCAATTACGTTACCTAAAATATATTTGCTTCGCTGCACTTCGTACAACGAGGAAAACGAACTAAATGCGGGGCAACATTCGCGGCGGTTTGCCATGTTGTAATGAAGTCTGTCTGTCACTGCTGTTGCTGATTCGGGGATTTTCATTGGAGTGGGTCTTTTTTTTCTCCGTCTCTGAATTTTCTTTTAATTAATAACTAATACATTTTCTTTCTCTCTTCTTGCATTCGTATCCTCTTTCCTTCTTTTTTCTTTCGCAGTATCTTTCTTTCTTGTTTCGTTCAGATTAGATTTTTTCTCTATTTCTTCTTTCCCGTTCTCTTTTTCTCTTGGTCTTTCCCATTTTCTTACTTTCTTTCCTTTTCGGATCCTGTTTCTATCTTCCCAAAGGTGCTAAATATGTTGTGCTTTTTAAATCTACATCCGTCGACAACGGTATATCACTTTTGGGGCTTATGGGCACCCGGGGATTGAGAGTAGTTGGCATTGAAGACGAGGTGCATAACATTCCCACAATACTTGAAAGTAAAGGAACATGTCTATTGGCGAGTCTTTCAATAACTACATGAATGGACAAGTGTCCAGCAGACAATAGCAAAGCGTCACAAAAGAAATAAGCCAGGAAAATATCTACGAAAAGAAGAAGACATGAAAATGCAAAGCCAAACAGATATCTAACCACTGTGTGCATCAACCTACAAGCCCCGCTCGCGCAGAACACGGCGCAGCGTCTCGGCAAAGTTGGCGACGTACTCCGGGTTCAGCATGGTGTAGTGGGCTCCCTGGACGTTGTGGAAGCGCACCTCGGTGCGGACAAAGTCCTTCCAGGCTGACAGGCGGGTCTCGATCCAGTCCTGGCGGTTCTTGGCGACGTGGCTGAGCGGGTCGGCGACGAAGATGTCCATAGCATTGACCTTGCCCTCGGGCTCGTAGTCGACGGCGAGCCCCTGCATGTTGCTGGCCAGGCCAACCCAGAGCAGGTAGTACTCCTCGCTGAGGCCAAGCTCATCCCAGCGGGCAGCGTCGGAGTGCTGGCGCAGGTAGCGAATGGCATCGAGACGGCGGCCCTGGCGGTTGAACTCGCACAGCTGGGTCTTGTGGGTGTAGGCAGTGGCCTCGTCCATGAGCCCGACGAAGTAGAAGAGATGGATGACGCACTCATCCCAGAGCAGCTCGCGCATGCGGAACTTGATGTGGGGCGGGAGGTTCCAGCTGCCGCAGTAGGCAACTTCATCACCTTCGGCTTCGAGAAGCTTGCCGATTTCGAAGGCGACCATGCCGCCGAAGGAGTAGCCGGCAATGGCGTAGGGGCCCTGGGGCTGACGCTTCTTGATGGCCGCGCGGTAGGTCTGGAAGACCTCGTCGAGCGAAGAGAAGGGAGTTTCGCCCTCGGCCGCGTTGAAGCCCTTTGCGCGGAAGGCATACACGGGACGGTCGCGGATGCGGTGGGCAAGGTTGACGAAGACCAGCACTTCACCGACGCCAGGGTGGACCAGCCAGAGTGGGGTCTTGGAGCCGTTGGGCTGGAGAGTCACGACGGGGTCATACTCGTGCGGCTTCTTGTCGGCCTCTGATTCGACCTGGGCGCCAGTGATCTTGGCGATGCGAACAGCAAGGCCGCGGATGGTGGGGTTGTTGAGCAGGTCGGTGAGCTTGATGGGATGGGCGTTGAGGGCGGGCAGCTGCTTGTTCATGCGGTGCATGATAGCCACGAGGTCCATGGAGGTGGCGCCTGTAGCAAGCACCGAGTCGTTGACGCCGAAGTCGTCTTCGGCCGTCAGCTCGAGCTGCTGGCGGACGATGTCGAGAATGGCCACCTCGTCGTCAGTCTCGGGCTCAGAGCGCGTGGCCAGGCGGTACCGCTTGATGGCGGCCTCGTTGGTCGACACCTGGTCCGCAAACACGCCCTTCTCGAGCGCAGCCTGGAGCTTCGCCCGCGACAGCTTGCCGAGGGTCGACTTTGGCATGTCCTGCACGCGCAGGGGCACAACGCGGGGCCGCGAGCGGGTGTGCAGGCTCACGACGCGGGCAATATTGCGCTGGGTCTCGAAGCGCGCGGCATCATCCTTTAGGTCAAACGAAGGCAGGTAGAGCACGGCCACAGCCTCTGTGTCCATGCCGGCATCGCGTGTGCCGAAGCAGCAGAAGTAACTGGGCGTGGCGCCCGGGATCTCAGCCTGCTCGAGAGACGCATCCAGCTCGTGGGGCAGGTACTTGACGCCGTTGATGTTGACCATTTCCTTGGTACGGCCGTCGAGGTGTAGGCAGCGGTCGGCGTCGAGGTAGGCCAGATCGCCGGTGCGGAACCATCCATCGGGCGTGAAGGCATCGGCCGTGGCCTGGGGGTTGTTGTGGTACCCCTTGAAGATGACCTCACCGCGAAGCTCAAGGCTACCGCGCTCACCCGTGACCGCCAGACCATTGCCATCAAGACGGCTGACACGCATCTCAATACCCGGCATGCACTGGCCGAGGGAGGCAAACTCGCTCTTGGCCGCGTGGTCCCGGCTAGGGCACTGCACATTGTAGATGCACCCAGCGCAGGTCTCGGTCATGCCAAAGGACGGCTTGAAGACATCGGGCTGGGCACCATACTTGGCCAGAAGAGGCTGCAGGGCAACGCAAACCTCAATGACGTTGGCCTCGCCTCCAGTGTCAAGGAACAGGGTCTCGAGGTTCAGGTCCGCATCGAGGGTGTCGGTCTTGCCGGCTTCGAGCTGACGGCGCAGCTTGGCCAACAGGAAGTTGGGGGCAAAGGTGCGCGAGACACGATGGCGGCTGATGAGGTTGAGCAGGTGCGCCGGGTCGACGAGCACGTTAGCTGCGGGGACCTGGATCTGCGAGATACCCGAGACGATGGCGAAAAGGTGGCAATGCACCAAGTTCGCGACGTGGTCCATGTTGACCCACGACAGGAACGGGCTGCCGGGGAATGGGAGGTTGGCGGCTTCCGACTTGCCGCGGAAGGCCGCAAAGAGCTGTTCGTGCGTCAGAGGGACAGCCTTGGCGTTGCCGCTGCTGCCCGACGTCAACATGAGGGCGACGATGTCCGAGGTAGACGGCTTGAAGGCCCGGCGAACAGCAGACGAAGCGGACTTAGACGCGGGGGCATCAAGCTCAAAGTCCTCAACGGCAATGGTACTGATGCGGTTCTCGCCGGAGTGCTCCTCGAACGGCTCCAGCAAAGCTTGCCGAGTGATGCACAGAGGACCGTTGAAGGTGTTGTACAAGTGGGTGAGATGCTTCTGGCGATCCGCATCGTTCTGGCTGAACATAGCCGGGCTGGTCACGGCTGGGACACCGCCAGCCAAAAGAACCGACCAGTACCAGACGATGGACTCGAGTGCATTGTCAAAGTGCACCAGGACGATGGAGCCCTGCTTGGACACGCCGGTCTGTTGAAGACGAGCCGCATTGGCTTCGGCGGTCTCAAGCAACTCGCGGTACGACACGGTAGTGGCCACAGGGGACTCGCCAGGGGTAGTGGCCGAGTACGACACGATGCCCTCAGTAGTGTGAGCAGCCGTGTGCCGAAGGGCGTCGATGATGTTGTTGAAAGGGTACTCGACCCCTGAAGTCTCAAGGGAGCCCATTGTGTTGATGTTGATGAGAATGGGTTAAAGTGGGGTTGAAAAGGGGCTTGAAGAAGGACTTGGTAAAGTCGCAAGTCGGTAGAAAAGAAGCGGGCAGAAAGGGAATCAGGTCAGGGTTGTCAGCGTTGAAGTCAGTGTTGAAGCCGGTTGTCCAGAGACCCAGAGACCTGTGAGGATGATGTTGTGGGGGTGTTGTGAATGACTTCTGTTGTTGATGGCTGAGGGCCCCTTTTAATGTCGATGCTCGATCATCAAAGTCAACACCACAACTTGGCCTAACATACTGTCCACACTCACGCCCTCATAGTCCTACCTCTCCTACTTCCCCAATACAGACGCCGAGAACTGCTTGCATCCATCCTCCGCCTCCGCCTCGACGGTCTTTGCTCTCCGTCTCTAGACACAGGGCACCGAGTTGGACATCTCAGCCACGGCCTCGCATGAGGTCTGCTCGCCGACATTGGTCTGACCGGACTTGACCACACATGGCATAACCATCCCGAACGCACCAGCCCAGAGCCCAGATAGTGCGTCCCAGCCCGGATCGCAGGTTGCAACTTGCAAGTGTGCTCGCGTCGACTCGCTTGACCGGGTCACACATCTCACCATCCATCTGCACTGCGGGCTGTATGCAGGCACCATGCCAGGAACAGACGAGCGGGTTCGGACTGCAACGGAGCTGACGGCGAGCCTGTGAAGTGAGTGGGTGGATGGGATCAGATCGCCTTGCCTCGTACCCGGCCCCGGTGTGCTATTGCCCTAGTCCAGTGTAGTGTAGGCCCCCTCCTCAGCCTCAGGCCCGCAGCACGCACAATCCTCGCCTAGCATGAGCAAATTGTGGGCAGCCAGCAGACTAGGCAAGCCAGTTGGTCAAAATTGTGGCAAGAGTCAGCCCGCCGCTGGTTTGCTCCGGAGTTGTCTCGCTTCGTTTCTCGCGTAGCTGGCGTACCACAAAAACAACAAAACGGGGAAACGCACGAGGCCGTCTGACAGGAATCGGCGTGCAGCGTCCTGCGGCCACGAACGAACGAGTCGTCCCATCAAAGACCGGCAGATGGCGGCCGCCTTTTCGGGCCCATTCCCGTCAACTTGTTTACCCAACCAGTTAACGTTGATTATGACCTCCTTAACTGGGACTTCCCTAATTGGGATGTTGACAGCCACTTGCGGCCAAAATCAGCCAGTCTGGGGCACCGCCGGACCCCTCTCCGTGTCCCTCCAACCAAACTCGGTAATCTAAGACAAACCCCTCCTCAGGTTTGCTCATGTCAGCGATGCGCGCAGCCTGGGGCAGTTCCTGCGCCTGGTCGGTTGTCCGACCTCGTGCGCCAAACCGACGGGTCTGGGGCTGAACACGGTGTCTCACTGAGTCCTAAATCTGTATGTCTCACTGGACACAACTGCCGGCAACCTCATGGCTCGGACTTTGTCAACAGAAGAACCCATTCCTCCTGATGCAACCTCCGCCGACGTCCGAACTCGTCATAACGCCTCTGCGGCGTGGGCGTGGGTGGCACTTCGTATAGCATCGAATTCTACAACAAGAGACAATGGGAAAAACATTAAAAGACAACGGCATGTATGCTATGCCTCTGATCGTCGTGCGGCGGTGCCAAGCGCTGACCACCTCCGACTCCGCGCCTTGCGTCCCGTGGTTGTGTTTGGCTAACTTGGCTCGCTTGGCCCCCTTGGCACGCGGAGCCCCAACGAGCCTGGCGAAGGATCTGAAAGCCGCAATTCTAGACGAGCAGTGGAAAGATTACCACAGAAGCTGTTGAACAGCTGGTGGGTTCTCGGGTGTTTGTTTAACGACAAAACTTTCGACGGGAGTTGCCGTTAGCTTGTTGTTGTTTTGGTTCACGAATGCATTAGTGCAGTTTATGGACAGAGAAGCCTTGGCGAGGGCCAAGAACTCCGATGGCAAAGAAACTAAATAAAAAAAGGTGCTGACAAGTCAACAGGATGGGTCGCACGACACAGACACGGCAGAATTCGTACTGTGTAAGATCCCAAAAATCAACATGAGAGGTGTCTTCTTGTCCAAAAAATGTCGACGTCGCCCATTGGCCATTTGTCCGTCATTCGCGTGGCATTGTTGCAGTGCTGCTCCTGCGGTCCACCCGTCGCGAATGGCAGGTCGTAAATCGTAAACTGTAATAATTAATTAATTAATTAAGCTGTCCATTGCATCACGGTCCCGATTTCTCATCACTGAATGCAAAAGTCGACCGATCTCGCGGCACAGCATTTTTCTTCTCAACTGCTCCCCGCGCCGATGCGCCACGGGAAAGTTGCTGTCGTCCCAATCCCAAGAGAGCGTGACGATACCCGCCATGGGAAGGATTCGGGGGTTCCGTGACCGAAAGCCAAGTGTTGATTAAGCTTTCCGATGAGCCTTCCACTACACTACAAACAGAGGCAAGGACTGCGAAGAGGCCACACCGGCCGTGGGAGGCTTTTCAGCCGTCGCTCGCTCAGGCACCACGGGCTATTCATCTTTCGTCTTACCGTGACGTGTGTAAGTGTGGCGTGGTGATCCACCTATTAGCTCAAAACCGAAAGCCGCCTTCCCGCACCCTCCCACACAACATGCTGGGCATTTCCGACGCCGCCTCGACCGGCCCGGATCCCCCTCTCGGGGAACCCGCATTTCTGTTTGCTGTCGTACTCACCACACCACCTTTTTTCCTCTTCTGTTGTGTTACCGTCGTTCCCCACTGTTCCTCTTCCTGCCCGCCACCCCCGCCATCCTATCCCAACTTCGCGTCTGCAAGGCGTGGTGTCAAAATATCACACCATGCACCGGGCCGGGTCACTGAAGCACTGGCCTGGATCAGTCTACTAAAATGCGGGAGGGTGGGGTGGAAGGGAGGGCTGTGTACCCCCAGAGGCCCCTGACAGCCAAACGAAACGAAACAGCCTTCCGCTGGGTAACACGGCGAATGTGAGTTCCGTTCGAGAAGCTCACCCCATCCGGCGTAGCGCCATCGTGATCGGCTCAGGGATGCCTGGCTCGGTGTTCGTCGGACCTCTCACACGCGCTCTCTTCGTAACGTGTAGGTGATGGACACCCACACGAGTTGCCATCAATGCCATGCGGCGCACCGGGATAGAGTTCCACCGTGAGCCCAGCAGTTTGGAAAGCAGGAAGGTGGTAGTGATTGGAAATGTAAACTCTGATTGGTCTGTCTGCGGTGTTTTATTCTCCGAGCCCCGGCCAGGAAGTAGGGGGGGAGGAGTCTAATTCTGAAAATCTGAGAATCTGAAATCTGAAATCGGGAACCCACAGGCCCGACGAGAGCTGAAAGAAGAGCCGGAAAGTTACCCGAAAGCTAGCCGAAAGCTATCATGGACACAATGAAACCATACCTAACCCAAACTGAGTTTATCCCGTAACCCTGATCTCGCACGCCGAGTAGACCTCTTCTCCCAGCCGCAATACCAAGCTACCAACCGACGTCTAGAAGTCTTGTGCAGCAAATCACCCCGTACTTGTCCGTGCCTGTCCATGCATCCCACTGTATCTCGCATACTCACCGATGCATGCTTACGCCGACACCTTTTGTGCAGTAGCCGCCGACTGAGACACAGGCGCCTCACTCTTCTTGCTGTTGACAAACTCATCCCGCCAAGCGTCATCCACTAGCTTGGCAATGCGCCGGCAGGCCTCGTCCATGTCAGGCTCGCTGACGAGACTATAGCTCGCACGCAGTTGCGTCGCCTTGCGCAGGTTGGGCAAAAATGCCATGCCCGGAATGGCCAAGATGCGGTTGTCGATCCCCTTTTTGCTCAACAGCTCGAAGCTGTCCGCGCCGGCCGGCAGCAGCAGCTTGATCCAGAAGAACATGCCGGCTGTCGGCACCTCCCAGGTAGCGCGACCCCGGAGATGGCGCTCTGCCGCTGCGGCAAAAGCGTCACGCTTGGCTCGGTAGAACTCGGCGGCCTTGGCGCAGTGTTGGACAAAGCCCGTGTACCCCCAATGCTGGAACAGCGTGAAAGCCAAGACCTGCGTTGTGGACGATGGCTGGAGACTGTGATCGGTGCCAAGTCGTTAGTTATTTTCTCACTCGGGAAGCGAGAATGAAGAATTTTCTGGCCCCGGCGGGCCGGTGTTACGTACTTGACATTTTCCGTGATCTTCACCACTTTTTGCACCGCCGGAACGGGGCCGGTAAGGATGCCCAGGCGCATGCCCGAGCTGACAATCTTGCTGAGCGAGTCGAACCGCATCACCCGCCCCGTCTCGCCGTTGACTTCTTGCTCGAGCGAGAGGTAGCTGCGGGCCCGCTTGCTCGTGTCCTCCTCAAAGTTGAGGAAGTAGTACGCATCGTCTTCAAAAATCATGAAATCAAAGCGCTTGGCGAGTTCCAGGCTAGTGATATTAGTTAGCAGTGAACTGGAATCCGGTCCATTTTTAGTGATGATTTTAAACTTACATTCTTGACTTATTGGCCTCGGTACACGACCGCCCCGTTGGGTTTGACCCCGTCGGAACGGTGTACAGAACTTTGGGCCGGGGGCGATCTTCTGGCCAGTTGGACAACACACGCTCCAAGTCAGATGGGTCGATACCGTCGGCTCCAGATCCGACCTCCACGAGTTCATGGCAATCTGCGCGCAGGAAAGCAGAAACACCGCTAACGAGCGTTAGTAAAATCCAAAAACAATTACTCTCAGTAATAATAAACGTACGGATAAGCGGGACTATGGCGAGTTAGCAAATATTCTTCATGTTTGTGCTATGGCTATGATGTGACTCACGTTTCCAACATCACCGGGTCTCCAGGATCGGTAAAAACCTGGAAGGCCTTATGAATGAGCTCTTGGCTGCCGTTACCGACACAGCACATCCAGTCACCGCCTGTGACGCCGTGGACGGCTTGTTGGAGGCCCTCAAACCACTAAGACATATCGGTTAACTGTGTCACAAGTTTCACATGTTGATGTCTTCTTACCTTAAGCAGGGGCGGATGACCGGCTGGGAGACCATATTGAAGGGCCTCGCTCAGGGCCTTCTGGTCTAGCACCAAGGTCTTTTCCTCAGGGCCATCGAGGGTGACAGAAATCTTAGCGAAGGGAAACGTTTGAGGGTTAGGTTTGCCTGACATGGATCAATATCAGAGGTGCACCTCATGACAACAACAAGTTAAAACAGAGCCAAGACATACCGGCCACCAGAGAGATCATCCCCGGGATGGACTCAAGCGGCAGCAAACTCCGGACTGTACACAGCATCAGCATGATGTCGTGCACCGCGATAGACGGGACACTGACTGGCTCCGGGCTCCCAGCGCTGCACTCGGCGAGAGAACAGCGGTGTCGGATCGACCACCTGGGGCTCGGGATCATATGCCATGGACCCCATTGTTTTGTAGATATGATAGAGTTTGTACGATGGTGAACGCAGACGGATAAGATTAGACAGGTGGACCTTAAACAGGTTGAGCTTGGTGCCTTCGTCGTGCTTTATACAGAGTGCGTGTCCCTACTATGTTGAAATCAACGTGGGAACCATGCTCCAAATCAGTTATCAAAATACCCCGGGATAGCGAGCACTTAAAGGAAACAAAACAATGAAACACTTTCATTTGGCCTCGTGGGTTGACCCCCGGGCGGGCCATGTGGCAGGGCCCGGTCGCCGTCTGGTCCGACCCCAGCCTGGCACTCTCAGCTGCGCCTCACCTCGTCTCAGCCCGCCGAGTGTAGACCTCACACCTTCTTACTTCTTGGTAAAGTTCTTGGCTTCGACAAAACCTAAGTTGACATGTTTTTGCCATATGCGGCGTGTGAGAGATCAGAGTAGCAAATAGCGTGCATGACCGTGGCCGCATCCTCACATGCACGATCCCGTACCCGGGGAAAGCGAAAAAAGATCATCGCGAACATTTCTTGTTCGATCCCACCATCTCCATGTTTGTGGTGCACTCATAATTCATCCTTTCCGCCTCTCACTGCGTGCCGCTTCAACGAGGAGACCAGAAACGAGGCGTTGGTTGGCTGAGTTGCTCGAGACTACCAAAACAACATGCTCATCGTTCTCGAAGCGAGGCGAGTAGCTGCCAAGGCGGCTCTTTCTGTCCGGCGGACAGATGGCGTGATAACTCAAAATGTAAAAGAAACTCAACCACACTCCGTGTACTCACACGGTGCTGCAGATTGATTCGTTTGGTAACAAGCCCAGGGGTGGTTCCCCACGCTGAGGGCTGATCCTGAGGCTCCGAGTCGATGCAGATGTCAACTTAGACTCGCAGCGTTACACTGCCCCATTGAGCCACCCCGGACACAGCAATACGCTATTTTGTTCTAGAGTCCTGGGGTACCGAGACAATCAACCTTGCCTCGGTCATCAAGATGACCCACGGGGGACCATGACTGTGCTCACGGAGAAGAACACGAACATGGCATCCAGTCGACGCTGTCCACCTGGCTGGATGGTGCTAGCGGGACCGGGGTGTAGGGCTGCTAATTCACCCCGGGTCGGGCGTCCGCTGTGCCCCTTTCACCCTGTTTCGGGCCTGGCGCAAGTGGTGTGAACTCAACCAAGCCTTGGCTAAGTGTAAGAATCCAAGGGACGTACTGATCCGTCCGACCCCGTCGGACCACTCGGACCGTCCCAGGGCAGCGGGTTCCTAGATGTACGCGAAACGGTCTCGGGAAGCTAGAGACTCCCCGGTTCGCCGCTGTACGTTGTGTTTTGAAATTTGCCAAATGATTTTTCCTATGCTCGTTGCGGCGGGGCCGGAAGACATGCAAACAACCACTCGCTAGCAACCGACGCCCACACGCGGCAGAAGGAGGATGAGGTGAGTGAGGGCGTATTGCGGAAGCCTAGAAAACCATGGCGATTCATAGGTTCGTTAATTCCAGCACGTACACGGCCTCCCCGAAACACGCGGAAAATGGGGCTTGAAAAGTAGTGAAGGCCAATCGAAGTTGCGTAGCGCCAGTCGCGCGCCTCGAATACGCGACGCAGTCCGACGGGGGAAGAAGAAAATGGTGACCGAATTGTTTTCCTGCATCGCATGGCGAGTGGGAATCTCGTGATAGGGCGAGTATCACAGGTTGCGGGCGACAGCAGGCGACATCGGGGGCTAAGCAATGCCATTGCCGCCTGGTGCGGGGCGAAGGGAGACGATCTACGGGCCTGACGCTGGGCGTTTGCTGGGTGTTTGCTCCCCATTTGCGAGGCGTTTGTTCCGTGTTAATGGGCGTTTCTGGGCCTGGCCAGCCGCTCTTGGCGCCAGGGCCAAACGGGAGGCCCCTTGCGGGGTCCGCCTTTCACCCCACCTGGGTACCCCACCCCTTAGTTAATCGGGGACTGCCCCTCATCAGCTCATCGAGGCATTGAGGTCAATGCATCTGAGCCCAGCACTTGCACCCAACAGCCCACTCCTGCCACGCGCCGGCGAGCAAAAATGAAAATGGGAGGGAAACACATCACTCGCCCACGGCAACCGATGCGAATCTGGTCTCCGGTGAGCACCTGGTCAGATTTTCTCTCCGGCAACACAAAAATATAACGTGCAAACCGCGAGAAGGTACGTCAGCTTTCTCCCCTCCGTGCCATTCCCGCAACTTTCCCCCCTCCTGGAGTTCTTTGTACCTCCGCTTCCCGAACAGCATTAAATCCGCTTCCTCTTCTGCGCGACAAGATGCAAAGATTCTTGGCTCAAGCCTTCTCGCGCGCAACAGCAACCGCTTCTGCAACCACTTCCACATCTGCAACTACCACAGCGAGGTCCGCATTCGCCAAATCCTCCTTCTTTCAGTCACCGACTTCCACCGCTTCCAAAGCCTCTTTCCACACTAGCCAAGCCCGCAACATGAAGGTCGCTCAGGTCACATCGTGGGGTTCTGCCCCCGTCCTTTCCGACGCCCCCGACCTGCCCGCACCCACCGGCTCGCAGGTCCAGGTCAAGGTCGTGGCCGTGGGCGTTCCCCGCGTCGTTCGTGGCCGCGCCCTTGGCGTCCACTCGAGCTCTCGCGGCGCCCCGCTGCCCTTTGACCCCACTGTCGATGGCATCGTCCAGGATGAGGCCTCGGGCGATCTCTTCTACGTCAGTCCCAACAGCGCAGCTCTCTTCGCCGAGCGCGCCAACGTCGAGCGTCACACCCTTGTCCGTCTCGCCCCCGGCGCCGATGCTGTCTCGGTCGCTACCCAAGTCAACCCCGTCGCCAGCAGCTGGATGGCTCTCCGCGTCCGCACATCGGACCCGGACTCGGTCAAGGGCGCTACGGTCCTCGTCTTGGGCGCCACCAGCACCAGCGGCCGTGCCGCGATCGCCATTGCCCGCAGCCTGGGCGCGGCCCGCATTATCGGCACATCCCGCAGCGAAGACAAGCTGGCTGCCGTCCAAGACCTCGACGAGCGCGTCGTCCTGCAAGCGCCATACACGCTCCCGCCTACCCTAGGCCCTGTCCACATCATTCTCGACTTCGTCGGTGGCCAAGCCGCTTCTGGTGTGCTGACCAGCGCCCAGATCGAGCCCGGCAAAGAACTCCAATACATCCACGTTGGTGATCTCGCCGGTGAGGAGACCATTGCCGTACCCGGCCGTCTTCTCAACGCCCGGCCTGTCCGCATCACTGGCTCTGGGATGGGTGCCTGGGGTAAGCAAGAGATTAAGAAGGAGATCAACGGTCTGCTTGGTGCTATTACGAAGCTGCCGCGGCCAGAGGACCTGCTTATCGCCAAGTTCTCTGATATTGAGTCCGTTTGGGACACCGAGGAGGCTCAGACCAAGCGTCTAGTCCTGGTTTGGTAGAGAGGGCGGAGGAACCCGAACATTGGGGATGGGACCACATGTAATTTAGCCTAGTCAGGGATGCTGAGACGTCGCCGAATCAAATTCATGTTTTATTTTGAGTTTCTGAGAGAGTACTTGTGCATCATTCTTGTGCTTTGACTGTTCACGATGTCACGATTGGTCGATGTCCGCTCATCGCGAGAGTGGCCAGGCCTTGCGGTGACTAACTAAGGGACTTCAAGTTCCAAGCGTCTTGGCGGTCCTGCGTTGAAGGATTAGCTACCGCTAAGGGAAGGGTCACAGTTCAACAGTTGGGTGAAAGCGCCGGCTGTCTTTGACAGCGTAGAGTACTCTGAAGCTCTCCCTGGCTTCGACGGATTTACTTCACTCCGTCCACAGGCGTACCGGGTCATCCCATTCCTTCCAGCCGCTCTGGGCCGACACGCTCCTGCGGTTTCGAATTGCGGTCCGGCCGCTTATTCAGCGGGTCGGTTGGTGGTTGAAATAAAGCGCTGATTAAGCGGGATCGGAGACTTTCCGCTTAATCAGCGGCTGTAGTCCAAGATCGACGCAAGGATGCCCCCAGGGTGTATTACTAGGAACACCCCAGGTTAAATACACCCCACCCCTACATTCCGACAGCTGTCACAGCTGGCAGGTGATGTTAGCTAACAACTTGTCTTGTCGCCCTGGATATCTTTACCAAGCCACGGTGGTGCTGAGACCATAAGCCCTTATTACTGCACGCCCACCATAGTTCTCTGCCGGCGATCAGAAGACCTCCTCGGCCGCTGACATAGAACGAACTTCGCCGTTGAAGACAGAAACCGGGGCTTGGCACGCGACTCGGGGGGTATTGTCGGGGGTCGAGACGCTGGGTTGTCTCCGGGGATTTGTTGTTGGTTGTTGTGTTAGCTCCGAAAGATACAGAACAAAAGTCCGGGTTATGGGATCTCTCAAATAAATAATGGCTTTGCAAGATTCCAACTGGGATTGCGAAATCAGACAGTTCCGACATTGTGTAATTCTTGATTCTCAAGCGACTCTCCACTCACCTTACATCCGCTGGTTACTCCAGTCTCTCCACTATGACTGCTGTTGTCGACGCCTTCATCTCCAAGCCGGAGCCGGCCCCTGAGGTCGTCCCGGTGAAGAAGACACCCCATGAGTTCTGGTCGGACTATCTTTGTTCCATCATCGAGCCGTTGATGCAGGCTTCGGGAGGTTACACTCGCGAGCAACAAGCCAAGCATCTGCAATTCCTCACCGACCATGTCGCTCCCACTCTTGGCCCCCTCCCTTCAGAGCCACGAGCGACATACACGCAGACCTACGTCGACTCGCCCTTTGAACCCAGCCTCAACCTCACTTCGTCCGGCAAAGTTAAGGTTCGATATGGGCTTGAGGTTGTCAAGCCGCCCGGAGGTGCTGATGGCCCGGACCCGTTCGGCGAGAAACGCGCACGAGAGGTTCTACTCCAGTTTGCCAAGGTTTCCGGCGCTGATACCAAGTGGCTCTCCAGCGCCATGGACCAGTTCTTTTTGACGCCCGAAGAGACCGAGGACATGCGGCATAAGCTACCGACGTTTATGCCTAGCAGTCTGCTGGCGTTTGACCTCGATGCTACCAAGACCATGATGAAGGTGTACATTATTGCCATGCGGAAAGCCATTGCCTCAGGCAGCCCATCAAGCAACTTGTTCACCCTGCAAGCTCTACGCAGGCTGGAGCCCTGGGGGGAGAAGTTGGGCCCCGGTCTAGATGTTATCGCCGAGTGAGTGATATTTCCCCCTTTTTAATATCGATTATCTAAACTGACCTGAACAGCTACATCTCCAACGTCAAGTATAACGTCATGATCATCTTTGTGGGCATCGACTGCGTCGACCCAACCCAAAACAACGGTGCCCGCATCAAGGTGTACATGCACACCACTAGCAACTCCTTCGCCGTTGCCAGTGATGTCATGACCCTCGGCGGCCGCCTCACTGATGAGACTTCGCTCAAGCGCGTCGAGATACTGCGCTCGCTCTGGCCACTCCTCCGCAACGAGAAACCGGGTGAAGGCCCGGACCCCGTTGCTGAACCGGAGGCTTGGGAAACCTGGGAGAAGCCTGAGCGCATTACCGGGACTCCGCTATCGGGTCTGCAGTACAACGTTGAGTTGAACCCGAGCAAGCCCGGGCTAGAAATGAAGTCCTATGTCCCGCTGTTCCAGCACAACGCTACGGCCAAGGAGTCAGAAGAGAGCATGGAGAAAATCCTCACCAAGCTCGACCATGAATGGGGTATCTACGGCAAGTACAGTCTGGCCGTGAGGGCTGCCTAGTAAGTGACCTCCTTTTCCGGTACATTCTGAATTGATACCGGGGCAAGACTAACGCCTCAATAGTGGCAAGGACCGCGTCTCGCCGACCTTTGTCTCCTTTTCTTACTCCAAAAGCAAGGGTCCGTACATGTCGTCGTATGTGCCAGGCGTGCTGGATGTTGGTGCTGAGATGAAGTCGGGCAACTGGAAGTACTCTTAGAGGGACGGTTTATAAGTTGGGGTCACGAATATGAAGTTGTAGTGATACGGTTACAATATTAGACTTCTCTACCGTCTTTAGCAATATGACTTCCCCGTTACCACTTTTCATTAGAGTTTGCTCTCCTTACACCAATTATGGCTTGCCGATAATTTGAAAGACTAACGAATCACATTTCCGTAGACTCAATTAATTATTACCACCTCACATTCTTATAAAGGTCCAAAAAGGTCGTCAACAGTATTCTTTTTCATCTCAATCCTTCCCACTATAACTACTTGTGGGGCAGTCACTTCGCAAGGTTCTACATTCGTCGTTGCATATTACCTGGTACTTTGTCCGACCCTAAAATCACCTGTACCTGCATCTACGAGTCTGACAGATTTGACTGACACATAAAATGTACGGATACTTTTTCACGGGTCAGCTTTGCACACCCAGAGCTATGGTGTGCTAGTCACGAAGAAAAGCCTGCCGGGACTAAAAGCTGTGCCACCAACGCCCCAAAGCCACGAGGGATAAGTCGCTTCCAGCCGCGTTGCGTCGGGCTTCAGCTCCTTTGTACACCCACACTTTTTTTTCATCGCCCCGGGGCGGCATGTGCTTTGCCCTGGATCACCACCAATCTTTCTGCATTCCGATCATTTCCCTCCATGTGGGCGGATGGCACTATGTAGGAAGGCATCCTACGGCGGACACGTCTAACAGGCGGGCGAATCAAATGCTAACGCACGGAGCCCATGAATGCTCATCATGATGCAGATGAACGCAAATTAATTTGTCCCTTTTTGTTCCCACAATACCTAAGGGCTGCGTGACGAATTTGCGAAAAGAACATGCACTCTTTTTCGGCCCCAGCATTCTTCCATATGGTTGTCAGCCTTCGTCGGATCCTGCTCGGAACGCTGTCAGCGGAAGGATTGCAGTACCATCCCGCTCATTGGGTCCATTCCAGCCACCACGGCCTCTGGGATATGTCAGCAATTGCTTGCGATCAAAATGGGACAACGCCACCTTGGAGGGCATGGAGGAGGCGCTGAGGCAGTCGGGCATCCCGACAAGCTCAGGAACAAGCCATGCAATGTAGCCAGCCATGTAGCTACTGGGTAAGGTTGTTTCCCCGGATAGGAAGCTCATGTGGTAGTACGAACAGGCGGCCGCAACTTCGCCCTTGCAAATATTGGACACGGGCAGAAATGCGTGTCAACGTGCCTCTTAGCCACAGGTTCGGGGATCATTTACGGGTAGGAAGCTGGTTGCGCTCGACCGGCGGTTGCGACCGGAAAGATGTTGAGGATGGAAGATGGTGTGGACGCTGTGGTAGTATAATTAAGGCCTGAAATGTCTCTCATTGTAATTATGTGACACCAGCCCCTGGATCAGCAGCTTTTTTCTTGCCCGCATGCGCGTCCCTCCGTCATCATGCACGTCACTACTCTTCTCGTCGTTGCTTCATTCGCCCTCGGTGCGCTCGCCAAAGGCAAGCAGTCATGTGGTTGCGGAAATGCAGCACTGGAACACTGCTTGACCACTAAGGGCGTCCCCTTCAAGGTCAAATGTGATTCCGATTGGGCAGACTACAGCACGACCATGAACCTTCGACTACCAATTACCCCTGCTGCCATTACCGTCCCACGCGACAACAAGGATGTCTCGCACGCTGTTGTGTGTGCAAGCCAACATGGACTCAAGGTCCAGGCCAAGTCTGGCGGTCGTATGTTCTTCCCTGCCTTTCAATCTAGATTCTGGAACCCCGAGCATTAATGTATTTCGACAGATTCATATGGGTCATACAGCTCTGGCGGTATTGACGGCCAAGTTGTTGTGGATCTTCGCCACTTCAACAAAACAACCTTAACACGGGACAATATTGCTGTCGTCGGCGGCGGAGTTCTCCTAGGCCCATTGGCCACGGCCTTGTACAAGCAAGGAAAACGGGCTGTGTCTCATGGAGTTTGCGGGGGGGTTGGCATTGGCGGCCACGCAACCCACGGCGGTTGGGGCTTTACCTCACGGGCATGGGGTCTTACACTTGACCACATCGTTGAACTGCACGTCGTGTTGGCCAATGGCACAGAGACTCGCGCCAGCCCAAGGGTAAACCCGGATTTGTTTTGGGTAAGTGATAACATTCCCCTTCGCCCTTTCACGAAAACGGGAAGTTAACATCTTGCAGGCTCTCCGTGGAGGTGCAGACAGTATTGGGATTGTCACCAGCTTTTCGTTGCGGACACATCCAGCCCCTGAAGAGGTTGTCAACTTCAACTACCAGATTGGAGCTGCCACAGAGACCGTCAATCAAGGCGTCGACATTTTCACAAAACTCCAAAGTTTTATCAGCAATGCCACAGTGGTTGACCGCCGTACGTCCTTTGCGCTGCAGACGCATGTGAACCCAGACCCGGCTACTGGCGCCTACAGCAAGATGTTCATAGTGACTGGGACATTTCTCGGGAGCCTCGCTGAATACAACAAGTCCATTGAGCCAGAGATGTTCCGTGGCATCCCAGCTCCCACCCTCCACGATGTCCAATCGTTTGACTGGCTTACTTCGCTGGCCCATCTCAGCCCTGACGGCAGCTTGGCGGGCGGTCCGCTTAACCTCGCTTTCTTCGCCAACAGTGTCACCGTCGACGACCCAGGCATCAATGAAGAGGCCCTCAAAAACTACTTCACTTACATACTAGAGGGACCCCCTCCGCCGGTACCGTACCTGTCCAGCGTGGAGCTGTGGGGAGGCGCCGACGGACAGATCAATCTGGCGGATAAGAACGACACCTTCGCCGCGTTTCCCCATCGCAACATCTTTTGGACCGCAAACAACCAAGCTGGGGCCCCGAACTTCCCCTTCCCTAGCGAGGGAGTACCGTTTCTGAACGGCCTCCGCGATGCTCTTCTTGATGGGCTTACCGTGCCCTCCGCTGGGTACCAGAACTTGCTGGACGTGACGCTGACTCGTGAAGAGGCGCACGCTTTGTATTACGGAGATGTTGTTTTGGAGAGGTTGCAGCGTGTGAAGGCCGCATATGACCCAAAGAATATCTTTTGGAACCCGCAATCAGTGTAACCAGAGATCCACGTAGCTTCTCTCGTTTGGGTGTATAGTCGCAGTTCTTAGACATGCCTAAATAGGGAATTAACTTAATTAAACTTCGTAGCAGTGCTAAATCTTGGACACCAAAATGGATTTAGTTATGGCTTGTTAACTGACCTTGATCATCCTGCCGACTTCATTTTCATGCCTTAACCCCCAATCAGTATTTCTTTGTTTCGAACCTAAATTGTTAGAGATCTGATTTTACGGTACATACCTGGTTCTTTTCGTTGTAATTATAATGACGTTACGACAAACAAATAGCCAAACCATTGTCCTCCGTTTCCTTGCACCCCCGGAAATATTAATGGATTAATTGAAACCTGTAAACACGGTCATCTCGAACAGACAGACACTAACAGATCAGCAGTCCGGGATGCTGGATATTAGACTCAATTAGGTGGATGAGTAAATTTTACAGCTGCTCACAAACACCATGACCCACTCATCATAACCATGAACCTCTATCCCATCCCCTTCCCAAATACAAAAGCGCCACATATGAACCGTGTCATGCTATCTACCTTACAAAGAAGAGGGGAGTGTAAATGAAAGAAATTAGATGAACCGTTCCAGCGAGGACCTCGACCATTCGATCCACCAACACACGATAAAGGCAAAGGAAACCTACGCAGTGCGTTACCCATTCCCCGGCACAGTTCGCGGATCCCCCACCGTCCCACGACACCAACGATACCCACTACTCCGCCTTCTTCGATGTCTTGGTCCGCAACTTCATGAACAAGAACACCAGCGCGTATGAGCTGAGCGCGAAAATCACCACAATACCAGCATCGCGCCAGCCATAGTAGTAGTCCTCTAGGTTCAGTGCCTTGAGGTACACACTCCCGTTGCGGTACGGGCAAACTTGGCATTCGGTGGTAGCATTGGGGTTAAGGAGTCTCGCGCCGTGGCCCATGCCGTGCATGTACTCGGCAAGGTACTGGCCACAGGTGTCATTGCCAGGTGGGCTGAACACGGCCAACTCGCCCGACGTGCACGTAACTTCGGTGCCGAAGATGGTAAACACCAAAATGCTGCCCATGAGGTAGTTGAATGGGTTGAGCCAGTACAGCCAGTAGCGCCAAAACGCCGGGATTTGGGTGTACGGAACGAGGACACCGCAAAACGAGATCAGGATTCCGATGACCACCGGGTTGACGAGGGCAGCGAACAGTTCACTGGGTGCGTAGGCCGCCTCGAACTGGCCGATACCAGTGTAAACCAACTCGAACAGGAGCATGACGAAGAAGGTCGAACCCGCTCGACTGGACTCGTGCGGGAACCCGACGGTGTAGTACCAGCAGGAGAAGTAGAGCACGGCGCAGAGCACAAGGTACGGAAGTTCCGACACGATGAGCCCTGTGACAAAGGCCACCCACGAGTACATCTTGGACTTCTTCTCGCGCGTCTCAAAGATGTTGCGTCGTTGGATGAAAAGCGGTTGCATGTGATTGATGATGCCGGGCGCCACGAAGATAAAGTTGAAAACGGTGAAAAGGCGCATCTGGAGGTCATTGACCGAGTGGCCAATCTGCCAGAACGAGAAGCCATTGAAGAGCGCCGCGACCGCGTGGAGGGCCACCTTATTGTTGATATAGTCCACGTCACGGTACAGTGAGATGCTAGTCCGCTTGGTCACTAGCTTCAGCTGTTCCCAGAGCGTCGTCGCAAACTCGTGTCCGTCATCAGTTGTCTTGGGCGGGCTGGCCGCTGCAGTCGCGATGAGGTGGTCGAGCTCCCGGGTCACAGCCGCATGTTCCGGCGATGCAAGCCACACCTGGCTCCAGTCCTTGCCCTGCGACAGATTGCCGGACACGACGTCGATCATATGCTCAGCCAAGTTGGTTTCCTCAGGGCAAGGCGCACCGTAGCGGTCAAAGTAACCCTTAACCGTCCGGCCACCTTCACCAATGTCGCCAAAGTAGACCGTCTTGCCACCAGAAGCCAGCAGCAGAAGAGTGTCGAAGGCGGAAAATACTTGGGCCGACGGCTGGTGAATCGTGACGAGGACGGCCTGACCAACATCCGCAAGTTTGCGAAGGAATCGTACCGTGTTGTAAGCGGACTGGCCATCGAGACCCGAGGTAGGCTCGTCGAGGAAGATGAGAATGCTGGGCTTCGCAACAAGTTCCACGCCAATCGTCACACGCTTGCGCTGCTCAATCGTCAAACCCGCGCCAGGTTTCCCAATCAAGGTGTCGGCGAGGTCGTGCAACTCAAGAAGGTCGATGATTGTGTCGACGTACTTGAGCTTTTCCGCCCTCGGGACATCGCGGCGCTGGCGGAGGAGCGCAGAGAATTCGAGAGCCTCGCGAACTGTCGCCAGCGGCTCGTGCACGTCCAGCTGCTCGCAGTAACCAGCAGAGCGCTGGAAGGAAATCGGAAGCGGCCGGCCATCAACCAAGATCGAGCCACGAATCGTCCCTTCGGTCTTGCGCTGAGCGAGAACATCTAGAAGCGTCGTCTTGCCAGCGCCGGAGGAGCCCATGAGAGCACCAAGCATGCCTGGCTTGACCCAGCCTTGGACGTTATCCAAGAGAAGCCGGTCACCCTCACTGGTCTTCACGGTGTAGGACAAGTTCTTCCAGGTAAAGATGGACGTGTTCTTAATGAGGACCTGCTCGGTAGCCTCGTCGGCGTTCGCAGTGACGTGGATGTGGTTGCCAGGGGATTTCTCATTGATCCCGACCTCCTCATCGCGCCCAGCGGGCAGAGCACGCTTGGCATGTTCACGCGGGATCAGAAGCGTCGATCCGGCTTCCGAGGCGGCGCGCCATCGCATGGTCGAGACGACGGTAATGATGACGAAAAGTGCCCAGAAGGCCACGAGGATTCCCAAGTTTCTCCAGATATGGAAGCGGCTGTAAGTCAACACACTGAGGTACTGGTCTCCAGTAAGCCACGCTTGGCCTTGGGTCGCGCCGGTGACGCCAGCGCATGACTGGTGGGCAGAGTCAAAGTATCCGGGGCCGTTGGGGACCAGGCTGTTGCCGTCGCATTGGATGACCTTGCCGTGGAACTCATTGGATAACAGGGCGTCAAAAGCGTACGCAACCGGGTTGATCCAAAAGATCCACACGAACCAAGGGTGCATCTGCGGCTTCTGAATCATGTACCCGGTGTACAACATCGTTGACAGGATGGAAAGACCGGCGACCTTGGCAGCACCGTCAAACTTGGAGAAGGCCGCTCCGATGGCACGGAAGAGAGCGGTCATGCACTAGGCAAGTTAGCAAAGTCGGTCGGAGAGAACCATAAGCAATGGGAATGACCGGACTCACCATCGTGGTAGCCACCAGAATGACCCAGTATGTAAAGAAGGCGGAAGCGGTTGCGGTAAACCCGACCATAAAGTACAAGATGACGCCAAATACCGAGACCTGGAACAGGATAAGGGGAATATCGGCCGTGATCTGGGCGATGCAAAAGGCACCCGGATGGTACAGGCCAAAGAGTTTGTGCTTGACAAGAATGGGCCGCCCGTTGAATGAGCTGGTTACCTCGGTCATGGATAGCAGGGCGTTGTACAGGAGAGAAAAGAAGAGGGCACCGCTCTTGACGAACAGGCCGCTGGAGCTTTCTGGTGCGTTGTAAAACAGCGAGCCCATGATGAGGGCCTGCATCATGGTAAAGACCTGCTTGACGATGAAGGTGGCTTTGTCGCCCCAGACAATTTGATACTGACGGAGGACGCAAGCCTTGACCTGCATCGAGAAGCTGACCGTCAGGGAACTGTTGCTGGGTAGTTGCTTGTGTTTGTCGGCCGCGACGGCCTCTCGGAAGATCCGCGTGTTGGCGCGAGCGTCTTTAGTGGCCGGGTATGTGTATTCGGTCTGCATGACTTGGTAGATGGACGAGTTCTCGTAGGCGGCTTTGAGGGCTTCAGGGGTCCGCGGAAAGGTCATCTCATAACCCGGTCGAATCCTACGCTCGGTCGGTACGGTCACACCGGTCAAGAAGTCACCCACGTTGGCGCCATCGGGGCAGATGAACCCGAGGTCTTCCATGAACGGGCGAGCCTCTTTAGCAGGGCCGTAGTAGATCTGTTTCCCACCATCAAGCACCAATACCTTGTCGAAGAGATTGTAGATGCCGTTGCCGGCCTGGTAGAGGGTTGCGATGGATGCCAGGCCGAGGACATCGGTCATGGCCCGGACTGCTTTGGCCCACTCGAGGGCACTACATATGTTAGCTTGCTTGGATAAACTTTCAGGGAAGGGGAGGGTCACATACTTGCTAGCATCGAGGCCCCGAGTGCTGTTGTCCCAACAAAATACCGACCCACGTGTGGCCATGCACTCTACAATTGACACACGCTTCCGTTCACCACCCGACACACCACGGATGAACTCATTACCAAGCTTGGTTGAGTGTGTGTGGCTGATCCCCATGGAGTCGAGGAAGAAGTCGCGGGTCTCTTTGCGCAAAGCCTCGCGAGTAGTAGCGTCTTGCGTGGGGTTGTTGAACGGGACCTTGAGGCGTGTGGCAAAGTCCATGGTCTGGTCAACCGTCAACGAGGGGAAGAACAGTTCTTCCTCGGTGTTCATGACGATTTGGCCGCGGTATTGCTCCGCGTCGACTGCGGGCATGGAGCCGTAGTGAACGTCTCCATCGACACTCTGGTAGCCCCGACGGCGGTTGGCGAGCACGCTGAGAAGTGTGGTGCAGCCAGACCCCGGTCGGCCGAGGACCAGCAACATCTCGCCGGGTTTGACACAGCCATGGCTGTCGTCAAGGATTGTCTTCAGTGGCGGTTTGGCGCGTGAGTCACGAGCTTTCTGTGCAAAGTTGTACTGGGAAGTAAAGTTGTCGTGGATGGTGGCGTCTGCGGCCACAGCTGTGACTGTAAGATCCGTCCAGGTAATCCCCAGACGGCGCGGGCGGACGTCGGGACCGAGCCGGTCTTCCTTAGGCTGCACGGTCCACGGCACCTCGTGCTCTGACGCAGTCACGCTTCCTGCTGAGCCCGGCATGTTGGGCAAGCAGGTAGGCAGGTAGGCAGGCAGGAGGAGACTGCGGGGGTGAGACAACACAGGTGCGGCTGGTGGTGAGATCGACGTCCGGTAGCACGCTTTCGTAATGTTCGGGAGGATCGAAGAGCTGAGTCTCACTGAGTCTCACTGGAAGCGCGCAGCTGAGCACCCAGTCGGAGTTATGCGCGGCCTAGGAGGATTTGGGCTTTGAATGCGAACAGCCCAATGCCTTCAAATTTTAGAGTAATGGATTGGTCGGATTACTGGATCGACTTGCTGACCCTAAAGGCTGCTGCGGGTTGTGGTGCAAGTGAAAGGCTGAATGTAAAGTCCTATGGCGGGGTGTGTGTTTGGCGAGTTTGGTATGGCGGAAGAAGCCAAGAGGCAAGAGCCGGGCAGCTTGGCAAGCGGGAGGATCTGGGCGCGCGAGGAGTGCACGACTTGCAGAGTGCAGACGGCCCGAGGGGGCAGAGGCTTACGGATGGCATTGCGAAGGAAAGCAACTGCGAGAGTTCGGGGGACGCGATGTGGTATTTTATTGCGCGGGCTTGTTGCCTCTCTCCGAACGACTTTGTCCGACGGAAAGGAATGAGTTGTGTGTCGAAGTAACGACCGAGCCGTTTGTTCTGCAGCTGGGCGCCGCTGACCTAATCAACGGCCTGTCCAGGGTGTGCATGCAGAGCGGATGTGGGGTGGGTGTGCGCTTGCGTGGCCTGCATGATTGGCCGGAGGCGCGGCTGCCGCTTTGGGCGTTGTTTGCTCTTTCGCCGCTGACTAACCAAGCCTCATCTGGCGCAGCACGCGCCGGCTGCAGGCGCAGCGTGACACGTTTTCAGCCAAAAACGCAGGTCGCAACTGTTGATCAAGGGGAGCAAATTCCATCTCCCAGTCATATCAGGCGGCCCCCGCGGACCCCTCCAACCCACTCCCAACGGCCCAACTCAGAAATTAGTGAACTACATACCGCCGTACCCGACCAGAGTCACCAGCTGCCAGCACAAAGCACCCAGTAGTGCCAGCACCCGGACTTAACATATCGATTTTTGTGCAAAGCCGACCGAGACACGGTCGCAGCGACGCAAGGGCAAGGATGAGGAAAAGGGCCTGCGACTCGTGCTATCAACGCAAGGTATGTTCCCTCCCTTATTTCTGCCACATTTTTTTCAAAGAAAAGTGGTCGCTATCGCTGCAATCAGTGCATTTTCCGTTGAAATCAGTCGCTCTGCAGCGACAAAGTCTCGGTTTCCGCGTCTTATCACAATTTTGCTGCATCTTAGTACATACAACGTTCCTACTCGGTCACTAACCATGGCCCCAGATTCAATGCGATGCTGCCAGTCCCCGATGTGACTGGTGCAGGCACCATGACCTGCCCTGCACCTTCAACCGCCCCATTTCTACTCGCAGGCGGGGCAAAGCCAAAAAGTGCGTTGGTTAATTTATGATAGACGTGTCGATGCCTTAACTGCCTCGTCTGCCGCGCACCACGGCATCACCAGTTCAACACTGATGTCCTAGTCGCTAACGGCCGCGTCAGGTCTCTCCTTGCAGAGCGGGCTCAAGCTGCCACCGACGCTGTTGGTGGACCCATGGAACCTACCCGAGCACCTGCCATTTCTAGAGAGGTCGAAGAACGGTTGCAACCCGGCTTGGAGCTCATCGAAGGGTCCCCTACTGCCGACCCCATGGACCTCAGTGAGACCTTTGGAGACTTGTCCCCCACCAGAAACTCGCCCTCCCTCAGGGGTACCCACCCGGTTACAGGAGGAGCCCTAGGCGGTTCCTTTTCCGAGTCTACGCGGCCGATGCTTGTTTTCGACAACATACCTTCACCGCTGCCGGACCAACCAATCAACTGGGCGGCCCCATTCACCCCTTCCTCTGCGGCCGACACCACCAGCACCACGACGTATGGTACGCCCGACACCAGCAGCCTAGTGACTTCGCCCAGCTATCAGCTGTCGGACCACTTCGTGGACTCCCCTATCCGGGCCGAGTCCCCAGCGGCCGCACAGGGCCCCGTTTTCGGAAAGCTTCACTTTGCCGGCCGTCACCTTGGTGACATCAGTACCCATAACGGCATTCCGTTTCTCTCTGCTGAAGGTCAAAAATGGGTAGCAACCCGCACCGGCGACAACTCTCCATTCCAAGCCTTGGCCGGACCACCGTCGGCTCGGGCTCGACACGCTCTTCACCCGGCATTTTTCTGCGCCAGTACCGCGCATCTGTCTGGGCGCATGGAACTACCGGAACGCCATGTTGTGGAAGAATGCCTCGAGATGTTTGCCAATAATCCTTTCAAGCGCATCTGGCCGGCTATCGATGCAGAGCTGTTCCGCCAGACCATCCACGTGGCCTACAACGAGCAGGTCGGTCGGTGTTCACTTGAGTCCGTGGCCGCTCGGGCATGCATCTTTGGCTTCCTTGCACTCTTGGCACTCCATCACATGTACCCCAAGTCCATGCCCTCCCTTGATAGTGAGGAGTGTGCTGTGCAAGCGCAGTACTTGCTACCCCAGGTGCTCCATGAGACGTCACTTGACGCCTTGCAGACCTGTTTCATCCTCGTGAGTGTTACCCTATGAATGTGTGGTGCAGGTTGGTTTCCACTGACGCGCGAAGTCCCTCTACCACTTCCTACTTGGTCAACTGCAGAAGGCGGCCGTGTTCCACTCGGTCGCCTGCCGCATGATGTTCACGCTGGGCGCCAATACCATCGTTGTCCCGCAGCTGACGTCGCTTGCCGACAACACCTGGCGCGTCAAGAATCAACTGCGCAAACTTTTCTGGATGATCTACTGCAATGACAAGGAGATCTCCCTGCGCACCGGCCAGCCCCCGTCTATCAATGACGATGACTGCGATTTGACCCTGCCGCAGGCCTACATAGACTTCAAGTATGTCGATGACATGCCCGAGTTCGAGCACCTACTTCTGGACGACACTGCAGTACCCCTGCTTCCGGGTGACATTCGCCTGGATATGATCAAGTCCAAGACGTACACCATGCTGTACTCGGCCCGTGCCATGCGCAAAACAGATGCTGAACTCCTCCGCGACATTCGTCAGCTTGATGACGAATTAGAAGCATGGAGACTGTCGGTACCCCCTGGCTTCCGTCCGTCGTTGACGATGCGTGAAGAACAAACACCCGAACTATCGGAGCCACGCAAGATGGAGCGGATCATGATCCATGTCGAGTACCACCACCTGGTGTCCACCATCCACGAAGCGACTGGTCGGTGCCGTTCATGGACCGCGCGGCAGAGATACGTTGTCGACGGTGTCGGCTCCAGCCTGGAGCTCGCCGTGGAGGCCAGCCGTTCCACCATGGTGTACCTGCGTAGCATTGTCCATAACCTGATGGGCGAGGTATTCTGGTAAGCTTCCCCTGGTTTCCCCCGCCCTGGTTCCTCTTATTCCCGTAACTTTCGGCCCCCACTATTTATGGTGTCTCCATTTGGCCCCTGTCGCAGATCTGCGCTGCATCATGCACGTTTCGATTTTCCTACCGCTGACTAATGGTCTACCAGGATGGCCGTGTTTTACCCCATTTCCGCCATCTGGACTATCTTCTGTAACATCATGCACAACCCGTTGCATCCCCTTGCCGATGTCGACCTTGAGCTGCTCAATGCCGCGCCACTCCTGATTAAGGAGATGCGTCTCCGGCGGCTGGCCAGGGATGAGATGACGCATATGAAGATGGTTGACGACTTCGCGGCGGAGTTGGCGCGGTTGGCGAACCGCGCGGTGTTGAAGGCGAGGCAGGAGAGCATGTGATTTCGGTCTTTCTGTTTTGTTCTGTTTTCCCTTTAGTCCTGGCCTGTTCGTCGTCTTTGCTGTGAGTTTGTCTTTGCGGTGGGTTGGTTGGCGTTGTCAAAGGGCTAAGGGTAGGGATACACCAGGTTGGGTTCCCGGCGGTTCTCTGGTATTTTGTGTGTTTGACGACCGGTTTCGTTTCTTTCAGTCCTTACCTTTGACTTGTTACACTCGGGATTTAGAGGTCTCATTTGTTCTTCGGGATGATACAAGGAATATTGTCTGGGTACACCGGAGACACAGTAGAGAGTAGAAAGATTAGAGTTTTCATGTCGGATCCTCCACTTCCTCGCCGGCCGTCGCCGGGCAAAATTATGATCCGTCCCATGTGAAGTCGAAGGATGAAGACCCACACAAACATGAGTTGGATCCAGCTGAGCAAGTGGAACGATGCGGGAACGGCCTAGGTAGCAAGCCCCCGCCTTCGTCAGGTATTGCCCAAAATCACACCAACCCGACCCAGCCGAGTCCAAGCTCACAGGGAATCGCCAGACCCTTGTTATCATGGTGGGGCCAAGGGTCGTGGGGCGAGTCTTCTGATTTCCTCTTCCGGCAAGTGGGGATGGGGTATCGGCGAACGGACCCGGAGACCGGCCCCACAGCTCCGGACCGCGCGCCGATGCAGGAGAGGCAGGAAGGGTTAAGGGTGGAAGAAGTCATTGGAGATGCCACAAGCGGGTGTGTGGAATCGATGTAATGAATAAATGTTATCATAAAACTATATATGGAAGCGGGGTGCCGCTTTGTAAAAAGTTGCATTAATAATTCACTTTATGTGTCAATTTCTTTTTGTTTCCTGTCATTGATCAACAATCCCCGTTGAGCAGATGTGTTAACGGACTACACGAAAAATGGCCACACGAAAAGGAATGTACAGGAACCACTAACTTAGTTTCGCTGTCTAATTTGAAATGAGAATAATTTTTTTTTAACTCCAACAAAACCCTTACCGCCCTTAATCTCTGATTAATTATCCCAAGTTTTCTTTTTTCAACATCGCCTTGACACGAACTCGCCTCCGCGCGAACGAATGACCAACTCCTGTCCCATCAGTGCCCGATCAAATCCGGCCCGTTTGATTCCATCCAACCAGGCTAGGAAGTCCTTTGTTAGCGAACTCTGGAACGTCTTCCCCCCCATGACCCGCGCGAAGCCCTCCAGGGGCAGCCACTGCTTGGCAACATGTTCCACCGCAATCACGAGATCGCTACCGCTCTTGGACCTGTTCAAATTGTTTTCATCCCCAACCACACTCTTGAAGAATTCGCCGTCACGTCGCCCACGGCTTTATCCGCCGTTGCAACATCAACATGCCTGCTGAACGTGGAGAAATCCGGCCGCGCCCCCACGGCGCAGGTCAAGCGGACCAACTGGCCCAATAATTCATGGTCGTCGGTCAAGATGGCCGACGCGGCCGACAGAGACAGCAGACGATGCACATACGCTCTCAAGAGTTATATCGATTGGTGCGGCATTCGCAGGAAGGGTTCGGTCGCCCACTTGCTGGCTACGTACCCATCGGTGCCGTCGGTGGTTAGGAAGCGCGCGGTTTGTCGCCGTATTCGGCCACAAGGCCGGATGAGACAGAGTGCAAGGGCACGCCACCGGCAAGGTGAGGAAGGCGGACCATTTCATGGCCATTCCATGGACGCCGTGGAGGTTGACCGCGCGTAGCGTGTCGTGCCTTTCGGTGAATTCACGGTCAGCAGCGAGATAAGCGGTGGCCAATGTACCCTCTAGGGTGGCCGTGAAAGCGTCTGAGGAGAAGCCGAGGTTAAACTGAGCAAGGTTGGCTTGGATAAGTTGGATCTTGCGGTTGGAGAAGACCCGGCTTGCAAAACCATGGGCAGTCGAGATGCTACGGGCGAGAAACCGGATAGTTTCCACGTACGGGCAGTTCAAGAGGGTAGTATACGACGCCCCAGGTAACCAGTGGAACCTGTGAGGATGATGGCCAGGGGTTTCTCTCTCGGCACAAAGGGCGCGATGCCAGCCTCCCTACGTAGCTCGGTCACCGACCCTGGCACGGAGGCCTCTGCGGCCCAGTTGAGCGCCGGAGCCTTTCTGTTAAGGGTGATGGCGTTCATTGAGGGTTTGTGGGAGTGAGTGTACGAGCGGCCGGAGGTTGTCGGAGGCTGATTTGTTCGATTTTCGGCCCTGTAACGATCCGATCTGCCTGTGGAACCCGCTAGTAATACGTTTTCGTGTAGACTTTGTGGGGTTGAGCGACGAGCCGTGGGTGGTCGCGGTCGTAGCGGCGGCGGTTGGGATGGGGGCGGGCAGGGGAGGGGGGGGGAGGGGCCGGGATCACAGCGACGACGACCAGGGAGTTTGGAGTTGTGACGGGAGTGGGGATTGTCCTGGTGGTGGCATTGGAAAACTCGTCCATAGTATCGGTACGATCGGCAATGTTAGAGTCAGTGATGTTCTGACCTTTGCCAGTGCAGAGACTGGCCTCGATCTCTTTGGGCGGCACATACGTCGACAGACTTGGCACCTCACCGTCGACACCCGTGGCAAACATCTCCAACACGTCGACCATCGAGCGCACCAGTAGCTGCCCGTTTCCCTTGGTGTATAATCCTGTCGCCAAACACAGCGTCAAGGACGAACCGCTCTGGGGGTGGTCCAAAATGCCCAACGTCAAGTGACACTCGTTGCGAGCATCCACGAACAGCTCATCACCGACCTTGTAGCCGCCAAAGATCGACCGCTCGTGCAGGCTTGGCGGCAGTCGATGAAGAGCTGGAAGCCTGGTGCGAGGGTACTATAGCCCGGTATCTTGAGTTCCTTGAGCACGACACTCTAGGGTACATTGCATCGTGTGATTAGTGGATGAGGTCGCTCATTTTGCTTGCAGTACCCTCATTTCCACTGCCCCTGCCGCTGCTGCTACAGCTACGCTTCAAATGGACCGGTACCAGGTTCAGGAACAGGCACAATCTGTTGGCAAAGCGGTCATCCACACGCCCCCCGTCGGTCATTCCAAGGATGATGTCGACTGTCTCGGGCAGGAGACCGAACACGAGCCCCTGCAGCACGGCTAAGTGCACGTGGAATAGCTTACCGCCGTTGCTGGGAGCAAACGACCGGAATCTGTCGGTCGTGGCACAATCAAGGGGCGCACGAGCTTCAGCTTGGCCAAAGGTATTTGTCGCAGAGCGGGTTTGGGACTTCGCGAATGTGAACGACTGGATGGGCGGACGGTTGGGGCCGATGATGTTCCAAAGCTCTTTCAACCCGTTCTTAAATGCCCCGGCCCTGTGGTGTTCTCGCTGCGCCTCAACAAATGCACGGTACTGCCTCTTCTCGGAAACAGGGGACAAGGGTCGGCCTATTTAGGCCGCTCCGAGGTCGGAAAACAACGCCTTGAAGCTCGGCCCGACCCAGGAGATGTGGTAGCCCCTTATGGTGAAGAAGTGGGAGTGGCTACCGAGACTGAGCAGGTGAATCTGGGCTGTCTCGCACAAACCCAGGTCCCATTCGCGGATCTGTATTGCTTGAAGCTCGACCTGCACTTCCCCTTCACTAGCGATCTGCTTGTGACCTAGCTTCATCGCGGGCTCTTGTTCCTCGTGGAGTACGCTCTACATTTGGATCTGCTTATCTCTGGCCTTCTCCGACACAACATAGTGCGTCCTCAAAATATAGTGACGACGGGCTAGGGTCTAGACTGCGTGTTTGATGCGCGGGATGTCACTGTGACCGGTCAGCTTGAGAATGGCGGACATGTTGAAAGTGGCCTTTTGCTCGGGCTCGGACTTAAAAGCCGGATGCCAGTTTAGGCGTAGGAGAGGTGAGCAGTGTGTTCCTGGGGTCCGCTCAGCGGCAACAGCCGGAGCAGACTCGATGTGAACCACTTCCACTGCCTCCTGAGCAGCAACCAACCCTGGCTTCTTCTTCACACCTTCCGCCTTGGATCTATTTTCGAGGTCTTCGGTCGACACATTGCTGAGCAAGCTGAGGGGGCTGTTGAGCTCAGCCAACAAAACCTCGCGGGTACGCGCCAGACGCTGGGGGGTTGTAGGGCTTGAGAAATGGTGGTTCTGTGAGCCGTCGGAGGAAGCATTGGACAGCGGTCGTCGGTTTGGGGGCTGGAGGGGGTTCTTGCACTGGTGTTCACAAGGAGGCTGGAACGGGGACCGAATTAGGGGCCAAATCCGGCTGAATCTTGGCTTCGAGCTCAACCCCCAGGTTTGCGTCGGAGAAAGCACGACGATCTATGCGATGTGGCTGTGTGATGATCTCGGGCACTTCCTCGCACTCGGGTCTTCTGACTAAATTCGCCTCGGCAGACTGCTGCTGCACGCCTGTGTCCGAAGACCTGGCGAACTCGTTGTCCACAACCCAACGGCTAACCCGGCCAAGGCACGGTGCTTGCGCCGAAGCGCGACCGCGGTCACGTACAAGTTGGCCGCGATGTCGTGGCTGCGATCGGTGCTGCCCGCGACACACCGGTCACTGAAGAGAAGGCCATGAAGAAGTCAAGTGGGGCGCCATGGAAGACCGCGTCATGGTTCCACGTGGCGGTTATCCTGGGCTGGAGCACGATTCTCAGTATCCCCTGGCACCCTCGTTACCAACCCTCTCTCCGGCGATCAGGCCAACCTACTGGCCCAACTGTCTCGTATCGTCTAACTCAGACTTGATTCATAGGTTTCGGTGCATACGTAGAAATGAACCGCCATTCGATTGCTCCCATTCCGGTAGTGTAACATTCCACGCCCTAAAGTACCTTAACAGTGGTCGCCATTAAACATTTCTTTCCCCTCTTCTCTTTGCTGGTTTCGCGCTTCACGTCGACCACCCATCTTCTTCCTACTGCCTAGGGGAAGTTTTAGTCCCAGCGTCGACCCATGCCCCGGTTTTGTCTCTCTCAGTTTATATGTAACCCCGATCCCCCAGATGCCACGCCGAGATGCCTTAGCACGGTAAGGAGGCCATCGTGTGCCCGAAAAGGTATTCGGCAACCGGCACTTCATTCATAATTACCAATGGCTTCTCACTGGGGTTCACCCAAGATAAGACAGACGCAATTGATTCGTGGGGTGTTGAGTAGTATGCCGTGGGGGCTGGGGACCGAGGATGGAACAGCACCGCCAGATGATTGAGGGGTGACAGATAACTTGATTTGTCTGTGGGGGGTCCCGACACGTCGACTAATTAATAATACGTTTGCGAAAGTTAATTGCGCCTTCGGGTGGGTGAATGCGTCGCGCACCGTGACATGGCGCTTCGTGTCATTCTATCCGTTGCCTGGGCGGCCAAGAGGGTAATAATAATTATTTCTCGAGGGCCAAAACATAAGGGCAAAACCTGGGACCCGGAATTTAAGCTTTTAGCAATTTCCAGGGTTGTGGGTTTAACGGCACCGAGATCACGCACTGATTTATTAGATAATTAACTAAAGCGCCCCATGGAAAACAACGGACAAAAAACGCGGACTTGCTTGGGTTTGTTCTATTTCCTCCCATCCCTTCCTCATCGGCATCGCGGTGTGATTTTGACACGGCTATGCGCGACTAAAGATTCCACCGGCATATCGTGTAATTAATCATCTGGTTCACGGCCAGGTAAATGCATTGGGGCCTTGTTTCGGAACGTTAATGACATCTTGACAACCTGGATTGAATCATTATCATTCCGAAAATATTAGTCGTTCAATGAAATCTCAGTCAAACTCTGAAGGCAAATGGGATGGATAATCTGCCTTGCAGGGCGAGACAGGATATCGGGGGGAAATGATTACATCGACGCTAATACCGGATGCCACGAAAATCACTAATTTATTTACATGGAAAAGAGATGGGAGACCAGGCTGTGGGTGACACCACGCAGCACGATCTCCAGACGACCACATCGTCACCATCCATTGCCTAGAGATTGTCTCTAGTGTTGCTCTCAAAGGAAGAGCCACATGACGGCTATCACTTGTGCCCAGGACTTTACTTACTTGAAGCTGGCGGCTTCACCGGGTTCATATCAGGTGTTCCATGTAGCTTTCGGTCTTTCGGGGTTTCGCTGTATTGGGTCTTGGAAAATTCTTTCGCGGCATAGAGCTCGTGAACCTGGTTTTGTATGGCCTCGATTTGCTTCCGGCTCAAGTTCATTTCTTGGCCTCGGCTGGGGAATTGAAGACGGAGCTCTAGTGATGTGCGGGTCTCGCTCGCATTGCCCAGTGTGTTCCGTTGTAGTTGGACTGCCAAAACCCACAACAGAGTCTGCAGGGACTCGGGATGATCAGGGCCGAGATAGCAATCCTGGTCTTGAAGGATATCCAAGAAGCAGGTCTCTGCCGCATGCCACCCCTCGTCGCTCATGCCCTCAGCCTCCGAGGGCAGTTCACCACCAACATCGCCATCAGCCTGATTTCCATCCCTGGTCGGGTCCTCGGACAAGTACGACTCGGGGTCCACCCAGTTTTTTACTAGGCACTCTGTGACCACAAGCTCCCGCTTCGTAGACAAAGTGGCTAGGTGGGATATTCCTAGACGTCGGGCCCGGGCGACAAAAACGGTTTTGAAGCATTCTCTTGCGGGAGCAATCAGTTGGTACCCCCGCAGCATAACGGCGTAGTCATGCGTTGTGGCCAGGAAGCCCAGACTACCTGGGCCGAAGACGTCAGCCTGTTCTTGCCAGCGCTGCACAGTTTCGAGGATTCGAAGAGGTTGCATCCGGTGGCTAGTTGACCTATCCCAATCGAATTGGATCCAAGCCAAGAGACGAAGCGCGGAAAATGTCGACCCTTGGATCCACGGCCCCGGACTTTGACCAGAGTCCAAGTTCCCTTGGCTGCCACTGCCGTTGAGCTCTTGGTCAATGTCGCTCAAGACCCTGTCGATAAATTCGGGAACGCTGCCTCTATCGCCTGGTTCTTTGCCTGACTCAAGTCGTGGTTTCGCGCCTTTTCCTCTCAGCTGCCTGTCGGTGTCGCGTCTCTCGCGTTGCGTCTGGAGGACATGCAAGGCGCGCTCTTGGGCTGCTTGCCAGTCGCCCATGGCCAAGTCCACGCGTGCTAATTTGACTTGGTACTCAAGGGTCGGGAGCGTATGGGCTGCGCTGCACATGCCAGGCGCACTACGATCGGCGTGGGGGATCAGGAGCTCGTGGCCCGTGCTGCCGTAACGGCCTGTTTTCAGGCGACATCCTGACAACCTGACAACTTCTTCTAGCAACTCTTTAGCCCTTTTATTCCGCCCGTCGGACGAATAGGAGTGGGCGAGTTCGGCTTTTGTTTTCAGCCTCATAGGGTGGTCTTCTTGTGTGAAACATTCATCGACCAGCCCGTTGAGTGATTCCCCCGTGGCGGTTGCTTCCATGAAACTCCGGTACTTCCTGAAAATTACAATCAAGACCCATGTGGCCTCAAGTGTTTGGCGATGTATGGGCCCAAAGTCTTCCGAGAGAACCCGGAGTGTTGAGCCGCACTCTTCACGGGCGGCCTCAAGCTGAAATGTACAGGCTAGGAGATAGGCTCTGAGGTTGGCGGCTTTCAGGGTCTTGATATGCCGCCTGCCAAGGGAGCTCTGTCGCAACCTAAAAAGCTTGGTCGAAGCTTGAAGGGCCTGGTTGTATTGACCTGAAAACATGGCAACATGGGCCGCAGCCCACAGCTTCTCCGGGTCTATCTCGGGCTTCTTTGTGTCCAGCTCGGAGACGGGAACTGGGAGTGGGATTTGGACACTGTCAGACCCCTTGCTAGAGCGCTCTTGGTTTCTGTTCGATGGGTGCAGTAATTGTGGCCAAGACCGGCGGTGATCGGTTAATTCGGTTCTAACCTCTCCCAGGAGCCGGAGAGTCTTGCGCGCCTCGAGGAGGGCTCCCATCAATCCGTACGCCACGGCAAGATCGCGTTGTGCCTTGTAAACTCCCACTTCAGCTGCCCGATTACACACATCCGGCCCTGCGCTGGCGGCTTTTTTCAGTGCTTTAATTGCGTCCGGGTACTTTCCTCGAGATAGGAGCGAGGCGCCAAGCCTCCGCTGCACTTCCCTTGTGAGGCGGCTCAAGCGAACGCCATCTTCGCCCGACATCCGCACCTGGGACAGTTTTTCGATTTGCTCCTCAAGGTCATCCAGGCGCTTCTCGGCCCCATCGGTCTTTCCGCAACGATGGTCGATGATGGCCATCTGCATCCGAATCTCAGCGTGTCTGAGGACGAGCCCTGAGCGCGCTGTGCTTGCTAACAGAGAGACGGTCGGGGTGCCGAGAGTGTCTAGAGCCGCTTCGAAAGCCGTCCGGGCGCTCTTCAGTTCTCCACGAGCCAGTAATGATTGTCCCTCGCTTTCTAGATCCTCCCAAGTCGGCCTGGCCTTCACGATGGTATTGTTGAGGGCCGGATCGATAGCAGGCTCACCCAGCCTTTTCAGCAGATCCTTGACTCGTTCCCAAACCTCATCCTCGTTGGGGGCCGTTGGGGGAGTTGTTGTATGGGGGGGTTGGATAAGCTCGCGGATCCGACCCAGCCTGGGGCTGCGAGGTGGGCTTGACGTTGACTGTCAGACAAAGTAATTAGTATGCAACACAGAACACATCGAGGCGACAGACAGAACAGGTGCAGTGACCTATGGGATAATTAGTGCGCGATGCAATGCGTGATTTCGGACAACAGGGAGAGATAGAGGGATCAGGTCTCGGCTTTGAGTACAATTTAACTCACCTCTGTGGTCGGAGTCCTAGTCCCTCCAGAGAACTCTAGCGTTGGTCCCCACAAATTGACAAAATAGGGGTCGAGGGCGCCTTGAATACATTGCTCCGATGTCTCGCGCTGATATTGTTGGAAGATCCCGTCGGTTGTCCACAGGGACCCCAAGAGCTTTCGGGATATGGTGGGAAGCTCCGCCGTCGGTGACGGTGATGTGTTGTGAAATTTCCACCATAGCTCGATAACAGCGTCCAGGTAGGCACCGGGGCTCGATAAATAGACGGATATCCTTGGGGCATCCAAAAACAACAATCCGAGAGTCTGCGGAGCCAGGTCTTGCTTGGCGATCGCGGCCTTAACAAGCCACGAGCCCAGGCCATGGGTAATGAAGATGAAATGGGATGACGAGATCGGGCCTTCTTCGTGCGCTCTAGACTGACCAACGTTCTTGAACTCGAGGCGGCGGATTCTGTCGAGCTTTCGGCGGAGCTTGGATGCGGCAGATTTGAAACTCTTTCCTCCGCCATCCAGTAGCAGCGGCAAAGTACCGAAGCGAAAGGGCTGAACTTGGTAGCTTCCGCCTGCACGCTTCGCGATGTCCTCGACGCAGCGCTCGAGGGCGGCCTGGTAGTTGACCCGTTGGTTGGTTGCGTCTCGCAAGCCATGGACCACAATGTAGTGCCTCCTAAAAAGAGCAGTGATGTGAGCCGCGGCCTAGGGAAAAGGGGCGGGGACTTACTGGTATTTCTGCCCAGGTGACGACCCCGGAGAGGTTAAAGGTTCCGGCCAGGTCTCTGACCTCTGCAAAAGAACGTTAGCAATAGGCTAGCTTGGTGAGTAAAGCGGCTCGCAGACGGCGGTAGCTTTGATTTTGGCTCTGTGTAATACGTACCACAAAATTCCACCGGAAGTGGGAGATGGTTTTGGGCGCCATTTGTGGCGGTGTGGGACTGATAGTAGAAGGACAGGGACAAAACGGGATGGAACATCCAGGTAGACGTTCGAGCTGGGGAGGGGCAGGACGGCTTTTTCTGCTGGACCGACCCCGACCCGCCACTCCTGGCTGGCACGTGGCAAGGACACCTGGGGACCAACCTAGAGGATAGTGAGGATCCACCCACGCTCCGGGTCATCAGCAAACGGCTCGTTGGGGGCCTCTAGGCCTTGGGCTTTTGGAGGCCTTGTGAGAGGGTGGCGTTACTACGAGGGGTGGCTGCTGGTCTGTTCCTCGGGCAGAAATTAAAATGCTCAGCGCGTAAAGCCAAGTGTGATTGGTACTGGGGGGGAGCGGGGACGGCACGGAACGGCGCTGAGATAAGGCTGGAGTTTGAACACCGTCTTGCCCAGTATGCAATTACGCAACAGAGGACCTAAGATTGCCGCAAGAATGAGTGCCCGACCAGGTGGGTTGCATGCAGGTGGTTGCGGGATGCCAATGGACCAATCGCAGTCAACCGCACCACGCAGCGGCAGCAGGCTGTCGACTCCATGGGTCGGTCCTGAATAACTCAGAGCCTTGTTCACTGGCAAGCACCTCCAATCGCCATACTGGGGTTCTATGGGGGGTGCCCAGGACTTCGGGTTCCAATTAAACCCGCCCGGCGTCCGCGCGGGCGCTCCCGTCGTGCCAGCTCGCGATCCCCGTTGTCTGCAAATACCAAGTTACTTCTTGACTCGTCGCTGTGCAAGTTCTAAGCTCTAATATGCTCGGGCTTTGACTATCTATCCCCTTGGTCGTTCAATATTGCTACCCTTAGTCACCCTTCACCCCCAGCGCTTCGCCCAATTATACACGCACGCAAGCTGAGCTGCTAAGATAACGACCATGGACCACCTCAAAGGCACCCACGAGAGTATCGACTATATTCCGGTCAGGCGATTGATCGATAAGGACATCTACATGCGAGAAATTCAAGGTTACGAGCTCGGTGACTGCAGCTTTCTCAAGTTTCACACTTTTCCAACACTTCATGGATGGACGATTGACCCGAACAGCCACCAGCTAGAGCCAGACAACAACGTTGAAGTTGATCAGCTGCCTATAGGGAGCCTTCATGGAAAGCTGCCCCATTTCCTCCAGACGTGGTTGTTCTTCGGACTTATTTACACCGTCGTCCGTGATGACCATGGCCCTTTGCTCAACTTTGAAGACCTTTGCGACGCTGCCGGCCACACTATCGCCACCCACACGTTGAACGATGCCCTGGGGCAATGGCGGGCTTGGGTGCGGGAGTTGAGTGAGAAGGACTACCATCGGGCTCAGCTCCACATGGCCCAGGTTGATTTCTGCTTGAATGAAGCCAGGATGGTTGTTCGAAAGACATGCGGCTATACCGGCACAGCCAATACCGACGAGAGCCACGACATAAAAGACCTCTGGACGGGGCCCTCAGCTGTGGGAGGAGGGGAAGTCAGCGACGAACTCGCACTCGCGCTCATGGTTCTTGGGGAAACATTGTCCTCGTGGACGGCACGAATCCTACACGAAACGAAGACAGTCATAAGGGGATGGCACAAGGAAGAAGAAGACGACGGCTGGGGCCCACCTCGAAGAGTTTTCCGCTTTATGGAAGATCGATGGTGCCCACGTACCATCCATCTTCTCCAAAGCCAACTGAGGTCCAGCGCGACTTTGCTGCTCTCTGCTCACCAGTCCATCCGGGACATAGCTGCATTCAAGGAGGGATCCGCCACTCATCAAAGCTGCAGCACCGTGGGGTGCAAAATCCCACCGGGGACATACAAGACGACCCACAGGTACACATCCAAATGTAACTGCAGGCGGCTCACTCCCGATATGCCTGAAATTCTTAGGATCCTAGCGCGGAAGGACGCCAACGCCATCCCCCTGTTAGTGATACGGAAGGCCCAGGACAATACATTTTCCCTGGTGGTCAAGGATTTCTCTGAGATGGGACCGGGCACCAAGTATGGAGCGATCTCTCACGTTTGGTCGGACGGTTGGGGGAATGAGGATGGTAATTGGCTCTGGAGTTGCCAAATCGGCGTAATCTACAAGGCTCTCAAGATGGGAGTTCAGAAACAAGGCGAGGGTCTCAATTCCGATACCGAGTCGATTCCATTCTGGATGGACACATTGATCATACCAGCCAACGGTGAATCCACCCTTGTCGGGTATGACACCGTCCTTAAAGCCCGGGGTCTGTGGAGAGAGAACGACAGAAACGCAAGAGCGCTGAGGACATGGGGCATTGCACAAATTGAGGCAGTGTACAAGAACGCATGTTTCACTGTTATTCTGGATAACGGTCTATCCAGCGTGAAGATCAAATTGTCTGAGAAGGGGGATGCGCACTGCCACTCGGCTATGAGGATCCTGGCAAGCAATTGGATGAAACGGCTATGGACCCTGCAGGAAGCCGCCCTCTCGAAACAGCTGCTTGTTCTATTCGAAGAGAGCGAGCGAGGAGATGATGGGATATTGGACATCGATGAACTGGTGGCAGCTTTGGCCAAACTTGGAGGCGGACCGGCATCCTTTGAAAGCATCGTCAGTCGACATCTCGCCGACAGCCTGATGGGTTCCACCCGCAAACGTGGCCAGTTGACCACCAATGACGCCGCCTACTCTCTGGTGGTGGATTGCTGGCGGGCAGCAAGATGGCGAGTAAGTCATTATCTGCTCATTGCAAGTTTCCAAACCATGACGTATCACGAGTCTTCTGACATATCATTTATTCTTCACAGAGCACCAGCAACGAAGGCCACGAGCCGCTTGCCCTTGCGATGTTGATGCGGCTTCCATACACCAAGGACGACAATTCGCATATCAGAAATGCGAGCCTAAAAAGCCAGGCAACAGAAACGGAACGTGATCAGATGGTGAAGGAATTTTGGTCGCTGTTCGAGCGCGAGTACCGCGGCAAGATCCCCCCCGGGCTCATCTTTCTCCCAACCGCCAAGGTAAAGCTCCAGGGTTTCGGATGGGCACCCCGGACGTTGATGGATGCGTACAAGTTGGATTACCCGGATCCCTTTACCAACGCCCCCCAATACGCGACGGTATTGGACCGCGATAAAGGCTTGAAGGTGCAGTACCCAGGCATTGTCCTTCACTGCCCTCCAAGCGTGGACCTGCGGCAGACCATTCTCGGCATCGGCTGGACCCCGCCCAAAGGGCCATTCCGTTTTCCAGTCGACCACTACAAGTGGTATGCCATAGAGCCGGCAGACCAGGCTCTCAACAACAACCCAAGTGGGGCTCTACACAAAGACTCAACGCTTGCCATCATCATGACCAGGCCCAACCCGCAAAACTACCCAAGCGAGATAGCGTTGCTGGTGGAGATATACGACAGAGAAGTTCAAGGCGAATCAACCGCCTACCGTTGCCAGGTATTACGGCGAGTCAAAATCTGCCTCTCTGTAGTAACCCCAACCAAGGCAGACGGTGCGAGGAGTGTTCTGTCGGCTCCTGTACAAGGCATTACCGGTGTGCAGTCCCGGCGTATGGAGCCTTTACCGTGTATCGGAGAAGAGCTAGCTATGGGGCAAGAGTGGTGGGTAGATGGTTTTCGTAGCGCAAGAGCCACAAACACGGACCCGCAAGCTCACAAAAACGGCGTGGGTTCGTCACTCCAGCAAAGGACCACGCCGCCGCTGACGAGGAATAATACCGAGCCACAAAGCATGAGCCAGGTTAGTCATGCAACAACTGCCGTTGCCGAAAGTTGGTTGGGATTGATGGGAAAGCTCTTCCAGCCATCTCGAAGTGTCTGGGATCAGATGTATTAAGGGAATCAAGAAAGCTTGGAAAGATTAATAGGTATTTTGAAACGTTATGGGGTTAATTAGGTTCCAATGAATATTCCCCTTTTTTTTGCTGTATCATCCGTTAAGGACTAATTATTGATAGTTGAGATTTTTGGCACCACACACATCTTTATTGAATAATTAGCCTGGCATGCGTCAATTGATCGACTCAGAGTAAAAACCTCGGGCTGGACAGGATTCTTTGTCTCATGTGACCAATCCTTAGCTCCCCGTTTGCATTTGCCCACAACGACTTGGCCCAACGCAATGTCAGGGAATTCTCAAGGCATCCAGGCCCGTGGCGTGACAAGCCGCCAGGTTCGCGAGCTCCAGCGGCGTCCAGCCATGGCAAGCACGTCACGAATAACTGCGCCAGCGCAGCGTCCGAAGTCCGCCACTCACAACGGGCTGGCGGGCCTATCACACCAACCACGCTCTCCACACCGATGCAATGTGATCCCAGTTGGGCAACTTGGTCAGCCCATTCCGTAGTGAGGTCTTGTATGGTTGTCATGGTGGGTGGGAGGAAGAGACGGGGCCGGGGGGTGGGTCGAGTGCGTGGCCGGTCGAATAATAAAGATGACTCGATCTCTTTAACCCGTCGGTCAGGAGGGTCGGTCCGATGCAAGTCAACATTAGCGTGGAAGCACGACAGACTGAAAAAGCTGGACTCCGGTCTGCTTTTGCCGTTCTTGACCTCCTTTGTCCTTAGCCTTTGAAAAAAAGAACCAATCAACGGCCGATTACCGCAGCCTCGTCGGCTTGGTGTGTCACAGCAGATGGAGTGCAGATGGCAGGTGCACATCGCGCCACGCCGTGACCAATATTGAGGTTTCAGATAATGAGTCTCACTGGCGGCCCTATTGACCGCGGGTCGCTCGGCCACCGCCCGGTTGTTGCGGTTGGAAAATAAGGACAAAGCGAGGCCGGGTTCCGGTGACCATGACTGAACGCTGTCTGAAGTGTTACCCGCCTGAAATGCAATATGTAATTGCATTAAACCCTTGTCCACGACATCCGTTTAGGTAAAGTGAGTGAAAAGAGCCGAAAGCTGCCCTGGGAGGTTACATCTTTACACTAATGACTGTAGATACTGGTACCATTTCAATTTCTAGTGTAATGCACCGTACTTGGGTTGGTGGTTTCTGATACCAATCGGCCGTTCTGGACAGTGAACACGCAATAATTACCGCCGTAATAACGCCTGCCGCCTGATACCTGTAACCTCCCCGACCGGCTACGGGCCCTCTTGACGAAATTGCATTAACGGCGCCTCGCAAGCGCCTGCGGCGTTGAGTTCGTGCCGATCGATGGACACATGCCGATGGCATGCCGTCATGCTTCGACGCGACATGCCGCCATGCGCCTCGTTCGTCCCCGCAGCCCCGTGGTTTGTCCGTCCGCCCATCGAGAGAGCCTGGCTTAAAGAAGTTGGTACGACTCAACTTGTCAGAGCCCAAATGTTGGTCAAGATTCTTTGTGGGAGGCCTTTCTATGGAAGCCCTGCAGTTCGCCTTGAAACCGACCATCGAGCATAAAAGCAACAGCGGAGGTAATTCCCCCGGCAGTCTTGTCTTTCGCTGCTCAGACACAGCTCCCCGAAACACTTGCCAATGTCAATCCCCCAGCCGCTCCATCAAATCATCCTGACTCTTTTGGGTCCCGGAGCCACTGGCAAAGTAACAATGACATCCGCTTTCCCCTTGCCCGACCTACCAGTCATCATCCAGCAGCTGGCCGGCATTCTCCCACTCACCGCGCTAGTTGAGTTCATCGATCTCCCCACGAAGCTGCACGGCTTTCACCTGACCGGCCGGGTTCCTCTCTGGAACTGGCCCATCACTCCTGCAGGCGCCCGCCTGCTTACCCGGACCCATGAGAATGTAGACGCCTGTTGTCTTGACAGTTTCGATCGCAGCACAACGCTCCACTGCATCGATGGCCGGTTTGGCGACCTGTACCCCAGCAGCACGCCGACCACGACCCGGCTCTGGCTTGGAGCGCTGAAGACATACCTCAAGATCCCGAATCTCAGCCCCCGTATGCAGCAGGACAACATCCGGCGGCAACGTCTCGAGGTTGTCCTCTTCCAAAACAGTAACAACACCGCCGCTACCACGCAGCCAGCAGACGCCGTCAATGGCAGCTTGGCATCATCCTGGCCTGCTGTCTTGCGGCGTGCCACAAACTGGCGGCCCCTCCCCTACACGATACTTTCCTTGACGGGCTGGGTGCTGTGGGCCTCAGCCGTGGGCATCGCCCTGGCCACCCAGCTGTACTTAGCCGCCGCTTACCTCCTCCTTTTGCCCCTGAGCGGCCTGACCGTCAAGTACGCGCACGGCGGCGAACCGCGGGGGCTACTCGACAATCGCCCCAGCCCCAACAGCCGTGTCGTGATCGCCACCAACAGCCTGAACGCCTCCGACTGGTGGCTCTTCTACGGCGCCAGCCCGACCGTCAACTCAATCCTCAACAAACCGCTGAACCGTGCCGGGGCGCCCCCGAGTCGCTACGCCGTCTTCGTCCTGCAGGGCCTGATCTTGGGCCAGTGGGCGCTGGCCGTGGCCACGTGCGCGTTTCAGAACTGGAACGCCATCTTCGTGTCGATCTGGCTGGCATTCTGCTCCCTCTCGAGCGCCTATCTCTATCCTGCCCAGCAAGGGGTGCGCGACTGGTTGGAGCTGGACTGCGGGGTCAAGGCTAGAAAAGTCACGGCTGAGTTCAGCTCCCGGAGATCGATGCTTGTCGCGATGGTGTATCTCAACCCAGACTCGAAGACCAACGGTCTGAGCTGGATAAACCCAATCCTGGCCCCATGCGACGAGCGCACTCGGTGGGAGCGGGCATTGCTTCAATACATTGATGACGGCTGTAAGTTTAACCCCCCCCTTCCCGGTTTACCCCTTTCATGACCAGACATCCCAAACTATTGTCAACTCCAAGACCGCGCATCATGTGACCACAAATTGTACTGACTTAGCCTCCTGTAGCATTTGCGATCGAAGAGAAACGCGAGTACTGGCACGACTTTATCGAGGAAGGCGTGGAAATGGGCCGCAAGATTGAGAGCGTGATCAAGGAGTTGCAAACCATTCACGGTCAAGTCGACATCAAGACACACCACGTGTGAAAGGGAGAGCAAACAAATCAAGTTTGAATCCGCGTGGGTCTTCAGTCGGCAAATGATTGGTAGTGAAGGCCCCGTTAGCGCGCATGGAAACCAACAACTTTCCAGAAGAGTTTGAGTCCAGGGAACCTTGTCCGTTCCTTGAACTCAACACCCCACAGCCATTGTCGTTTCCTCTGTATTTTCCACTTTCATGGTCCAGACAATTCACTTTTTTTTCTCTCCGTCTCCTTCCATATGACCCATATCAGTGACAACAAAAACCCCCTAAATGAATCCCTACAAAAACGACCCGACCAAAACCACCCCCTCAGATCTCTACGCCGACATCCCCAACTGCGGCCGCTACGGCCTAACTTCATCCGGCTTCCAGCCGGATCCCGCATACCTCCTATCGACCTCGCCCAAGGTACTTTCTTACTAGACTTCTGTTTTGGAGCAATGTGACGCAACATATCGAGTGTAATTACCAGAACGACAACAGTGGCCGCGACATGTTTGCGCTGGGGGTGTCCTTGTGAAAACGAAGGATCTTTAATTATACTAAGCAGACAGTCTGGTCGAAGGGAAGGGATTATGTGTTGTTTGATGAGAACAAAGCCATGGCCGCATAAGTGGTGAGGGTGAAACTGGGCAGGGGAGCGGGGGGTTTAACTAGGGTTTAGAGGATCTATTTTGCAGCACGGGTGAGTTTTTTAGTCTCCCACACATGTTTGTTTCCTCGTGGGTACCGAAATTGCGAGTAAATGTGGCTCCGTCTTTCTTGATACGGCGACATGGAGTAGATTAACGGCCATGAAGTCCTTATCCAACAACGGATCCCCGGTGCCTGTCTCAATGTTGCTTAGCAGTACCTCCCAAGACTAGAAAGAACATTTCAATGACCAAGCTCGAGGAGTCTTATGTCAACTACGGTCCATCCATGTAGCCCCATGGCAAATACGGTCGTAAGCTGTCCCAGATCTAAACCTTACGACGAACCGTCAAATTCAAGTGTTCGAACATCAGCTCCAGTTTTCAGATGACTTGAATGGAGGACTCGGGCAACGGGATGGATGAGACACACCAGCTTCATGCATAACAATTTCACGCAATCCAACACGACCGTAGACCAAAGCAGAATCATTAGGCTAGTGGATTAGGAGATATCAGTTTGGTTTGGGCCGGAAAAGGCTGGAAAGTTCCACATGAGGATTCGCACGCCCAAGAGGGAGATGTAATAAATGCCCATTTGGGGCTTGACTAGGCATGGATGCGGGATCCTCATTTTAGAATCATCTGTAAGAAGTAAACCAAACAAAATCACACTCCGGGCAATGGCTTCGGCTGAAATTAGTCTCAATTACGATTATCTATCTACAAGAGACGGTATCTAGTAACCCTCCAACAGGTTCACCGACCGCTTCTTGCCCTTGCCCTTGCCCTTGCCCTTGCCAGTGTTGTTGGTCAGCGCCTCAACAACACCGTCGTAGGCCGGGTGCTTGGTAAAGTCCTCAAACCAGAGCAGGGCGGCACCCTGACCGGGGAAGACGGGCGGGACCCAGCTGAAGGGGTCATAAAAGTCCCAGATGGTGACACCGACGCAGCCACAGACTTGGACACACGCGCCAACGGCCTGGGGTAATGATGTTAGTATCGTGGAAGTTGAACGATTGGACAAAAAGGATGGATATCTCTCACATTCTTGTAGGCCTCCTTCTGCAGGACAAGACCCTTCTCGGTGGCGTTCACCTGCATGCGCACATCAAGCTCGGTGAAGGCGACCTCCACACCGAGCTTGGTGAAGCCCTTGATGGTGGAAATGTGGTCGTCGATAGTAGGGTGGCTCTCCGCGACGAAATGAGCCTGGAGACCGACACCGTCGATCCGGATGCCCTCGTCCTTGAGCAGGCGGACGATGCGCTGGGCACCCTCGGCCTTGACACCGGGGGACTCAATGTTGTAGTCGTTGTAGTACAACTTCGCGTCCGGGTCGATCTTGGACGCGGTGCGGAACGCGATCTTGAGGAAGTCCTCGCCGAGGGTGTCGTAGAAGACAGATGACCGGTAGGTGCCGTCCTCGTTGAGCGCCTCGTTGACGACGTCCCAGGCGTAGCATTCGCCCTTGAAGTGGCCCATCACGCCAGTGATGTGGTCGACGATGACCTGCTCCAGCTCCTCGGGGGTCCACTCGGTCTCCTCGACCCAAGGGGCCAGCTGGCTGTGCCAAACGAGCGCGTGGCACCGCAGCGTCTTGTGGTTCTTGTGGGCCAGCGAGGTCACGATGGTGGCCTCGGTGAAGTTGAACTCGCCGCGCTTCGGCTCGCTGAAAAGCCACTGTACGAATCGTCAGCCCGTGAATTCTAGAAGGGGAGGCACTGCCGCCCTCATCATCATCTTACCTTCTGCCCGTTGGTAGGCGTGGTCTGGCCAAACTCGCGCGACTTCCACATGATCTCGTCGTACTGGGGGTAGGCAGACTCGAAACCGGCGCGCTCACGCTGGCCCGGCGAGTCAGTGGCCGCACCAAAGTACTTGAGCCCAGCCTTCTTAGCGAGCGTGTCGAGCCCGGGGCTAGGCTTGCCGGCGAGAGCCGCCAGAGGGGCCGAAGCCAGGAGGGCGAGAGACGACGTTGAGAAATACATGGCGAAAGCTGGCAAAACGAGTGTTGTTGTGTTTGGGGGAACACAAACGGTCTTGTCTGTCTGGCAGATCGAGAGAAGGGCGGGAGAAGGTCGAGAAGGACCGGGGGCGGCCGCCCTCTTTCTTATTTTAACCACGAGGAATCGAGGGTAGCATTCCTGTCGTTGGGAAGTCCGTCGAACCAGGAACAGCGGGATGCAGGACCCGCGTTCTGGTTGTTGGCGGGCCCCATTCTCCGGCCGCTACCCCGGGTATCTCCACCACGACGATGCATCCGATGCGACGTCTTTTCTGGAGAATCACCTGGGCCCGGCACCCAGGTCCTTGTCAAGGGCATTGGAGACCCAAAAGTGGACGACAGACTCGACACTTATTGCGTACACTCACACAAGAAGCCACATCCAGTTGCCCCATGGTCGTCCCAATGGTCAACACGAACTCTCGACCCTCCAGTCCCCCATCCTTCGACCCAGGCTAGCATGCTGAAATATTCCCAATGCGGCGCACCACAGCGGGCCGTGGACCGGATTGTTGGCGTTTCGGCTGAGCCGGCCGCGTTTGGTCCAGGCTTTTGCGGTTTGTTTTTGGTTCGAAGCGCAGGACACACGCAGAAATGGACGAACCAGAGCCTGGCACGAGCCAAGATCTCATTTCGCTCCAGCGGGAGCTAGCAAACTGTCGCAATTCAGCCGGCCGGCTGAGCCGAACCTCGCGTGGAAGCAGGGGACCTTGGGGGCCTCGACAGCTCTGTTTTGAGACAAGTGACCACTCCAAGGACAAGCCAGGGCATCCCCAACTCAATAACTTGACGTTAGCCCGAAAGCAAACGGAATAGCCTCCAACTTCCAAACCTTCGTTCCCCACTGTCAACACGCGCCAACGCCTCGCCAATGCGGAGGCGACTACACTACCGGGTAAAAGCAGAGTCGTGGTATTTTGCCGCGACGGGTTCAGCTTGGCGATGGGATGGCAGCCCTGAAGCCCTGAGCTCTGGAAGCTTCGGGGGCTGGACAGAAGAAGGTTGTAGTTGCTGCAACGCAACCTCATCTCGAGCCTCACCGTCGCATCTCATCTCATCTCAAATTTCGGCTAACTATGGGGGAAGAGTCTACATTCCTCCGCATCAATTGAACCCAGACTTCATCGTCTTTCATGATATTCTCAACTCCACTAGTTACATCTTGCACTACAGATTCGCTCGAATCTCAACGTGTCTTTGTTTTTTATTTTATTTCCAGGGAATTGTTGCGATTGGACTCGAGAACCCGCCCCAAGCGTCTGGGCGGGTCAGTCAGTGGGTGTTCGTCCCATTTTTTAAGGCTTGGCGAGCGGGGTGTGGGGAAGAAGGAACGAGAAAAAAGTTGGAGAAGCGAGGTTCTGGAAGATGGCCGGAACATCTCCAACCCGACACCGGCATCAATATTCCCGGCCGAAAGGTGCGGCGAAGGGAACGGAGTAACGATTAGGATTGGAGTTTTGGTTAATTAACATGTGCTGGGGCAGCCAAAAATACACCAAGGGCATCAACCACGTTGCCTCGGCAAGGCAGTGAGGGTTAGGGTTGGTTTTCGCAGGTCAGCCGGCATGATGTCACTCCTCCAGCTCACGATATCGTCATCGATTTTGACAAGTTGATCGGTGACAGATTTTGGAAACCTTGGAAGGAACAGCTTCAAAATTAACTATAACACACCTTCACCGTCTCATGTTTCTCTCTTTCGCTAATTCTATGTCAGGAATGTGATAATCGTTTCTTATCCAGCCATAATTTAGCTGAAACAAACGGGCCTGCCTCGTCTTCCATCATCTTTCAGTTCCCACGATTCTTTAGTCTCCCCGCACCATGTTATCGCGACTCCCAATACGTCCAGCGCCCTTGGCCCGCAGTGTTGGGTTTGCCGGCTCATCAAGGCAGCTATCACGACGCTTTCAGTCGTCCCAGTCCCAATCCGGAAACGCATCAGGCAGCCAAGGATCCTCACATCTCGCGTCTGGCCTTGCCGGCGGCCTGGTAGCTGGGGGTCTCCTCTACGGGATCTACAACTTTTCTCCTAGCGGCAGGATGGCCCGCAAGATCAACACGGCCGCCCGAGAGGCAGACAAAAAATACCGAGAAGCCGCGGCCACCATCAAAGACAAGACGCCCACCACCGACGCAGCCATTGCGAAGATCAAAGAGTTCTGCTATACCTATGTAGCCTGGGTGCCAGGCGGCCGACAGTTTGTAGACTCGGCATTTGATGACCTCGACTCGATTCGCGAAAACCACGGCAAGGAGGTCGACGGGATTGTATCCGAGACATATCAAGAGTTCCAGGAGATCGCCCGCGGTGGCCTGAGCTTGGAATCCGCGACCAAGGCTTACGACGCACTTGGCAAGCTGGCTAAGAAGATCGCCCGTCTCAGCGGCAGCGCATCCGACACAATCCTCGAGCGTCACCCGCAGCTCAATGACAAACTTGGAGAACCCATTCGGCAGCTGCAGCAGATGGGCACACAATACGGGCCCGAGGCCAAGAAACTAGCCGACGAGACGTGGAAGCAGGTGAATGATGTCCTGTCCAGCGGTTTCTCTGCTGAGGGGGCGGAGAAAGTGCGCAAGATTGTCGAGGAGCGGACACAGCAGATTCGGAAAGCAGGCAATACCTTCTGGGACAAGAGTCTGGAACAAGCCCGACCGTATCTCGACAAGAGCCCGCGGCTGAAGCAGTTGGTGACGGACAACCAGGATTTACTCAAGAACGGGGACGTCTCAGGCCTGTTCAAGAAGCTCAAGGGCTTGGGCGAGGGTGCTGACGCTGGTCAGATCGAGGAGTATGTAAAAGAGGCTCTTGACAAAGCCAAAAAGAAGGGGGCCCAAGCTACAGGCGGGAGTGCCAGCACAGGACTTTCAGTGCTAAGCCAGTTCTTTGAAGGTTCCTCTTCGGCGGACGATGCCGGCCGCAAGCTACAGGACCACGTTAGCGTATTGAGCAAGGTCATAAACGAGCATGGGGATGATGGCAAGGCATTGCTAGAAGAGACCAAGGAAGAATTGAGGAAGTTGTTGGAGGAGAAGGCTAAGAGAGCTCAGAAGGTTTTGGATGAGGCAAAAAGGGGGTAACATAAGTGTATGACTTACACCCATGTCTGTATATTATCAAACTCAAGACCTTGAACCCTATTTCGTACCGCTGAACAAACTCACCCTCCCCGCCCCCACATTCTGCGAGGTCCCAAGGTTGCAACCCTGCCACATTTTCCCCGCACCCAATCCAAGGGTTCCCAGAGTCTGCATTATGATATGAAGTTTCTAAAGCACATGACGACAGTAAGCCCCTGCCTCGTCAAGCTGGCTCGTAATGGAGACGGGAATCATGATATAATCCATTCCACGCCATTGAAGGCTCTCATGATCCCTCTTACACTAGTTGCAATAGATCCATTTCTTTTCTCACTTTATCCGCCCACTCGCCATCATGGCAGCCCCTCGCCCACAATAGCTCTCGGCAGCCTCCATTAACCCTCTCGGACTCAGCTCCTGATCGGGCCTGGTCTTCCACTAACTCAACTGGCCCCCCCGCAACTGCAACGTTCTGGAAGCCCCCCGGAACGCCCCAACTCGCGCCATTGATTTCTCCACCAATCCATCATGTGGGACGCTAAAAACGTCCAATTCAGGATGGACCAACAAGAACATCAGCGACGAGGGGTGCTCGTGACCCCTGTCGCCAGCGACCCCGGGGAGTCCATGAGGGCGCCGACCTCCACCATGGATCAAAATAGCCACCTTCATGAGGACGTCGACAACGACATAGATACCGAGCGTTATCTCCTAGCTGCCCTTGAGGATATCATTGCCAATTACCCGCCCCCTGTGCATGTATGTTCACAAGACTCAAGCGAAGGATACCACGGGCTCTGGAGCGGTCCTACGGGGATTGCATACCTCCTACTCCATGTCTCTGAGCGCCGGCCGGATTTGAGAATCGCGGAGCGGTTGACAATCGAGTGGGCGCGGAAGTATTGCGGATTGAATGATGATCCTGACGCCGAGGTGGATAACGAAAATGGATATCCCCGATTTAAAAAGTCACAAGGGTGTGGAATCGGGAATGAAAAGCTGGCGTATGAGGCTGTAAGGTGTGCAATTGCATCGAGGGATGGACCACCGTCTCTTTACTGTTTCCAAGAACACAAGCAGCATGAAAAGGATGCAACCCGTCTCAGTGGACAAACAAACGACAACTACCTCCACCACGTGCACCGTTTTGCAATATCCCTCTCCCAGATCTCCTCGTCCTCCTCATCCTACCCCGACGAACTCCTCTACGGCCGAGCTGGTGCCTTTTACCTCGCCCGTCTCGTCCGTTCCTGGGTTCCGACCACCAACCCCACAGTATCAGAACAAGTCACATCCCTCCTCACCCCCGCGATCACTCAACTTTGTCACACCATCCTCTCCCACGGCCCGCCCTGGCACTGGCACGACCGTCACTACTTCGGTGCCGTCCATGGGGACATCGGGATCTTGGCCCAGCTGGTTCTTACTTCACCCGAACTAGCCGGACACCAGGCGTTGCGGGGTTTCTTGAGTCAGCTTTTGGATTGGCAGAGTGATGACGACGGAAACTGGCCCAGCTCCGAGGAGAGTTGGGAGCGCGGACAGGATAAAGGGCTTGTCCAATTCTGCCATGGAGCGCCGGGGTTTGTACACTCGCTGCTAGTGCTCAGGAAGTATTTTCCGGAGTTACAGGGGCGCATTGATGAGGCGATTAGAAGGGGACAGGAGTGTGTTTTGAGGAGGGGGGTCATCATGAAGAAAGAACCGAGTTTGTGTCATGGGATATTTGGGAATGCTTTGTAAGTTGTCTCCCTCTAATTGTCCGTAATTACCAGTACCGTCTCACATCCTGTCATGGTCATTCGGATTCCAAGACTGAACGTTAATTATTGACGTTAGAGCCCTCCCGAATCCTCACCGAGCACGTTTCCTGTCCCTCGCCACGCCTTCAAGCATCAACCGTCTTAGACAGGCCGATCCCGTTGTCTTCCAGTCTGCCGACTACGGCCGCCCATACTCCATGACGGCAGGCTACACGCCATCAGCCGCATGGGTTTGGCTGATTTGGAAAGAGGAAGACCTGGGGAAGGGGAATATGGTGGGCTTTAATGATATATGATGTGGGGATAATTGGGAGATCCTGCGTGGATTGAGTGGGTGGCCATGCCATACTGTCAATAATGATACGGGGTTGTTACAGTCTGTATGGGCATTCAATTCAAGGGTTGTAGGTAAATTAATCGATCTTGCTATCAAGCCAGATAGTTATGAATGATGAGGTTTGAGCAGTTCACACAACGATATGCTGGTTAGGTAGGTAACCACTCAATTCACGACACTAATTACAGGAGTCGACAACCGGGCTCTACCGAGATAAAGTGCTGGGGTGCGGATCCAATGTAATTACCGTAAAGTAGGTTCCAACTTCCAGCCAAGATGCAACTAGGAATCATGGGAGGGCGAGCTTTCCAAGGCCAGCGAACGGTCAACTGTCATATTTCTTCCAGTCACGCGTGACCGTACTGGATTCAACAGGCACACGCAATTTCCGAACTTCACGGCCTCTTGTGTTGCTCGCGGCAGGCAGCTAGCGTTCGGCATTGGCGACGTTTGCCGTCCGACCAAGTTAGAACACCCCGGTCCGGGAGCTCACGGCACGCTGTAACCATAGAATGCTCTTCACGTGGCTGGCTTGCTCAGCAACATTGTCGGCTGTACGGGGAGTAACGACTATTCTCACATCCTATTTCACCCTGGAGACGGGATGTGGCAAGCACCACACAGGATTGTCAACGGATGAGGTACTTTGTCTGAGTTTGTCAATCTCGGTATGTTGGTTCTTGAGTTCAGCAGGCCTCCTATCGGCCCTCTTGTTCACTCTACTTCAGTGTTCCCAGACGATGAGAAGGTGCATCACATTATCAATGCGTTTCGGGATCACTCAGAGCGCAAGAGATGGAAGAGCGTGCTGGCCGAAACTGCTATATCGCCCCGGTATACCGCAGAGAAAAAGGCCCGGCTGGGTCAGAAGTGGGAAGGAGAACTAAAATGTTTAGCAAATACTAGCCGAATATCCACGATGGGAGCGACGGTAGCGAGGGTAGAAGACACGCAAGGGCAACGATGGAAGGAAGGAAAGTAGGACAGATGTAAATTCATTGAGGCTCGCTGTGGCAAAAAAAAAAAGCGGCACACTCAAACAGATAGCCCAAGTCCAATCCATTAATATTCGATCAAATCTTGGTAAAGTTTGATTGATTTACTCTTTTTTGTCTTTTTTCACTTTCCAGATTTATTCTTTTTTGTCATCTTTCACTTTTTTGGTTTATTCTTTTGGTCTTTTTTCACTTTTGCAGCAAAGCAAGTTATCCAGGGACTTGGTTTGCTGCTTTTTTGGCCATAGAGAGCGAGGGAAACATGTAATTATATTACACATAGTTAATTAGATGATAAGCCGTCTCCTGGTTCTGTACCCGGCCGTCGGATCGGTCACGAGGTGGCCGTCTGTCAGCCCTTTCCTACTGCAGCGCGGGCGTGTTTTAAGAATTGGAGAGGGGTGGGGAAGAAATCATTCGGCATCATATGTATTTGTCTCGGTTCTTATCATGGTCTGGTAAATCTGTCTGTAGACTGATGCGGCAGTGGCTGATCCAACCCCTTGTCGGAGTCACTCCCAAGCCTGTTGTGGAACAACCACCTACATTCCACCTTTTCCAGTACTTGCTACATTCCCTTTTGCCCCTTATAACTGTCATATTTCTCGTCATGTTACCGTTTTTCTTCCAATTTTTTACTCCTCGAGAAACTGTCCAACAAACGAATGGCCCGGAAACGGACTTGTTTCAGGCGTCCCTTTCAACACATTCATTGTCAAGCAATGACATTCTCGGTAGAGCCTTCTGGGCGGCCAGTGTTGCCTTAAACTCAAGCTAGCAGCGTTCTAGTTAGTTAAACGTTTCTTTGGTCTAGGTTTGTCTGTGGATAACATTGAGAACAACAGTACTTTAACTAATTATTATGAAGGAACAAAGATAAAAAGTCTGCCGGGTATCCGTACAGAGTGGAACCAGGTCATTAAATGTGCATCGAGGAATTGATGAAACACGAGATCGCGGGTGGGACGCCAAAGACGCCCCACTCACTAGCCACATTTTCGAGTGGCTCGGCACTTGCAGGAAGGAGCGCCATGATGTCAGAGCTTGGAATCGCTTGGGCTCCACGGAAGGAATGCTCATGCATGCGCACGCGACTACTGTGTAACGTGAACCATTAGGAGGGAGGGAATTCCTTCAACCAGCAAAGAACTTTTGGGCGGATCGATATATAAATATACCCGAGTTATCGTCGGGAACGTCTTTTTCAGGGCGTTCCCGCACATCTCTCCTAAATTGTTCTGGCCCCCACGGTGTTATTGCAGGCCGCCGAGCACAGCCTCCAGCCACTAGCCACTCACGCGGATGTTCACAAAGCCCTGGCAGGTTCTTAACGCGGAAATGAGTCGCCCGTTTGTGGAGCATCAGCCCCTGACACTGCCATCTTCAAGCACCGACTTGGCACATTTGCGAAAAGAAAATCTGTTTCCAAATGATCGCTCGGATCATCGTGTTCTTGCCCACTTAACGTGGCCGGGAAAATGGGGCGCCCGTGTGTGGAACCCCAGCCTGTTTCCAGAAGGAGCCCCTGAGGAGGCCCTGCAGGCACCGTGCTCAGCACTGGCACTTGAGAAAAGAAAGCTGGTTCCCAGAAGATCGCCATGTTCTCGCCCAAACCTCACACTCACATTGCCTTTTGAAGTTTACGGGGGATCGCGCAGCGTCAACGGCATCTCAATGGTCTACCCGCACACACGACCATGCTCTTCAGCTCCGGGATTCCCACACGCATCTGGGTCCCTGTGCTGATTGCGCTACTGTTTGGGGTTGTGGTCACCACGCTGCTGTTGCACGACGAGATCTTGCCCGTAGACTACGGACCACCCCCAAACACAGAGACCGGTCCAAAACCCAACATCAACAGAGTACCCGTCCGTGACACGGACCTGAAACAATGGGGCTTTTCGCCGCCCCGTGTATCATGTACCGGGCCCCGAGGACTGGATTTAGGCCCAGAAGACAATGACGACAACGTGCGTGAAAACACCATCGATATTCGTGAGTAAATGAATGAGTTTAAGCCGACCTCTTGACCACCCCAACCACTTTTATCCCAACAATTTAGTCGTTAACACACCACAGCTTACCCACGCCCATTTGTGGGTTCACATGAGACTCTTGGTCTGAGCCAGACTTGGATGACGGCTGCAGACCGCTATGGACCGTACGGCTGGGGCGAAGATGAGCCCACGTACAGGCGGGAGAAGGTCGCCTGGAACACCACCAATTGGTCCAAGCTGCAGAACCAATGCCTAGAACGCAACGCCCGGAGATTTAAAGATCCCACGCCGATCCGACCACTTGACAGACGCTTCCGCAAGCGCAAGCCTGGAGAAGAAATCCCGGATCTTGTTGCTGAACCTCAAGACCCCCGGTATGTTCCAAGGACCGCCGTCGTCTTTCGTGCCTTTGAAGGTTACAATTACACCACAGAGGACCTAATCAACCTCCGCGCCACCACGGCCGAGACCGCTTTGCGATTCGGAGGGGAGTACACCGTCTTCATCATGGTGGATGTCAAGGACAAACGGCGTGCCATCTTCGCCAGCGAGGAAAACTACCGGCGAGCCGTCCAGGACCTTGTACCCCCCGAGTTCCAGGACATGGCCGTGTTGTTCGACGAGACCGTACTGCAGAGCTGGTACCCGGGCATCCAAACGCATATCACTACCTACCAAGTCATGCAACCGCTGCAGCTATTTGGGCACTTTTACCCCGAGTTCGATCACTACTGGCAGCTGGAGGTGGACCTCCGTTTTACCGGCCATGCTGGACGGTACCTGTCATCCATGTCCGACTTTGCCCGTCGGCAGCCGCGAAAACAGTCCATGGAGCGCAGCACCTGGTTCTACATGCAGGATGCGCACGGCAGCTACTCCGACCTAACCGCCTCGATCAACGCCACCCTCGATGGCGGCGGTGGGATAGGCTGGAATATGCAAATCGACGATTTTGAACCCATCGGCCCGCGCCCACCTGTCGAGGACCCCCAAGACGACCCCTTCAGCTGGGGTGTCGGCGAAGAAGCGGACTTCATTGCCGTTGGGCCCTGCGCTCACGTTCAGTACATGGTCGACTGGGCCTGGCGAAACTGGTACCAGGGCCTGAAGGCAGGCACCAACACGCCGCGATGGATGTGTCAACCAGCCATGGGTCGCGCCAGCAAAACCCTCCTGCGCGCCGCCCACCACGGCCAATCCGTCCAGGGCCTAGCGGTCCACTCTGAAGCGACACTCTCGTCATTTGCTCTCTGGCACGGTCTCAAACTCGTCGCTCCACCACACCCGTTGTATCAAGACCCGCAGTACCCGCTCGACAGGATGAACGAGCTGTACAACGGCCCAGGCTCCGTGGAAGCCCACACCAAATCGGGGATGGTCGGCATGGCGCACGGCCAGGCCATTTACAAGATCACCCCGTGGGCATACATCACGACGGCGGCATCGTTTTGGTACACGTCGCAATTCCCCGATAAGATCTACGACGCATGGTTGTCTCGTGGGTCACACGGGAAAAGCGAAGGCAAGGGTACAAACACGACGGCAGACCTGCCGTATGTGCTTTGGCGTGATAGCGCAGATGGTGATGGGGGCGAGGGGGCTGTGTATGCTCCAAATATGATGCTGCACCCGGTCAAAACGAACCACAATTTGGTGGACCTCCCGGCCGGACCGGGGCCGTTGTTCTGGGTTGCTATTGCGGGCGGGGCCTGCGTGGGCTTGGCCGAGTTGGTGGTGGTCGCGTTATGGTGGCGGAAGAAAAGGAAAGGGGTGATTCAATACGTATCGCTAAGGAGATATGATGAGGATTAGACGGTTTGGGGCGCAGCTGGGGGGTAATTGATGGCATGATACCTTGGTGGTGGTACATAGTAGTGTACTTTCACCACCCCGATCCCCTGCGGGGTTAGTTGCAGGAAGAATAACACAAAATTGATGTCAACCAATTTGCATTACCAGCTCTAACTTGTTGTGAGTGAGGATTCGTCAACAAGCAGGGCGAGGCGGTCTGTCTGGGCCTGGGAGAGCGGATGAGGCTTCCAAGCATGTCGCGAGGGGAAAAGTGCCGTGGCGTTGGGGAAAGTGTGCAATCGGTGGTGTGTGAAGTGCCAGGCTTGTTTTCATGAAAGGGGTTTAAAACCTTGGCATAACCGCTTTCGTCGGTCAGCAACATTCGCATTATGTGGGGCGCAACAGGCACCCCCGCAAGACGCGAGCCTATCCAAAGTGAGAAACGCGTCGAATTTGTCCGTTTTCGTCCTATTGTCCCCTGCCCACGCGTCAAAAACTACCGTGGCAGTGAAATGGAGATCGGGACCGAGCGGCTCAGCCACTGTTGCTGTAACCACAGGAGACTTTATACAGTAATTTACCCCTAACTAGCGTGGCATTTGCACTGGTACATACGACACGACATGCTCGTGATGAATAATCCCAACCACAATCGGGCAAGGGTCCTCACTCACTTCAACTTTACAGATACCACATCCTCTATAGTGTACGATACGGATACTCTCAACTCACCTTTTCCTTTTCCTCAACCAGGTCAGGTCAGACCGTCACAATGATCGCCCGCCGCTCATCGCGCCGCTATCCCCAATACAGGTCCTGTGCCACTTTCGCCTGAGGTCGTCCGCATCTTGACTGTTTCGAGAGCTCACTGATGAGTGCACGCGACGCCTTAAATCGTCTCTCTGGGACATTTACAGCAGGAAGGAGCCACTGGCGTTGAGCGCTTCCATCTGCTTTACGGCTGTGGTGGTCGGCAGGCAAACAAACACATTCTAAAGATGATAGCCGGCCTCTACGGGCTCCCTACCCGACACACCTTGCCGCTGGGCCTAATCGAGATGATTCAGCAAGGTTCTCGGTGCTCGTTGCTCTAGAGATGTGTGCCGGCACTTCAAATGGCTGATTCTGTGACAACTACGAAACCATAGTCGCTACTTACATCCCCCTTCGAGAACCTGTCTTCTAGGAGCGTGGGGACATGTTGGAACGTATTGAAATTCGCCAATCACGACTCTAACAAAGTCGAATGCCTGCCCACCTTGTCCACGATATATGAGGGTTTTCCTTTTCTCTTCGCAGAACGGAAGGCTGTGACGTGATCTTTCCCCTCGTTCATAGACGTCGATTACCCGTTTAGGACACGCCCGCCGAGCTTGACTCGTTGTCAGGCATCCTGTAAAGTTTGCTTCCTGCCACAAATTCCGCGCGGTTGAGATGGACATGATACGAGGCACCACTTTTTTTTTCCCGGGCCTATTACACAGACTTCATGTCCACCGTGGACACTTACGCACGGGATTTTTGGAATCGACATAAGCGGACCCCCGTTCTCGGTAATAATTCTCTAACATGCACCGCCATATGGGGGCCAAAATGCCCTTGTGAGAATGGAACGCGTCAGCAACTGCATGATTATCAACCGGTGATTCCAAACCGATCTTCAGGACCAATGCTTCACCGTGTGACCATGGAACAGAGACACCTCGTTCTCGTGCCACCCAATCGCCGGCGTTACGTTTGCCGGGCGAAGCAACGGGGCCGTTTTAAGCAGATTTTTCGTAAGCCTCACATGGTTCCTGGTGTACTTGAGACCGTCTGCAACTCTGGGGTCACCGGCAGACATCTTCACGTACTTGCTCCTCTCAAACGAGCCTTGACCGTCCAAAATAATCGGCAGTACTATTGTTTGTTAGAAAACTATCAACAGGTGTACTTTGTTCTAACGCAGGTTACCACCCTCAAGTGCATGATTCCTAGCGTAAATATATTAGTAGGCACACCCGGCAGTGAATGCCCGGCGTTGCAATTCTTACATATCGGAAGGCGAAACAATCGCCACCTTGGCCGTCAGGAGTAGTTATGCCCCAACGATCGTTAGATTTTGTCTATGTCCCCAACAGTGAACTCGACCCGCCTCACATTGTCGGGTTGATACGTTGCCGGCTAGTTTAAGGACACCGCCCGTTTCTCGTCGTTGAATATAATCCACCTGAAGATGTACTACCGGAGTTAGCAATTCAGGCCCGACATCGGCTTCAAAAGGCGGTTGATTTCAGTCCGAGACAAGATCACCTAGGCCAGGTATTCACAGGAAGCAACTGGACATCGGACGTCAAGATGAGAACGACACTCAATACCTAGCTTCTACACTTGACCAAGAATCGAGTGTACGTCAGTCCTACAGCTCGCGCACTCACTCGGAAGGCGTTATTATTCCAACAAACCCTGGACTCTTGACTATAGCCTACTAACCTCGAATTCTACTAACTACTTTATAACGTTCAATGAGCAAGGAGATCTTGAACAGCAAAGAAATTATTATATGGAGGGTTGGGCTGGTTGTTCACTCCGCCGCTCGAGATCTTCTTTTTCGTTTCTTTCCTTGTTTCGGGTTGTTTTTCTCTTCCATTTGTTCAATTCTGTATTGAGCTTGTACTTGTAGTTGTCCTTCACAAAGCATATCTCACTACAGCGAATGAATGGGCTCGGTCCGCCTCAGGTCTTTCATGATACGGAGAGGGTGTTAGAGAGGGAGCGATACAAGGGCTAAATTACGCACAGAGGCATTGCTACGTCGCTTTTGAAGGATAGGCGCATCTCCACCATTTCCTCATCACCGTTTCGTTTTCCGCTTCCTAATAAACTACATTTAACTACCAGGGCTTTTAATGTAAATCGCAGACAACCGGTGGTCATCTCGCCCTCTTTTATGCGATTAACTAAATACTGCATCAAACGTCGTCGTGGCCTGGGGGCGCAGGCACAACACATTCGCCTATTTCATGCGACATGGGGGTCTTCTCAATTCAACGGCTTTGAGTATTATTCATCGGCCAAGAACGTGCAGAAGTGACCGTTTGAGTTGCTGGTATAGGCACCTATCGAACTCAGGGATAAAGGTGTGGCCGTCCATTTGTGACGGTAAAGTGAGGAAGGAGCTGGGTCCAACCGGTCGAGGCAACGTGTACCTGACCTTCCCAGGTGAAAGGCTGACTTACCCCATCCACATTCAACCTGGTGTCTTCACATTTCCGTCCCTTCCCATTCACGCCCAACTTTGTCTAATTCTCATCGGTGGATACACAAGTGAAATCCAGAAAGCTATCAACTCCCAGGAGTTTCTGTCGGGGTTAATTACTAGTATGTAATTCACCACACAAGAGTCGCATATCCAACGTCAACGTACTTGAAAATGCCGTCTTATCCGGTAGGTCGACCCTGACAGCACTGTGCATTGGAAGTACATATCATCTGACCCATTTATATGCCAGAAGTATTATTGTACCGAAGTGATGGTACTGGTCCTCTTGGTAATGGAGCCCTTCTATACTCCGACCTGCCTACTTGAGATTGACAATGAACGGATCTGGAAAAGAAACGATGAGCTTGAAGATGAATGTTCTGACCCTAGGAGGTCCAAAGTGGCGCTCTCGGGCCAGGTTGTGGAGTTGAAACAAGCGGAGGCTGAACGGTCTCGCTATGGCCAAAAGAGAAGCGGCAGACTAAAACAGATACCTTAGGTCCAATCCATTAACATTCGATCAAAGCTTGACAGATTTTGATTGATTTGCTCTTTTTCGTCTTTCTTTTTCATCTTCTTCCACTTCTTTAATTTATTCTTTTTGGTCTTTTTTCACTTTTGTAGAAAAGTAAGTTATTCAAGGGCTTGCTCTGCCGCTTTTTTTTTTTGGCCACAAGCAAGACAGTCCAAGAATCTAAGTTCAAAGCAACCCAACACATTCTCCCCTGAACGTATGCTCCCTACTAATTAAGTCGCCAGTCCCTTTACCTTGGCTCACAACCCGCCGAGACTGATCGGACTCGATAGATTTCCCACCCATTATTTGTGGTGATAAGGTCGCGATCAATCTGAATTTCCTCCAAACCAGCAACGCGAATCAGTCGAATACCATGGATAGCCCTCCACACGCGATATAGGAAATCAACAACCCCACCGCAGCTGTCATCTCGTTCAATATCCCCCTACCAGACAGCTCCAAGAAGCTAATGGTCATGAAGGCAGACCCACTAAAAGATCACAAGTAATACAGCTGGTGTATCTGCCAATCATGAAGCCAGTCGATTCGAGATGTCTTGGATGGTCCTTCAAAGCTTTGGGTTAATTCGGCCTTTCAGACGTTAACATTAAACTACTCCCATGCTTTAGGCAGCTGGGGTGTCCACAACATGCCCCCACCCCGAACGTTAAATACAAACAACAACAACAACATTGAACTACATACTTAAGGGTTCATGAATAGTGCACCCACACAACTACGTTACGATGTTATTACATAGCAGCCTGAATGACCCGCACACTTCTCCCTTAATCACAATGCACATTATGGTAAGGTTATTGTACAGTCGGCGGAGAGTTTTCGTGGGCGTAATCTGCCTCTATTTGCAGGTCTCAAAAAATTATTTATCCCATCCCGATTTCCTGTTTTCACACAATGCGGCAAAGACAAATGTGGTGCAGGCTACTTAGGCTTACCCCTAGCTCACCCGCTGTGCTTTGTAACTGAGGAGTGGCTCAGGGGTAAACGCACGAACATAAAAAGCTTTCTGACGGCAACCTTAACGGAAGAACATGGTCCCGTTGACAACTACGAAAGAATCCCCGGCTGTCTTCTTTCACCTCCATCCTCATGGATGATACATATAATCCACCAGAACCCTATTGTTGTCCTTAAATGGATATATCGTGGAATCGCTCCAGCCTACGTCCCATGTTCATGTAGTGTTCTGGATCGGGGCGGGCAAATCGGGTTCGCCGGTGTATTCGGACTAGCCAGTGGGGTTTATTATCGGAGGAAGCAGGTTGAACGTACCTGTTCTGTAGGTTTCTTTTTGCGATGCAAAATACTCACCTGAATTGGGTCACTAACCAACGGCCGATTTTGCGGAATGCGGGTTTCTCCTGTGGCGCCGTCGGTGCTCCGGGCTGCATGAAGTTTGCCGGACCGGAAAGGTGGGCCCACGGGGCCGGTGATCCACATTTTCGGATACCCATTTTGTACCCACCGCTCCATCTAAGTCACGTGAAACCACAGGCTGCTGGCAAACAGGACCAAGGGGGGAAATGCCAAGACCAAGGCAGCGGCTTCCGGGTCAGGCACCGGCGAGCGGATTGGCTGCAGGGGCCAGGCAGCAGGATTTCCAGCTGCTCCTCACATTTCACGGTCGCTGCGGAAATGTGCAGTAGCACTGTGGCGGGCAACCAGGCCAGAAGCGATTCTAGCGATTTTTTTGGCGTACAGGAAAGTTGCCCGGTGCGCGGGGGAGCCTATTGTGGCACCCAGGCACCGAAATAAACGACCCCCGCCCACCCCTGCTTAACAGCGAAGCCGTCCAGTCGATTCGCCTTTTTTGGGGGGAACCTAGACGACGGGTCGGGTCTTTCCTGTGTCTCAAGCATTCTGATGCCCCGCGATGGGCTCGCTCGCATCACGACGGGAAGGACACAGTAAAGCAGGTTGCCTTATTGGCGAATTAAGGCGCGAGTACGAGGGTTAGGCGAGAGTTTTTCTTCTTCTGAGGCTGTCTTTTTGTCGACGGTTTGCTCGCTTTCTCTTTAGGTTTTTCGGCTCGACATTCGACACTCGACCTCACTTTGGCGAGGTGAGAGACGGGTCTCAGATCACTCACTCGCGGCGACAATACGTCGTACTTTCCAGGCTTCACCATTTCAGCGATCATTCGCAGAGATACTAATATCGACGACGGCCGGAACGGCCCTTGGTCCCTTACTCAGCTAAATCGGGTTTCGGGTGGGACGAGCGCATCAATTCCAGCGGGCCTTTTGGAGCCCAGTCCATCACTACCCCAGCAACCACGACATTCCAGTTTTATTACTCGTTACCATCCCCACGGTTCATGAGTTAACCGTCCATTACTCTCCTCTACCCTTCTGGTAGTATCACGACCGCCGCGGTGCGGCATTCTCATCGCGCCATTTCCCAATCTGGAAGTTTCTCACACCTTCACCCCTCAAGCCATCCATTTGAGTGAGACCCCGCCATCACCATCATGGACTCCTTCATCCCGATGGGCGGCGTACAGCTGCCGGCGTTCCAGCGCCGGCTGAGCCGCCTCTACAACGACACCAAAAAGTCATCCGACTTCGTCAAAGATGCGCCGGTGCACCAGCACGCAGAGGCAGACCCGGAAATCAAGACGCTGCACCGCAAGCTGCGGATCCAAAAGGACCGGCTGGTGACATGGGGGCTGGAGTGGTCAGACCCAAACCAGAACCAGTCGGCCGAGGTGCTGATCGACTCGTCGCTGTCCAAGGCCGGGCTGAGCGAGGTGGTGGGCAGCATCATGTCGACCATCAAGGACATCCTGGCGGAGGCCGAGCCGCTGTGGAATAGCTCGCGGCGACTGGCCGGCGAGCGAGTGGATTCTGACACGACCACGGGAGCAGGACAGCAACCGAAACGCGGGGAAAAGATCCGCATGGTAGTCTGGGACAAGAGCCGGTTCGAGGACCTGATCCGGGACCTGACGACGTCGATCGACACGTTGTATGACTTGTCCCGCACGCGGTCTTCACAAGCGTCCGCAGCGATCCGGCAGACGCTTCCCACGACAACAGCGCCGTCTCCGGCCCCCGAAGACCTCCGGCCGTTCGAGTCGTCCCGGATGCAAACGCCGCAGCAGATCGACCCCAACTCGCTGACCAACCTGCGGTCGATGCAGGCGGAACCGATGACGGAGCGGGCGGTGACGGAGCAGGAGCAGCGGGCGCGGGAGATTGTGTTTATGAGCAAGCAGGCGTTTGCCGAGCTGACGCAGACGGCGGCCGCAGGATCTAGTACTGGTGCTGGTGCGAGTGGTACAGGGACCTCGGCGGGAGCAGCAGCCACACGACAAGCGCATGCGCCGCTGCTTCTGGAGTATGCGTCGTTCGACTCCATCTACTCGATGACGGGTATTTCGCCCCCGATGGCGCGGTTCGAGAAGGTGTCAGCCGGGCTACAGGCCGAGCCACAGCGGTCCCCGGGCTCGTGGACGGGGCTGCCGCGGCTGCTAGGGTACTTTGAGGACATGGACAACGCGCGGTTCGGGCTGGTGTACCAGTTCCCGCGCACGTTCAACCCGGTCACGTTTGAGCACCTCACCCAAAACCCGCTGTACAACCTGTGCTCGCTAGCGGACCTCCTGGCGCGTCCGGACTTTGAGCCGAAGTTGGAGGCCAAGTTCCGGCTCGCCGCGAACCTGGCCAACACAGTGTTCGACATGCACGCGCGGGGGATCACACACGGGAACTTGGTGGGCGACAACATCTCGTTCTGCAACGCCGTCGGCACGGACCCGGAGGTCAGCGGTATCACGCAGGGCGAGGTGGACATCCGCCGGCCGCTGATCTCGTCGTTCGACCTGTTTTCCGAGCCGCAGACGGAGGAGGAGCCTGGCCAGTCGGAGTCCCGGCCCTTCTCGCTTTACAAGCACCCACTCGACCCGCGCAACAGCGGCGCGCAGTCCCCTCTGGCACACAACGCCGACTCCAAGACGTTCGATCTGTACTCGCTGGCCATGGTGCTGCTGTCGGTCGGTCTTTGGACCAAGCTTGAAAACCTAGTCCCCAACATGGATTCGCCGACGCTGCCCGCTTCCGTGCTCGAGCAGCTCGCCATTCGCTGCGGCACGCTGTACATGAAGGCCGTGCAGACGTGCTGGAACGCGGTTGACTTGGAGTTGACGGGGGCGCATGTCACGGAGCAGATTGTGTCGCGCGTGCAGTTCAAGGCGAGCCGGTATCTCGAGGCGTGTTGCATCTTGGACGGGGTGAGCAATTTGGAGGAGCGGCTTGGTGATGATTTGGGAGAGCCGAGGGCCGAACCGGTCGCTCAGCAGACTCAGACGACACCAACTCAGGCCCAGACTCCAACACAACAGACGCAGCAAACGCAGGTTCAGCAGACGCAGGTTACAGCTGGTCCATCGATGCGCAAGTCAGACAAGCTGAGGACAGAGGGGCGAGCACAGGTTACAACACAGGAGAAACAGCCTGGGCCAGGTACGTTACTCGAACTAATTCGCAGTTTTAATACCACGAGGTTCCCACTGACTAACAGCCTACAGAAACAAAACCCAAAATGCGGCTCTACCCGCACGTCCCACTCCCCCCCGACATCATCGACAAGTGGAACACAGTCTTCATGCCACAAATCAACACGGCACTCCGACATTTCTACCGCAAACACCCCGAATCCGTCGAAATCTCGCTCGAGTCCATCGGCGACAGCCCGCAGCGCACCACACCCACCGTGCTCGTCGTATGCACCTCAGTCGGCAAAGTCAAAGCCATCCTCAAGAAGAAACTCGGCAGTCTGTTCGACGGCGCTGTTGCGGGGGGCATTTCCCTCAAGGTCTGTCGGGGCCAGGTGTTGCGGTCGCGTAAGCAGACCGTCACGGGCACGGGGTCGAGAAGAACAGGCGGGGCTGCTGCTGCTGGGGGATCGAAGGCGTCGGATAACCCGAGTCGGAGGAGTATGGCGAAGGCGGTGGATGAGGGGAGTGAAGGGGACGGGGATGAGGTGGTTGCTGCGAACCCGGAATTTCAAGAGCGCCCGCGGAATGGGGCGAGTATCGGGGCCTGGATTGGAGACCGTCATCTTCCGCCCGTGAGTCTAGGTGGGGTGATCACGGTGGATGAACGGCAATATGGCATGACGGTACATCACATGCTGGATGATCCTGATCAGGCGGCCGCTGTTTCTTCTACTGCTGCTGTCTTCGGAAAGGGCGGCGGCCCTTCAAGGAGTATGGCTGGTCCTCGGCCGGGCGGCAACAACGACTTGGCTTCGTGGTATGCCGAGCAATACCAACTCAGCGACTCCGACAGCGCTAGCGAAGGGTACACGTGCGAGTTCTCCGACTCCGAGAACGACGATATGATCTCCGAATCGGCCATCACCAGCGACTACTCCGATGAGGACGACGACGAATATGACGACGAAGACGAAGACGACCCGTACAGTGAACCGGGTGATATTCCGGGTGTTGAACCGGGGTGTGGCGAAGGGTATATCATCACGCAACCCGCGCTTGACGACGTTCCTGAGGGGTTTTACCCGTCAGCTGAGACCGAGGACGAGGACCACCTGGACACGTATACTGTCGGCGAGGTGTACGCGTCGAGTGGTATTCGCCGGCGTACCGAGGGCGGACTGCTACATGAGATTGACTGGGCGCTGTTTGAGTTTGACGAGCAGCGCGTGCCGGAAGGGAATGTCATCCCGCATGTCCAGAACATCCCGACAGTTCCCGGGAAAGGTCCCCGACGGCGGATGTCCTGGGAGCCGGAGCTAGCGGTAGTCGAGGACGAACAACACGTAGCTGTGGTCCGCCCGACCTCGGTAGTGCCCTCCGCCAGCCTGCCCGGGCTCGAGGTCCAGTGCATGGCGCGCACTAGCGGCCTGCAGAGCGGCCTGATCCTACCTGCCGTCGCGTCCGTCAAGATCTACGGCCGCGCCTCGCCCAGCCACATCTACCAGGTTTCCGGCACCAACCCTAACCCTACTACTGCCTCCCCCTCTTCGCGGTCCCGGCCGCGTGCATCGTCGTCACCAGTGCTTACCCAACCCATGGGCATCCCCGGCGACTCGGGCGCCTGGGTCGTCGACCGCGACCAGGGCGCCGTGTGCGGCCACATCCTAGCCTGGAGCGAGCGCAAGCGGGTAGCCTACATCTGCCCCATGGACGTTCTCCTGCTCGACATCGCCGAGACCCTCGAGGCCGGCGAGATCCGGCTACCTGGCGGCGAGGTGATCTATTCCCGCCGTCGTGGTGTGTCGGTTTCGTCTGTGGCCGTGTCATCGGTCACGGTGAAGAAGGGGGGTGTCGCGCGCGGGGGTAGTAAGCGCGGGGGGATTGCTTCCTATGACAGCGGGAAGGGCACTACTAGTGCGGTGCCTAGTCCCGTAGAGAGGACGATGTCGCAGGCCAGTCGGTTCAGTCACATGAGTCGCGCGAGTAGTACCCTCAGTCGGGTGTCGGAGCAGGCGTCGGAGCAGGTATCGGAGTTCGAGGAGGATGAGGATTACTTTGGGGATGATAACCGCGGGGGTGGCACTCATAATATACGGACTACTACCACCGCGGCAGCCCGGACTAGTCTGGTCTCGCCTAGCACGGCGTCACCAGGCGCGGGATCTCCCGGGGTCGTCTCGCCGTTGCTGTCACAGGGACAGGGGCCGGGGTCGGCGAAGAGGTTTTCGCAGGCGAGTAGTTCGCGCTCGAGGTTTAGTGGTGTTAGTAGTGGAGGGGGGCAGAGTCCGCTTCAGGGGGTGGTGTCTTCCGATGAACCGGTTGGCACGATCACGGACGATTTGTCGAGCCAGTTTGATCGGGAGCTGCAGTTGACCGAGAAGGATGTGCCGGTGGGGATGATGCGGTGGGTTTCGTGATACCATGTTTTATTTTCTTTGTTTTATTTTTATTTTGAGTCTTGTGTGTTTGGATAGTAGATGGGTTGTGTTTGGGGGTCAGATTTGATGATTTGTTTTGTGAATAGTTTAATTTTTATGTAACGTTATCTTATGTGAATGGAACATGGAAATGTTGTGATGCGAGATTGTCTTCCCTGTTATTGATGTCGTGGAGTTTCCTCTCGCATGTGCTGTCCCAAATTTGTGTAGCTGCTCAGTTTGTCTTCTCCGTCCACAAGCCCCATCATCACTCAGGTAATTAAGTGCCAAGCGCTGGACACACTTGCTGTGTGGTCCGCTCTTGCCTCTTCTCCTTACGCGTGATACATGTGACCACCGCACCTTCCCACTCCTGCCTTTATAACCCCCTCCCAAGTCGCTCCTTCCAACCGCCCCCCCAAATCAACCGGCACCGGCCGAATGGCGAGTTTAGGGGAGCCGTGGGCGTCAAAACCTTCGGGTAGTACACCACGAAACCAAAGCCTAGGGTTCAAATCCTGCGGGCTTCGGTGACCGAGAAAAAACCACCGGGTTTTTCGTAACTGTCCAATATCCCTCGCCCCCCACCGGGGGGGTTGAGATGAGTGGCGGTGAGCTTTTTGTTTTTTTTTTCCTCTCTTTTTTGTTTGCTTACCTTATGTGAGCGGTCAATTCCCAATTTTCGACCACTTGGCTAACACAAGAGTGCCGACTGCTTCAAAGGTCACTTCTAGTATACTGAACGATATAATTATACCCAGCCAACAGTGAAGCCCACCAACTCAACAACCACAACATGGTGCCGGAACTCAGTAAGCGGGCCATAAGAGGGTATATGATGATAATGATACAAAAGAGAGAGAGCCAAAAATACAATTTGATAGTTACCATCTCGGTATTTCTACCTTTTGTCCTTTCCACTGTTCTTGTCCACTGTCCTTCCTGTCCGTCTGCCTTCAACGTCCTCCATACCGGTTATCTTGACGTCTATTTGTTCCCATTCCCCCCTGTGAATACACTCGGTACCCAACGACTCACACGCTAAGAAAAGAAAACAAGAAAAGAAAAGTCATCATCTTCGTATCAATCCAGCCTGCTCTCCCCATCCTCCTACTAACTGCGTATTCACAACTCATCCCGCACAACACTCCTCACCTTCTCGCCAACCTCACTAATCCCCTCCTCCACACGCCCAACTACACTGCCCGCAGCCTCCCACGCCCCACCCGTCGGATACGCCAGCACCTCCCTCACTTTCTCCAGCACGCTCTCCGAAAACGACGGTTCCTTACTGACACCCACCAGCGCCTCAGACAAGATACTGCTCACGGCGGAATACTGCCTTGCAATCTCCTCAGAGCCCACCGAGATGTATGTTCCCGCCGCGGCGGTGACCGTGGATCTTGTATCGTCCGCCGCGGAAGCATACCCGTCCAGCGCAGATGACAAACCAGCGTACCACGCCGTGGGGGTAGGCGCGCCATAGACTTGGATACTCACGCGCGAGACGATGACTTCCCAGGTCTCGGCGATCTGGTCGGATGCGGCAGAGGCGGAATCGTAACCTGCTGCGGCCAGGGAAGATGCGTTCTCGGATGCGGCGGAGGCTACGGATGCGGCATTTCCGCTGGCGGCCGATACCACAGAGGACACGTTGTCCGCGGCGGAAGACAGCGCAGCGGAGGCGTCCTCACTAATGGCGGCTGCCACGGACGCGGCAGACGCGTTGGCGACGGAGGCGAGGGAGGATGCGCTCCCGATTACGTCGGTTGGTGTGGGTTGTGTAGATGGCACCGTGACGGAATGCAGGGCAGAGCTCGCGCCCGCGAGGAAATCCGAGTACCGCTCGTGCGCAACACCCATGGCAGCGTAGTAGTTGTGTCGAGCGTTGTCAAGCAGTTTGTGGACGTGCTCGGCGGGGGTGGACGGGGTAGGCGTGGGCTCGGTAGCTAGGCCGATGGCGTGCTTGGCGGACTCGTATTGCTCTTCGGCCCAGGTACGGCCTTGCTGGAGGCGCTCGGCAGCGATGGACTCGATGTGAGCCCAGTCGACCGTCGGGATGTCGGGGACCGGGATGGTCGTCGGGAGGATGTTGTTTGTAGTAGTGGGCTTAGTGGTGGTTCCGTAGAGCTGGTCGGAAGCCGCCTGGATGGCGACATCGAGGCGGGCGCTGGCAGAGGCCATGGCGCTACTGTAGGCGGCGGTGACCGACGCGAGGAGCTTCTCGTGGGCCGGCTGCGGTGTGCCATGGATCTGGGCGGACACGATAGAGAGGGCGTGCGAGTACTGCTCATTAGCGAGCGACATGGCGGATGTGTAGGCTGACTTGAGGTCATCGCGCATGGACTCCACGGCCGCGGACACGTCGTCGAAGGTGTCGTCGAGGATCGGTTGACGGTTGGGGACCGCCTGGGCGGCCGCGCCGAAGAGAGCGGGTTTGACGGTCGCAGTCTCGGAGACTGGCAGACCTTCGTAAGCCTCTGTCTCGTCCACTTCGTCTTGACTAGTCTCGGTTTCGAGTTCCTCCTTGTCTAGGTGAGTTTCGACCTCCTCATCTTGGCTAATGGTTGCCTCGGCGTCCTCGCCATCGTGACTGGTCTCCTTGGCGTCCTCATTGTGCACAAGCTCTTCCGGGGCAGGTTCCTCCTCCCGTTCGGTCTCTGGTTCAGCCGCAGTGACGTTTCTGACGATGACGGGTGTCTCGAACTGGTTCTCAGCCTCAGCCGTGAACTCTTCGGTAGTCCCGACCACGGGCTCGGCAGTCTCCGTCTCTGTCTCTGTCTCGGCCTCGAGCTGCGTCTCAGCTTTAGGCTCGGTCTGATGGGCGTTGACTCCCTCGGTTTCCTCAGACTCAGGAACAGGTTCAGAAACTTCCATCTTAGCAACCTCCTCGGGCTCAGGAGCGTCCGTCGGGCTGGTCTCGGGCTCCTCTACAGACGCCTCAGTAGACACGCCCTCGGTTTGCTCGCTTTCAGCCTCTGCCGTACCAAGCACAGCCTCCGACACGATACCCGCCCCCTCAGCAAACCCCTCGGCCACCGCATCCCCAGCGGCCTGCACCACCTGCCGGGCCGCTTCAACAGCCTCCGCAGCCTGCTGCATCAGGGTGCTATCAAACTCGGCCGAGTCATCACCAGCCGTCAGTTTCCACCCGGCAACCTGCTTCAGCCTCGCCAACTCACGCGCCGCGGCAGCCGCAGCATCCATGGCGTCGTCCTCAATGGTCGCCGCCTCGATCTGCGCGGCCTCGAGCGTCGGGTGGCTCGTGACGTGCTGCTGCAGGTCCAGCTTCCACTCGTCGAACCGCGACTTGAGCAGGTGGTACTTCTGCCAGTCCTTGTATGTGATCCCGTCTGTCCACGCCCACTTCATGCCGATCTTTTGCAGCGCCAGGTCGCGGATGTTTTCGAGGATTGTGAAGTGTGTTTCGGCCGCTTGCGTGATGGAGGTCTGCATCTCGCGCTCGTAGTCCTCACGCCATTGGCGGACGGCTTGGCCTTTCTCCTTGACAGCCATGCCGGCGCGGCGGACGAGTTGGACGATTTGCTCCTGCGCTTGCTCGGAGGTGACGGCGTCGGACTTGGCTGCGGTGATGACCTCGAGGATGTCGCGGCGGAGGCTGACGAGGGCCGACACGGTGGTGGTGCGCAGCTGTTCGAGATGGGACTGGCCTGTGATGCGGGCGTTGCGTCGGATCATCCGCTTGGCGATCTCCTGCACACGGTCGTCAATCTCCGATGCGGCCTCGTCGGCGGCTTTGGCGTACCGCTCTTGCCAGTCTCGGAGGTCGGCCGCCACAATCTCGCGCGTCTCCTTCCGACCGGGCTCTTCGCGTTCCAGGTTCTCGTCAACCTCGGGCGGGGGGACCGGTTCGAGGGTCGACCGAGGCCGGCCGGAGTTGCGGTCTTTCTTGGATTCGGTCGAGGACGAAGAAGAGGAAGATCCAGAAGCGGAAGCGCTAGAAGCGACAGAAGTCGAGGATGAACCGGAAGCGGAAGCACTAGTCACCGAGGCCGCGGGCTTGGTAAACGAAGAGCTGGTCTCAGTCGACGCACTGCTCGAGAACTCGGCCGGCGGTTTCGGCACAGACTTCTTGCCCGAGCTGTACCGCCCCAGCCGCTTGCCAATCTTGTGCAACTGCGGCTCGACATTTTCCACATAAATCGCCTTCACCTGCGGGCCGACAGTCCCGTCCAGGAACACATACGTCTTGTTCCACGTCCACACAAACGCCGGCACCACCGTCTCGCTCGTGAATACCGACGCGGTCCGATACCCCTCCGCCAGCTGCGGCTGCACGTACTGGTACGCCGGCACCAGCCGCTCGTGGTACGTCTGGAGGCCATTGGTCCACGCGTTCTCATAGTATGGGCCTAGCGCCGTCGACACGCGGTCGAGGTGGGGGGCTAGCCGCTCGTCGTATTGTGCTCGCGCGAGGACTTGGTACTTTTCCACCTGCGGCTGCACCGTCTTTTTCCATTGGGTGGCGCCCAGCGCCTGGAGTTGTTCGACGCGGGGCGCACCGTGTTGTTTGGCGTAGCGCCATCCGGGCGTCAGGACGCGCTCGTCGATAGTGTGGTAGTACGGGCGCACCAGCTCGACGTAGGGCGCTGCGTAGGTGTCGTAGTATGGTTCCAGGTGGGGGGCCACGGCGTGTTTGAGCTGGAAGTAGGGCTTGCAGAGGCCTGGTGTTGTCTCGTCGCAGGCGTCGAGCGTCGCGGGGCAGCGGAAGAGGATGGTCAGGATCGTGTACCATGTGAAGAGGCTGGTTTTCTTAGCGGGCAGAAACACGTACAAGTTGTGAGAGAGAAAGTAAATACTATACATACCGAGCAGCAACGCTAAACAGCCAAGCGAAGACTCCTGGCCGGCGGGCGGCCTTGACCCTGCGTTGCTGTGGACCACCGAGTGCACGCCCTTTTATCGGCTTGACGCCGTTGATACCACCGACCCCATTAAGACCACTAATGCCATTCGCAGCGCGTGGTGTTGATGTCGCCCCGGGGCCCTTGCCGGCCCTCGAAGTCCCGTTCGCAGCGTCCATCGTCAGATCGCGATGCGGCGTTGTTCAGCGCCAGGCTGACTTTCCCAGACACCGCGCCAGCTCAGGTGTTGGTTTCCCTGGCTGTATGTACAAAAAAGCGGCCGATTCTTGTACGCTTGTTGTTGTCGACACGATGGCTGGCCGCCGACTTGTTGATCGCAGCGACTCGGCAAGAAGTGGAAAGTGGCCGGTTTCCAGGGATGCGGCGGATGAAACGCTCTCGCTAAGCTTGGGGCGCGTCCGGGCGGGTTGGCGGGCTGGAAAAGTAGTCGGAGAAATGATGCTAGCCGGGGGCGGAATGGCTCACTATCGCGTGGGCCGCGGCTTATCGCAGGGCTGGAACAGCAGAGGTAGGGACGATAAGTGCAAGAAATATGAGTGCTGCTTTCGTCAAAGGGTTCAGATGCAAACAAATAAGACAGAGAAGAATTGCGAAAGCTACGCCAGTCAAAGATTTTCACGAGAAAAGGGAGAGTAAAAATCAGTTGTTCAATCTGGCGATGGTTCGATCTTTGTTCTGCTGCAACTCTACGCTATCAATGTCAATCCCACCAGAATCGGGAATTGAAGCTTGCTTCCAAGTCGCGACTTTCGCTGTGACGCAGGGCCCCACGCACCCGAGGACGTCATTTGCAGCCGGCCCAGCCAATCTCAGCGCTGCGAGCTGCGCTTGGCTTGCTCCGACAGGACAAGCAAGAGCCGGACCTGTGGGTTTTGGCTGCGCTTTTCAGCTGTTGAGTTTTCATGATCGGAAGAGCATGTGGAATCGAGATTGGGACTGGAAGATGCCATGGTTGGTGATTTTCTTTGGGTGTTTCTTCCTTGCCTGGGATGGCAACCTGCCGACCGGAGTTGCAGTCTGGATGCCCCACCATCTATCTGCAAGACACTCTACACTACCTCGCTATGGCCAAAAAAAGCGGCAGACCAAGTCCCTGGATAACTTACTTTGCTACAAACGTGAAAAAAGACAAAAAGAAGAAACCAAAAAAAAGTGAAAGAAGACAAAAAAGAATAATCTAGAGAGTGAAAAAAGACAAAAAAGAGTAAATCCATCAAATTTACCAAGATTTGATCGAATGTTAATGGATTGGACTTGAGCTATCTGTTTGAGTGTGCCGGGTTTTTTGGCCATAGCGAGACTACTTCGCCATAACTTTATCACTTGCCACGGGAGGAAAATCCCATGTTTCATACCAGATCCTCTACGGAAGAAAAGTGTGAAGTCCCGGACCGAAGCTTTATCCATCGTGTTGTCGGGCCAGCTACGCCTCAAGCAAGACGGGAGGTGGTCATCCAGTGGACTCGGTATCGTCAACGAGAAATTAAACCGCCGACATGTGATAAAAACCAAAGTCTTCAAAGAATTGCTTGCCCCGGAAGGAACAAGTAACCCAGCACTGTATGGCCAGTTTTGTTTCCCACCTAGAGATAGTCAAACATTGAATCTTGTAAATTGTACACAGGAAGCAAGCTCGGAGGTGTCCCAAAAGATACAGAAGGCAAACGCCGTGTAGTCATGTTACAGTGACAGCAAAGCAGAAGATTGTGGCACGTGCGCGACCCACATCCCAGCGCGTCCGCGAATTTAATTGGTCTTGGCACCTCCCAACCATGTTCGTCCGTCAATCGCCGGCCAAGCCCTTTTTTCGATTCGCCATCCATTGAAACACCCATCATCAAACGGGCATCTCGCAACCATCCCGAGGCCAGAAAGTCTCACTTTTGCCCAACCGACGACCTCGAGCACCCGAATTTCCCACCGACTGTACAATAATACACAGCACGTACGAAAAGAGAAGCGCAACAGCAAAGAGCCAGGAAGGAGCCAGGAACCTCCCAAAGCTGATCAACATTGACATCGAATCCCACATCTCGACAAACGCACTAACGTTATCATACACTTTCATCGCCTGCTCATCGGGTTTTCTGCACCACCATCGACGAGCCAGTACCAAATCACCGCCGACTCCGAATACGCCGCGTATTTGACCACGAAACACAAAAACAAGCCTCAACACTCCCGTCTTCAACCCCCCACCCCCTGATGGGAACGAGCCCACTCTCGCCATGACGTCGAACGGCGTGCCCTTCAACCAGCCGCCCGACCCGTCCATGGCGGCGGCCATGGACGAAGGTCTACCCCCGGAGCCCTTCCCAGCTCCCCATCCCGAACCAGGCCCTGTCCTCGACGCCGATGCCGACCCGAACCCCATCCGCTTCCCCAACACACGACGACGCCGCGGATCGGCCGACTCCTCCGAGTCTACAGCCTACAACGGCAACAATGGCGGTGGCACCAGCAGCAACAAGAACACCCCGTTCAACACCCCGCACACCCCCAAACCCACATCCACATCCTACTCCGACCCAGACACCTGCCGCATCTGCCGCGCCGAAGGGTCCCGCGAGGAACCGCTCTTCTACCCCTGCAAATGCAGCGGCAGCATCAAGTATGTGCACCAGGACTGCCTGATGGAGTGGTTGTCCCACTCGCAAAAGAAACACTGCGAGCTGTGCAAGACGCCGTTTCGCTTCACCAAGCTGTACGACCCCAACATGCCCAAGGCGCTACCGGCGTATGTGTTTCTCAGGCATACGACAAAGTACATATTTCGGAACTTGCTGGTGTGGCTGCGGGCGGTGCTGGTAATTAGTGTGTGGCTGGGGTGGCTGCCGTATATGATGCGATCGGTGTGGTCGTGTTTGTTTTGGATCAGTGACGAAGGGTTGTTGGGCGGGCGGTCAGGGTTTTTTGGCGGTGGCTGGCCGTCATCGGTCGGGGATAATGGGTTAGGCTGGGATGGGCTCGCGGATGCCCTGCTCCCCTTTGGGGCGGGTGCGGTATGCCCTGCCAGCCCGCTGCTTGCCCCGACGACGACGCCGGTGGGTATTGGTGGCCTTCTAAACAGTTTGCCGCCCGAGTCCGCCAAGTTGGTCCGGACCCTCTACGGGATCAACTTGACGTCGAGCGACCCGATCTACTCGACCTTCTTGCGGCTGCTGTTTGGCAGCGGGGGGTTGTCAAGTTCGGATACGGTGTTCACTGGGAGCTACGCTCATTACAACGTGAATAATACGTCAACGCGACTCCCCGAGCCGGAGCGCGATACGTTGCTGAGTGGGGTCAACTTCATACGGAACCTCACCTCCAGCCAGACAATCAACCGGATTATCACAGACATCCTCGAAGGGCAAATCATCACGCTGCTGGTCATTGTGTGCTTTATCCTCATCATACTTGTGCGGGACTACGTGGTGCAGCAGCAGCCGGAGATTAACATGCGGGCGGCCTTTGCGGCAGCAGGGAATCAGCCGCAGGCGGATGCCGTGGAGCCGGGACATGGGGATATTGGGCTGGATGAAGAGGTGGAGGAGGATGAAGAGGATGACGAAGACGATGAGGACGAAGAAGAAGATGGTGAGGATGAGGATGACGAGGAGAATGGCCATGGCCAGCATGAGGAAGTGGAAGAAGATGAGCTAGAAGCGCATGAGCACCATTTCGGGGATTTCCCCCTGGGGCTCGCGGCGCATCACCGGTTCGATGACTCGGCCAGCGAGACGATCGATGGGGACGGGCCTTCGCCATTCCCGGACCACATCCCCAACTTCATGGGCGAGCCTTCGTCAGGCTCAGGTTCGGGATCACAGCCTGTGAGAGCTTTCCCGCCTGGATCCAACTTCCGCCCTGCCGTTTTGCCCGAAAGTGAGGGCCAGGTGCAGGACTTTGACCGGGCGACGGTACACGAGTATCTGGCTATTTACCGCGAAGCGGGTGGAGATGCAGAGAGGATTATGATGCTTGCGCAGGAGCGGGGACTGGAGATGAGGCTGGACTATTGGTTGCGCCTAACCCGGTCGATGATGGCCCGACAGCGCGAGGCCGAGCAGACTACTGGACCGTCTGACTCGGTTGGTCAAGGTCAAGGGGTTGGAAATGGGGAGAATAGCAGCTTGTTTGGTGCGCCTGCTCAGTGGTCGTTCCGGGACGCTAATGGCAACGGGACTGGGAATGAGGACGGACACAGGGACGCGGACAGGGACAGGGACCTTAAGGAGGATGAGACCCGCGGGATTCTAGGCGGCCGGATCGCGAACCCGCTGCGGCCAAGGGCACACACGGACGGGCCCCCGATCAACAACACGATCAACCCGCTAGCTAACAACAACTGGTCGTTTGCCGAGCTACCACCTGCTGCTCCGTCATCTGGCGCATCGGGTTCTCAACCGCCAATGTTTCTCGGTGCGGACCGGCCGGTCGAACCAGAACGGGCTTTCCCAGCGTGGGACCCGTCAGAAGATGTCCCGGAACCCGTAACACACACGATCCGACCGCCGACACCACCGCGGGGTGCAAACAGGGGATATATGGGCATCCCCAGGACGCCTTTGCCGCCTTTACCACAAGCGCCACAGCCAGAAGCAGCTATCCCAGTGCTACCAGAAGCAGTACCACAGCCACCACCTGCTGAAGGAGAACCATTAGCCGCCGTACCAACACCAACAACACCAGCAGCAGCAGGAGCAGCGGCAGCGCCTACACTAAGACCTGCACTTGTACCAGCAGCACCTCGACGTCCTGGTTTCGCAGGCCGGATCGCCGACTTCATGTGGCGCGATGTCGAGAACCTCGAAGAAGCCGATCTCGCACCCGTCAACGTTGTGGGCGACTTTGCCGAAGATGACCCCGACGACGACGTCCACGGCAACAACGGGCCACCACCACCACCCAATAACAACGCAGGCGACGACGCCGCCGCTGGCGCCGCAGCAGCAGTAGCAGCGGCAGCAGCGGCCGCAGCACAAGACGGAGATGCCGCCGACATGGCCGCGGCCGGGCTCGACGCGGAAGCGATGGAGGATGCCGAAGACCTCGAGGGTATCCTAGAGCTGCTAGGTATGCGCGGGCCGATCTCGGGCCTGTTCCAGAACGCCATCTTCTGCGCGTTCCTGGTGTCCATGACGATCTGCTTGGGGGTGTTTGTGCCGTACAATATCGGCCGCGGTACGATCTGGGTGCTGGCCAATCCGTACCGCATCGCGCGCATGGTGTTTGGCTTCTGGACCATGGTGCAGGACTTGGTGTTGCTGGCTTTGGGGGCGGTCGCCACGGCAGCGTGCGAGTTTGTTCGCGTGATTCTGGGCCAGGTGTTACGGGTGTCGTTTGTGGCGAAACATGCCGGCGACGGGGTGCGGGTGTCGTGGGCGATTGCGAAGGGCGCGGCAGGTCGGATCGGGAGCAGCTTTGTGTCGGATCTACCGCTGTTCTCGGCGGCTGAGGTGCGCAATTTCTCGGCGGTCAGCCACGAGGCGCTGTTCTCGCTCAAGGCGAGTGTTGGGCAGGCCGTGGCTGGCGTGGGCCACGGCGTGGGATATTTACTGGGGGGTGATTATGCGAGAAAAGGGGCCGAGGTCTATGCTGTTGCGGGTGAAGCTTGGGGGGTTGTCAAGGAATTTGCGGCGAACCCCAACTCGTGGAATCCCAGCTCATGGAATCTCAGTTTGCAGATCCCGAGCGGGGACAACATCACCAAGGCCATCGACCCTGACCTCGCGCACTGGAACGGCATGGACCGGTTCTGGGCTGTGCTGGCCGGCTATGCCTCGTTCGCCTCGGCGGCCGCGCTGTATCTCCGGCACGGCCTGCCGTTCTCGTCATCGTCCGGCGCGCAAGAGTGGGAAGCGTCGCTCGTCGACGTGCTCACCCAAGCGAGCGGCGTGCTCAAGGTGATCCTCATCATCAGCATCGAGATGCTCGTGTTCCCACTGTACTGCGGCCTGCTGCTGGACATTGCCCTGCTGCCGCTGTTCGAGGCTGCTACCTTCTCGTCGCGCCTGCGATTCACCCTGCGCTACCCGCTGACGTCCATCTTCGTGCACTGGTTCCTCGGCACCGCCTACATGTTCCACTTCGCCCTATTTGTATCAATGTGCCGCAAGATCATGCGCAAGGGCGTGCTCTACTTCATCCGCGATCCGGACGACCCGGAGTTTCACCCGGTCCGTGACGTGCTAGAGCGCAACGTCACCACCCAGCTGCGTAAGATCCTGTTCTCGGCTTTCGTGTACGGCGCGTTGGTCATCGTGTGCCTCGGCGGCGTGGTCTGGGGTTTATGGGTGTGCATCCGCGGCGTGTTGCCGATTCACTACGCATCCAACGAACCCGTGCTCGAGTTTCCTCTCGACCTGTTGTTTTACAACTTCGTCATGCCTTTTGCTGTGCGCGTCTTCCAGCCTAGCCACGCCCTGCATGCCATGAACACCTGGTGGTTCCGCCGTTGTGCGCGTGCCCTGCGCATCACCTGGTTTCTCTTTGGCGAGCGCCGCATGGACGAGGAAGGGGTATTGGTTCTGGCCGAGGACTCCCCTGATCGGGCACTGCCCTTTTGGCGCCGCTGTTTCCTGGAGATTGACCGCGAGTCGGGGCGGGTCGTGGCCCGTTCCTGGCGGGGGATTTTCGAGGCCGGTATCGCGAAGCCCATATCCATCCAAAACGGCCGGCTGGTCGACCACAATGCTGGCAAAGCCAAACTCGTGCGGACCGGCGAGTTGATCGAGAATGGCCGGTTTGTGCGCACCCCGGCGTCCGACCAGGTCAAGATCCCCAAGGGCACGGGTGTGTTTTTGCCCGTCGACGAGAACAACCGACGCATCGATGCCAACGAATTGGACGGCCCCTCGCGAGGCACACGCCCTTCCGACATCTACTCGACCAAGCACTACCAGATCGTCTACGTGCCACCACACTTCCGCCTGCGCGTCTTTGCCTTCATCCTGTACATCTGGATCTTTGCTGCCATCACGGGCGTCACTTTCACTATTGTCCCGCTCGTCTTTGGCCGCTGGATGCTGCGCCAGCTGATCCCTGCACATATTCGCACCAATGATGTGTATGCTTTTAGTCTAGGCGTACATGTCCTGGGGTCGGCGGTGTACGCGCTTTTCCATGCGAGAAGCATCTATGCGAGTGTGAAGCACTGGGCGGTGGTGCGCGTCGGGGGTGTGGTCAGGGATAGTGGGGTGTTGGGGGGGCTAAAGAGGGCGACGGAGCGGGTCTTGAAGGTGGTTTATACCTATGCTTTTGTGTTGGTGGTCGCGCCGTTGATGACGGCGTCGTTGTTGGAGCTGTACTTGCTCATTCCGCTCAATGAGATCATGTACGGCATGGGGACTTTCCCACTCGTCGTCTCTAACACCAACACAACTGCTTTCAGCTCCACGAACAACACCACGCTCAACCCGGCCAACATCTTCAACGCCACAACAACAGCAACCCCCCTCGCAGAACTCCAACCAACCCACTACCCATCCCCCCCACACACCATCCGCCTCGTCCAGTCCTGGACCATCGGCCTCCTCTACCTCAAACTCGCCACCCGCTTCATCAACACCTGCTTCCGCGGCTCACGTCTCTCCAACGCCGCTCGCGCTGTCCTCCGTCGTGGGTGGCTTGACCCAGATGTGCGTATCCTCACGCGCTGCTTTGTATTGCCTGCTTTGGTTGCATGGATTGTGGCTGTTACTGTGCCGTTGGGTTTGGCTGCGGCTTTGGTGAGACGGTGGGCGCCTTCTGCGGAGCATATCGTTATGGCAGGTGACGGGTTGGAAGGGGTCGAAGGGATGGGCGAAGTATTAGAAGGGTTGGTGGACGGGTTAGATGTGGAAGGGTTAGAAGACATAGGCAAGGCCGTCGTGGCTGTGTCAAGCACGACGGTGTATAGGTTGAGTTACCCGATTGTGGCCGGGGTGGTGAACTTGGGGTGGTTTGTGTGGAAAGGGGTGGGCGTGTGGAGGGGGTGGAGGGTGAGGATAAGGGATGAGGCGTATTTGATTGGGGAGAGGTTGCATAATTTTGGGGGGAGGATTAGGGGGTAAGGAGGTTATAACCCTGGGTGTACGTAGACGGGATCGAGGATGGGGATAATTTTATTGAGAACTGATGTTTCTTTACTTTATTTTATTTTATCTCAGCGGTGTGTGTCTTGTTTTCCCTTTTTGGCAGTCTCTCCTTATCCGGTTTGTTTTGCTGCCATTGCTTGTTGGCTTGTCTCGTGCGCTGAGTCAGGTTGAAAGGTTGGCGTTGGGCAGGGCATGGGGGTATGCATGGACAGGACAGCACGGGACAAGACATATCTGGGAGTTAGGGCTAAGTTAAGTGAGCTATTGATAGTGAATAATGAGTCTTCATCTGTGATGTGCTGTTGTGTGTTTGATGGGAACTGAATTGGGTTGAGAATTCTGAGACGGACGCCTTTAACTCGTGTAAATCGCAATTCGGCACGTAGCTAAAATGATGGTAAATTGTAATAAAATGTAGTGGCACAAGACAAAACATGGGTAAGTTACATTCAACAGATTGGGTCAAGTCCGTTTACATTGTTTGGTACATACATACGTTAGTACCCTCGTCCTCAGGCTTTTATGGGTGTTTTGTCCCGGGTTGGACAGCCACAAGTCTGTTCACAATTGCAGGTTTACCTTGCAATTTTCATCTTTTTTTCTTTCCATTACTTTTTTGCGAAGGAAGCTGAACGCAGTTACAGCTAACTATTATGCAGGCGAAGGTATGTAATTATGCGTTTAGGCATGGTGCAGCTTGAGAGTAGCTCGCTGTATTTGCACATCACTATACCAGCTTGATCAGCCAGCAGAGAGAACGGACAGCCTTCTTGTACGATCTTACCAACACACCACCTCGAGCGTAACACTTTCTACCGGAGGCTTAACAACTAATTAGACAGCCTGGGATGAAGACAACAGTCGTAAAATACCCGCACGGGACACGTGCACGGTGGCTGGCAGTTTGAAGGAACTCGTCCGGCTCGAAAACTCTGAGATTCAGTCGAATTCTCCGCATATCCACCGTCTGTGTCTGTTGTTCTCAACATACGTAACGAACGAGTCAGTGTGGAGAGGGCACGTACCTTGCGGATTCTCACAACGATCAGGCATCATGGTATCACGGGATGGATCTACGGATCTACGAACAGCCAAGGAGGGCTGTGGGAAGAGGAAATCACGGAATGCAAATAAAAGGAGCAGGCATAACAGCGAAAAGCGAGATGGCGCCAGGACCGCACGTGTATTATCAAGGCGGATCGTTAAGGTCATCTGAGGCTTGCTCGGTTAGCTTATCGCTGATGAGCGAGGCCAAGACTATCCACCTTGTGATCAACCCGCTCGCTCCTCCACTTGTTTCCGACAACAAGACGGTGGCAGGTCGTCTATTGAGCACGTGCTTTCCATCGTGTAAATTGCTCCAATTCACCTCGCCGCCATTGCCACTTGGCAGCCGTGGCCACGTCCGTCGTGTCTCGTCACATGGGACGTACGGGATGGCGATGTTAATTCCAGGTCTTGGCCAGCGTCTAATGGTCAAAAGTCTCTCGCGAGCGGGGTGAGTAGCGAGTCATTAACTACAGTATTTAAACATCGGACGGGGCTTGGCGTAGATGTAATAGATAGTTGCCCGCCATGGTCAGAGTTGTTTCGCTCGTCTGTTTTGCCACAGCTGTTTGTTGAAACGCCAAGTCGAGTTAAGAAACAAGAGGCGATTGTCGAGCTGATTTTTAAATATCGGCCTAGGCTATCTCGCTCATCTCAGTCACCCACTCTACGATTCTCACATCTTTAGTCTCGTCAGTTGTACATACCAAATCGGTCGAATAATGCCTCGGAGCTCTTCAGACCCCCCCAACTCAACCCCCATCCAAGACACCCAACACAGGCCACAGTCTCCTCATGGCTTCCTCCCAATAGATCCCCCGTCAGGGCGGGACATGCCAACCTACTCAGCCCGGCCGTCGACCGAGTCCTCTCGTGCCGACCACCTGGACGACCTCGAGAAGAGCCTCCCGATCCACACGATTCCGTCTCTGCGACTGCAGCTATGGCACTCTATCCGGCATGGCCGAAGGGTCATTGGCGAACCCCCGGACATATTGCCCGACGAATCTCATCATCACAACTCTCCACCTCACAACTCCCCTCACAACAATACCAAAGACGACGATGATACCAATACAACCAACAACGACACCCCCCAGAAGCTATCTCTCCGCACTCGCCTCCGCCACTTCACCTGGGCCTGGTACACCCTGACCATGTCCACAGGCGGCCTAGCCCTGCTCATCCGCGCCCAACCACACACCTTCCCAGGCCTGCACCAAATCGGACTGGCCATCTTCCTCCTCAACATCCTTCTGTTTCTCCTCGTCACAGCAGCCCTAATCACCCGCTTCTGTCTCTACCGCGGCACCTTCCTCACCTCCATGACCCACCCGCGCGAGGGGTTCTTCTTCCCGACCTTCTTTTTGTCGTTGGCAACCATCATCACCTGCACCCAGCGCTACGGCGTACCATCCGACCCGGAATCCGCCCTAAAATCCACCCGCCCCCTGCTAAACACCATCCAAGCCGCCTTCTGGATCTACGTGGTTTTATCCACAGCCGTCGCCATAGGCCAATACTCCCTAATCTTCTCCTCCACACACAAATTCGCCCTCCACACCATGATGCCCACCTGGATCCTGCCCATCTTCCCCATCATGTTGTCAGGGACAATCGCGGCCGTAATCGCCGACACGCAACCCGTTGATTCCGGGGTGCGGATCGTTTCGGCGGGGTGGACATGTCAGGGTTTGGGCGTCGCCGTGGCGTTTATGATGTATGCGCATATGGTGGGGAGGTTGATGCAGAGTGGGTTACCCGATCGGGAACATACGCCGGGGTTGTTTATGTGTGTCGGCCCACCGGCGTTTACGGCGTTGGCGTTTATTGGGCTGGCGAAGGGTTTACCGGAGGAGGTGGATCACGATTTGGATGGGGTTGGGGATGCGGCGATGGTTGAGACGGTGGGCGTGGTGGGGGCTGGGTTTCTGTGGGCGTTGAGTTTGTGGTGGTTTGGGATTGCGTTGTTGGCGGTTGTTCGGCGGCCGCCGAGGTTTTTTCATTTGGGTTGGTGGGCGGCCGTGTTTCCGAATACGGGGTTTACACTAGCGACCATCTCGTTGGGGACGGCGTATCGGAGTGAGGGGGTGTTGTGGTTTGCTACGGGGATGTCGCTGTTGGTGTTGGGGGTGTATTTGTTTGTGTTGGTGCATCATGTGCGGGCGGTTGTCGTTGGCGAGATTATGTACCCGGGGCGGGACGAGGATATAGAGGAGCATTAATTCATTGTCTCTGTAGTTAATTAGTTCACGCAGCCCATAGTCGAATCTTACAATAGAATCAACGGTAGATGCAGAGGGCATGAGAAGTAAGGAGCGTGAGGTGGCCGACGTAGATGGTCTCGCGACCACAACGCTGTAACAGCCTTTTAGTTATTGAGCGAATGGATTGGTCAGATATCAACCATGAATCTCAATCCTGCAACAGAAACATCCAGTGAGTGTTTCCCCCAGTTGGTTTCCCAAGTCGAATACCCCCTAGCCTGTTGTGATTGGCCGGACGCCAAAAGTAAACAACTTGCCTCTTTCGGCTAGACTCTGCCCCCCTTTTCCCCTTTCCTTGTCATACCAGACACTTACCTTTTCTCAATCTAGCTAATCCCGATTTTAAGCGAGTGTAGTGTGTAGCTATACTTCCAAAGCAAACGACGACCAAACACCCACCTTACTCCATCTCCATCAGTCTACGACTCTCCACTTCTCTCTGCGTCTCTCTGCCCTCCGACCTAGCCTGTCCACTCCCCCAGAGAAACCCCAACCCAAACCCAAACGACCACGACCACGCAATCCGCTGACTACTGACTGTCTCAATCGCCAGATCTTCGGTTGCCTCCCGCGACTCCTGAACGAACCGTGGACCCTGACCCTGACCCAGACCATGCTCCTGCCTCTGCTCCAGACCTTGACCTCGACCACCCACCCTCTGCACAGCATCCACCGACGCAGCCGCCCGCCCCAGAGTGTTGTACACCAACTGTCCATATTTCTTCTCTCCTTCACCTCCCTCTCCCCCACTAGGCGGTGTTCCCGGTCCATCTTCGGAGACAGGCGTGGTGGGCCCGCTAAACGTGAGATTCGGCGTCGGACAGGTTACGGTTCCCGTGTCTAGCCTGTCAAGATCGGCGTTGATGTTGATACCGCTGCTCTGGGGTTTCTTAGGACGGGGTGGGAGGGGCGGTGGGTTTACCTTCTCTTCACGCTTCTTCTTCTTCTCACCATCTTCCTTTTCCTTCGCCACAGCCACATGCGCATCCCCTTGACTCGTCACCTTCTCCCCCAACACATCATCCGCATACACCCGCTCACCCAAATCCTTATAAAACGCACCCACATCCATGTCCCCGCCCTTCTTCCCCTCCAACTCCCGCATCGCGTCTCGGTACATCTCCCGCATGGCATCCACTTTGGCCCTCGACCGCGGTACAGCCTGGAAGTCAAACGGCGTGGGCTTGGCGATCAACAGCGGGGTGTAATCGTCCCAGTGGACGGGGATATCCTCGCCTGTGACCGGATCTTTTTTGCACCCGATGTTGAAGGCCCAGGCCATGCCGCCCATGGTTAGAAAGAGGTCTTGCTCCACGATGGGGATGCCTTGGCAGGTGCGGCGGCCGAAGCCGAATTGGGAGAAGCCGGAGAGTTTGGGGTATTCAGTCAGGGGTTCGCGGTAGACAGGGGAAGACGGGTCGAGCCAGCGGTAAGGGTTGAAGGTTTCGGCTTCTGGGTACTTGCTCTCGTCGCGGGTGATGCCCCTGGATTTTTGGTAAATAAAAATAAACACAGAAAAAAGGGGGGAATGATAAAAAGGCTTACCACTCCAGGGCGTGTATCGTAGCGCCAGCGGGGATATGATACCCCTCATACACATCATCTCGTTCACTCGCATGCGGAATCCCTATCTACGTCAGCCCCCACCCAGGCCAAAAGACAAAAGTCAACCAGAAACTCTTACCAGTCGGCACAGGCGGCCTCCACCGAATCACCTCCTTCACCACGGCCCTCAACAACGGCAACTCCGCCCGGTCCTCCCACTGTGGACACCTGCCTCCCAACACCTCATCGATTTCCTTCTGAAGCTTGCACTGCCACTCCTGGAAATGACACATGGCTAGGATGTAGCTCTGGATGGGGCTGCCGATGGTCAACGCACCCGCGATGGCCATCAGTCCGACTACGTGAGAGGCTTGGTCTGGTTCGCCCCAGCGGGCGCGGACGCGCTCGTCGGGGGAGGATTTGGTTTCGAAGAAGGTGCGGATGAAACTGGGTTCAGCAGGGTGAGGGTTTTCCGAGAGTGCTGCTGGTTCGCCTTTTCCTGGATTGTCAGCTCCGTTACCCTTTGCGTTCCTGTCCTTGTTATCATGGCCATGATCCAGGTTCATTCCCCCAGTGACATGGTCAACATTAGCGCGGAAGAGTCTTCCCTCGAGTTGATGCCGAGCCTGTTCCTTTTTCTTCCACGGGCTCATCCACCAGGGAACGTGTCTCAAGAAAGTAACCATGTTCGGCAACGAGCCCGCCGGGCTGATTGTCTCGAGAAGGCCAAAGGTCGTGTGCCGGAGGACCTGGGCTGGGCTTGCCGTGCCCCAGCACAGCCAGGAGATGGTTCGTCCTGTGAACTGCTCAATCCATTCGATGTAATTGGCCGGGTCGAGGCAGAGCAGGTAGAGGAAGCGATCGCGTTCGACAGTTGGGTATGAATGTAAGGAGGCTAGGTTGCTGGCGTGCATCAGGCCGTTGCACAGTTTGCGTTGGTGTTTCCAAGTATCTGTTTATTTCCATCAATACATACCGACCTACACGAGATATTAAGATAAGGCTCATAAGGGGCAAGACCACTCACCCGTGTGCCCCAGCAGCGCCAGGTACTCCCCACTAGTTCGATTGTCCGGGAGGTTCGGGATCATTGGCCGGTCGGAATAGATAGTTGAACGCTTCGCCAGGAGCTCCTGGGCCACGCTTTCCATCGAGATCCACACGTGGGTTGTACCGAAGATGCGCGTCTGGTAGATCGGTCCGTACTCCTTGCTCCATTCGTAGAACTTGACCCACGACGCTTTGGAGGGGATGTCGTGCACCCTTCCGATGTATGGGAGGCCTGTTTGGTTGGTGTCTGTTAGTGTCTGCGTGTGGTATCACATCGCTAAGCGGTGATGGTAGGGTATGGTTCGTGATGTAAACAGGGGTTGGGTTACAAGTACAAGGCTAAGTAAACAATCGAGTAAACACCAAGTCAACAACCTTATGACTCACCCCATGGGCCCGGCAAAGGCCGTGCCCCCGGCGGCCGCCGCCCTCTTCTTCCCCACGATGTCACCCAGTAGACAACAAGAGAGACGGCAGCCAGTAAACCAAGGTATGAAGAGATGGCCATCTCCGCTCTGTGGCGTGGGCAGGGAGATGGTCGGGATCAGGCTAACAAGATTTATTATCAGTGCTGTACGAAAGAACAAACCACCAAAAGGGGGCTGTGTATCGTGTCCTGCGTCGTTCTGCCTCTGCGCGGAATTGCGTGGCAGGGATTGGCCTCTTTCTGTACCCCCTGTATAGAGGGCGTATGCACCACAGATTACCCAAATAACAGACAACCTGGCATCATCGCCCCCCTCAAGCGGGGTTGATAGGTTACCAAAGCGGTCCTGCGGTGTTTGTAGTTCTATGAGAACAGGTATAAAATTCGGTAACAGTATCGACGGCGTGGCATAGACTCTCCGCGTTCTTTTCTCCATTCTCGGCTCCTGGCTCGGGAACATTAAGAGGCCGGTATGCCTCGCCCACACCCGAATCTACTTCGTCAGTTGACTGAACACCGTCACGCTTCTCGGCCAGCGAGCTCCCTAGCGTTGGGAAGTGAGAGACCGAGAAAGAGGGGAACTGTCTGTGGTGAGTCTGTGAGAGCGAGACAGAAGAGGGGAAGTGGAGGAGACGGTGGATTATAGTCGGACAATTGAGGTCTGGCCTCGAGAATGGCGATTGCGTGCTCGTCTTCCCTCCTCTACGACAGCCTGGAGCCGAGTTTCCGTCGATAGCCGGGTAGGAAAGTAAGGAGGTTAGACAAAGAGAGTTGATGCACAAATAAAATATGGAAACCGGTGCATAAGCCGGAGCCAGCGGATAGAACGATGAGCAAAGGCTACGTGGCTACTCACCCGCAACAGTCCAGACGGCCCAGGCACCAACACCCCTTTGCTCGGTCGCGGACACAACTCATCTTCGCGGAGTCGTGCCTTCGCGACAACGAAGAACCGATATATACGGCTATAGAAGGTGTCCGAGGTCATCACATGCCGGAGAGCCGCTTTACTCCAGCTCTCGATCGCAGTCTCAATATCACCTTTGGGACCTCCCACATCCAATTGTTTCGGTTGTTCGGAAACGAAGGAGGGTTGCCATATCCTGCGGTTGGTCAGTAGATAAGTGAACGAGCAGCAATGGATTTGCAAGGCGTCCGTGCGATCAAGGCGCTCTGTCATGGGTGGTTACGCCAACCGTGAGAGACAGTGAAAGTTCAAAAGGAAGATAAAATGAAGGGAACGGAGTATAATCCGCGGCAGGTGCCGATCAATTGCTTTGTCTTGTCGGAGAACCCCATGGTCTCCTCTCGAAGACAGCTTTGTTTTATTTTAGCCCAGACAATTTAACAACACATTTCATCATTTTACATCCTGTGGACACGACGTCATTAGCATTCCGTCATCCATGACGAGCAAGAGGAAGGAAAGTGGGAGGAGAAAGAAAAAAGAGACGGGGGGGGGCGAAGAGAAATAAAATAGAAGCTCAAAAAAACAACTAGAAAAAGGAAGGGAGCGAGAGAGAGCGAGAAAAAAAGGAAGGAAAAGATAAAAAAGACTAACCTCTCCACAGGGCTCAGACCTAGCAACCGCATCCCATTACCAAGCACCGTGTGCGCCGCATCATACAGCGCCATGCGCGCCTTCATCAACTCCCGCTCGCTCCCGACCACCTGCAACTGGTCGTAGCTGCTGCTCAACGCATGTGTCATCTTGAACAGGTACGTCAGTACCGTCGTCGGCTCCAGCGTGCGCAGCGTGTTCTGCACCATGTCCGGCCAGAGCGCGAGGAGCCGGACAATGTTGATCGCGTGCGGCTCCGTCAGCAGCGAGAGGTCGGCCGATACGAGCTCATCGTCGGTCAGGTTGGCACGGCGGCGGATCGACGACACGCGCGCGTGCGCGTATTGCAGGTACGGGCCGGTGTCACCCTCGAAAGATGTCATGGCGTCCATGTTGAAGTTGTAGTTGTTAATCCTGGGGGGTGGTTTGTTAGTAAAGGAGTTTTGGCCCCCTCTCTTTTTTTTTTGTTGGGAGAATTGAACCCGTAATGAGGACACAACCTACCTCTTGCCCGTCATATCCTGAACCATGACACTGCTGATTCCCAACGTATCCGCCGTCGCCTCTGGGTTATCCACCTGGTTATACTTATTCTCATTCTTCTTCATCGTCTCGTGCATCTTATCGGCCACATCCCGCAGAATGTCATCCAGAAACTTGACCGTGCCTCGGCGGGTGCTCATGCCCAGCACCAGTCCAAAGTTGATGTGTTGGCACTTGTCCGCAATCTCCTTGTGGCCCAGAAGCTCGATGATCTTGAACAACTGCTTGAGATGCAGGTCCTGTGCCGACGCCACGACGTAGATCATGCGGTCGAACTTGTACTTCTCGTGGCGGCCCAGCAGCTCGCTGATGTCACGCGTCAAGTACAACGCTGTGCCGTCGCGCTTCTTGACAATCGGCTTCTCCAGCCGTTTGCCTTCCTTGCCCGGCACCAGCTCCTGGAAGTCGACAATCATGGCGCCCTTGTCCTCCTTGCTGATACCCTTGTCCTGCATCTCCTGTCCAATCTCTGCCATCCTCTCTTCTGGTACCTGACTCTCGCCGCTGTACTCGTCAAAGTGGATGTTAAGGCGCGCATACGTTTCCTGGTACCGGGTGATGCTGAGGTTGCGGAAGCGCTGCCACTGCGCCAGCGCCGCCGGATCTCGGTCCGTCATCAACCTGAAGTAGCGACGGGCCTGCTCGTCCAGGCTGTTGGCCTCGAGCTCTGTCACATCCTCGCCGTCCTGCTTCCGCTTCTCGATATTCTCCTTCTCTGCCGTCATGTCGCTATTGATACGCACGTACAGCTGGAACAGGTGGTTGATCGGGTCCGCTTCGAGCGCCGCCTCATCGCCGTATCTCTCGAATGCCAACGCCAACAGGCCGTACTGCTTACCCCAGTCGCCGAGGTAGTTGATTCGCACCACGTCCCATCCCGCGCCTTGGTATAAATTCGATAGAAAGCCACCGATGATGGTACTGCGCAGATGACCGGCGTGGAACGGCTTGGCGATGTTGGGTGAGCTGAACTCAACGATGATGCGCTTCTTTCCTTGGCTGGGGTCCTTGGGGTCTTTGAGGCCCAGGGACTTGTTGTTGCCAAACTCGGCCCCCTGTTTTTGGATAAGGGGAATAACGGTTTCGACGGCGGGGGCGGGCTTGAGGTAGAAGGGCATAAAGTAGTTGACCACAGTCGGCTTCTGGAAGAGCGGGTCGTTTTCCGGGAACTGCAAAACCCATCAGTTAGTAACAGCCAACTCAACCCAAGCCAATGCCCTCGGTGACAAGAGCAAAAAAAGGCAAATCCGAGTGAACCCCCACCTTCTCAGCCCATTCCTTCGCCAATTCATCCGGCTTCTTCCCCTTGACGCGCAGCGCCGGTGCAGCCAAGATCAAGTCTCCCTTATCGAGACTTGATGTCCACGAGAGCGCCCCAAAGATGATCTTGGGTTCGACTCCCGTGATATCGGCCAGAACATTGGACAAATGGGCGCGGTAGAAATCGAACGGGTTCAGATCCGGGAAGCAGTTGGGATACTTCTCGGCGAGGGCGTCGAGGCTCAAGCCGCCGACTTTCTGCGCGAGCTGCTCCATGGTGGGGTGGAGGGGGGCAGATTGCCTCGTTTTCGTCGTCGAGATTGCACGGATAGGAGGGGTTCGAGATATCGAGGGTTGAAAATTGGTGGGCTTTTGTTCAACTGGCCGGCAGTGGCGTTGCCGTTGGTGATACCGGCAATCTTGGTGGTAGTGGTGTTGCTGTTGATGTTGGTGGGAAAAGGCAAAACCGAAAATGGAGGGGCACTGCGCGGGGTGGGGAAGTGCTGCGAGACGACGCGAAAACGGAGTTCGAGTCCTGCACAAGGTGAATGCACCGCTCTGGGATCTAGACAAAAAAAGAGCAGCCCCAGGAGAAGAGGACAAAGAGAATCGGACGGCCGGGTACAGCTTCATGAGAAACCAACCCTCGCAAATCCAACCTTTTATTCGGCCACAATGCGATTCGGTGACTCTTCCTTCAAGGCCTGTTAGGTGACTCAAATAGAAGCGCGGCACAGGACGGTTGGTAGCAGTTGGTCCAAAAACTTTCAGGGCCACTTGAAGTCCCGAAGCCAATCAGAGGGGGGCTGAGATGCAGCTTGGCAGGGCCTCACCGAGGTGAGAGAGGGGTAAGAAAGGTGAGGCTCACCTTTCCAGCTCGAGCTGTTGACGACGAGGGTTAGGGTTCCCAGGGCTATCGACCGCTATTCAAGACCCCCTGACAAAAGCAACACATCAAAACGGGCTGTCCCGAAACAAATCAAGCGCATAAATTGGTATCCAACTAGTGTAAATAAAAGGACCATGCTGCAACGCTAAACTAAAAACTATACTCCTCCGCAAATAAATGTATCCCTTGTGCCCCCGTTCCCTTATGCACCGCCCTTTCGTTCGACAAACCGGTCACGGAATTCCGCACCCGCGCAACCAGCGAAGGGCCTCCGCAAACCACCACGCTAGTCTCCCCACCCGTCGCCTCAACGGGCCCGCGAATGAATGCCTCGATGTCGGGACGGACTGACGAGTGGAAGACGTGCGAGTCGGTGCTGGTGTGGCTGGTGGTCGTTGTTCGTTTCTGAAGGGGGCTAAGCCGTGGTTGTGGGGATGTTTGTTGCTGTGGTCCCGATGGCTGCTGTCCCTTCTCATCCACCTGGCTAATTCCCGACGAAGAGGCCGACGCGGTTTCGACATTTCCGTTTCCGCCACTATCTCCATCCCGGGACGAATGCGGTGACAGCCCCTGCGTCACAGCAACGTGCACGTTCAGCTCAATCCCAGCCTCGCTCGCACGCTCAATTAGTTCGTGCAGACGCGAAACATAAAACCCAATTTCATCCCCTTGCCGTGCTGCCAACAAGAAATCCACCCTTTTCACACAGTTGGTGCTCTTTTCCTGCAACAACCCCTCCAAAATCGGTAGTGTAAACGAGGCGCCGGTCGATGCAGAGATCAGCACGATCGTCTCATAAATATCCCATCGCGGCGGCGCTCCGTACGGCCCCGATACAAACACGGTTCGATGTTCGCTCTTATCGGTCCGCGATGCAAACTCATGTAGGCGACGCGAGAAGCCGTTGTGCTTTCGGACCACAAGCTGGATGCTGTTACAAATGCATGTGCCGGCGAGCTGGTGCGCACATGCGATGGTGTACGGGTGCGCCTCGGCCAGGCCAACACGAGGCACCCAGAGGTAGAGATGCTGTCCCGGTCGCCACTTGAAGTGGACGTCCTTAATCGTGATGACGGTGATGGAATCACCGACGGCTTTGAGCTGCGCCTGGTGTCCGATGCGCTGCCCGCCACGGCACTTGCTCTTGTCGGGGAACACCTTGATATTTTGCCACAGGAGCAAGGCAAGGCGGCAGGCGCGGTCGAAGCTGAACGCCGCGACGGCGAACCAGACGTTGTACCGAGCGGTCGCCGGGACGTGGACCGAAATAAGCCACAGGAAGAAGATGGCGCTGAGGAGATGTTGCAGTACAAAGATCTCATAAGCCATGCGCCGGAGCGGGGCGAGCCCGGAGAGGAGTGTCCACAGCAAGACCGCCCAGGCGCCGAAGCCGTACTTGACGGTTGGCATCATCTTCAGCTCGTACTCGACATAGTCGGTGCGTGCCCAGTCGGTGTAAAAGTGCCAGCCATGCACAGTGGCGCTGATGAACATAGTGCGGCCGACCCATCGATGGAGCCAGTTGAGCCGCTCGTGGCTCGTACCGACCAGGAAGCCAATGATGCTGCACTTGGAGGCCAGCAAGTAAAGCAATGGCACTTGGCTGACGGTGACCCAGGCGTTGCGGTAGCCGATGCGCTCCCAATAGAAAACGTCATTGACAACGACATCCTTGGCCATCATGTAGATGATGACGATCCAGTAGACCAGCAGGGCAATAACCCGGCCGAGTGGCGGCGGTGAAAGCCACGAGAAGCCGCGGAACGGAATGTGCAGCTGCGACGAGCTGACCTCTCGGGCAACGGCGGTGAGGGTGGCCCATAGTTCCAGGAACCAGTTGCTAGGTTTTGTTGGGTACTCGACTGAGCGAGCGGCCTTTGTCCGTAGCCTGCGTTCAAGCAATCAGTAAACGGCTCCAGAAATATCACTAATGAAAGAGATCATCATCAACCCACCGTTGTTGCGCCTTGAAGAAGTTGACTCCCCGAATGATCACAAGCGCTCCCACGAATCCGGCGACGGTATACCAGTACCGGCGCGCCAGGTCCATGTTCACCCCGGAGAACATACTCGACCCCATATCCATGCCGTCCATCCTGCCGGCTCGTAGGGCTGCGCTCGCAGCCTTACCACGTGGGTGTTGATGTGAAGAGTGAGTTAGTGATTAGGGCGCTCGGAAAGTTCTGCTCGTCTGCGGATAATTGGCAACCAGGCTGCTATATTACTCCGCACCCAATCATCCTCCAACTGGGAGAACGCTTGAAATGGGGTAGCGGCAAGCCTCGTGTGGTGTCGATAACGGCTCACACGACGCGGCGTCGTATCAGGGTACTGGCCTCAGCGCTCCGGACGCGTTGGGGGCCGTCTACCGCCGCGAATATCCCGAAATGCAGGGACGTGTTAGGCCCGGCTCTCGTCCGCTGTCTCGCGCCGTATTTATCCTAGGAGTTGGATGGTCTCAGTCCTCAATGCCGATGGGAATCGTGGGCAACAATTCGACGAGCTAAGAGCTCGGAAGCTCCGGATAGCGGGCGAAGCAAGAAGGCGTTAGGCAGTATGTTCGGTCGATGTTCATCAACGTCCCAGAGGTCGGTAGTGAATGAATGAGTGAAACCCTGTTAATCAGCTACGCATCATCCGCCCAGACATGAGCACGACATAACTTGCAGAAACTCATATTGCGCTCACGACCCGCTCAGAAAACCCCACTCATGTTACAGTTGCCACGCGGGATTTGTGAGGGGAGCACACTGGAATCACTCATCGGGCTAACAGAGGGGGCACACGACCAGCAAGAAAGTTCGGAAACAGAACGTGGGATGGGGAGTTCCAATTTTTGCTGGGCAGCCGTGCCTTCCTCCTGAGCTGGTTTGGGAGCGTTTTGAGCATGTTGGAGACGAGCATGCGTTTGTGAGTGGTGGGCAAGTCGAAGCAGGCTCCAAAAATCCAACGGCACGGGAGAACAATTTGCTCAAACTCGCTCGGAAGGTCAGGAACGATGCCTGATACGGTTAGCCTGCTCGAGCCTGCCCGTGTGTGGCTTGCCCCCCGCGCCCCACTCTCAGTTCGATCTTGTATCACAAAACCCAAAACTTCCGTTGTCGATGAAGTCCGTCGAGTATATTTGGAGCTCTGCTTCGGGTTTCACTGCGGTGTTTAAATGATTTACTCTGTTTTCGGGCGGGTTTGTCGCTATAGCGTCGTGGAAGTGATGCAAGAAAATTGAACTCTCTCCGCAGTGGGGAGAACCCACGCGAGTGCCGGAGCTTGGCGTGGTGGTTGCAGATGCGGGGCAAGCATCCATGCTCCATGGCTCACAAAGGAACCGCTAGTGGACGGGTATCCGGACACAACTTTGTAACCTCGTCTCGACCCAAACCCTAAGAGCTTGGGAGCAGCTTCCCACGCGTCAAGGTTGCAGCCCCAGCCTCCATGATGAGCTCGCCTGAGCCCGTCGCCTGAGATGCAGGTCCGCCGCAGGATTGTCATCAATCGGAGTATTGAATTGACCCAACTAGTCCGTACCCAGTTGCGAAACCGGTTCCAGCTTCCCAAATCAATGGAGCGGTGCGACGGAGGGGCTGGATGGGCAACCCGGGATCCACAAGGGCCATGCCGGACAACGGCTCGACCTTGACGGTTGGAGCTCTGGCTCAATTGATCAGACCGAGGTCAATCGACCAGGGGCGCCTGTCACGGACTGAGCTCACCGCGCTGACAGCTCTCAGGAACAACTGATACAGATGTCACCGAACCCCAGCAACCTTGCCGCCCCCTCTGCTCCAACTTAAGACGTCGCGCCCCATTCAAAAGCCGTTGATCCCCCTCCCATCCCCTTCGCGTTCCTGTCCTCCATCAGCAAGTTTCACAGACCGTGCATCTCTCCCCGACTCCAATTCCTCCGCCGTCGTTGTCCCGTCCTTACCACCAAACAAAACCTCACCATCCCTAAACATCTGCCATGGCTCCGCTCCGCTCGCTCCTGGCCGCCGGCCTCTTCCTCTTTTCCTCCGTCAACGCCCATTTCAGCCTGGACACGCCGAAACCGCTCGAGGGGGACAACATGAATGAGGAGCTCGAACCTAACGCGCCCTGCGGTGGTGGCGTTCCCGACCTGAGCAAGAACGACCTGACTGACTTCCACGTCGGCGGCGACTCGGTCCACTGGCAGCTAGGCCATCCTCAGGCCAATTTCCTGGTCCGCGCTACCCTCGACTCCAAGGCCGAGGGCAAGTGGACACAGCTCTTCCCGATTGTGCAACAAAGCTTTCGCGGCGATTTCTGTGAGCCCGTCGTGACGGCTCCCAAGGAGTGGGCGGGCAAGAAGGGGTTTATTAGCATCGCTTGTGCTGCGCCCGATGGGTTCCTGTTCCAGGTATGGTCTTCTCTAAAGCTACGGCTTCCCCAACCTCTTCCTTTCGCGCAGGAACCTCCTGTGCTAACCGAGTAATTTTCGCTCACAGTGTGCCGCCGTCAACTTTGTCTCCGGCTCCGCGGACGCCCCCAAGAGCTGCACGAACGGGACCCAAGTCACCGGCAGCTTCGTCAACGACGCTAGCCTGACTGCCTTGCTCGACGGCGGGTCCGGCACGACGACCTCCCCTTCGCCCTCGCAATCGACATCGACCGGCGCCGCGTCCGCGCTATACATCCCCAGCGGGAGCTTGCCTCTGGGTAGCCTGGCCGTGACCGCGGCTATGGTTGTGCTTGGCGCTGCGCTTCTCTGAGTGTGATGATGGAAATAAAACATACATGACAGTTTTCTGATGAGTGTACTTCGGCCGGGATATGGCGTTTAGCATGTTTGGGACTTGGGTTTCATGGCTTGTCACTATGGCTATTGAAAGGCGGCGGTCGCGATCCACTACAAAGAGGACACTCTGGCGAAGAAGATATGTATCGTATGCGCTACGAAAACAATATAATGACGGATACCCACATAGACAACGTAGCTTTCATCAGTTCACCGCGCGCGGATCTGCACCACGCACATCATCCCTCTCCTCTCCTGAGCGCGTTTCTCCTCCGCTCCTTAATCCTGCTGCTCAGCGCACAACAGAAGCGAGGTTCACATACCCCTCGAACCTCAGCCGGGCAGCTAGCTCGAGGCTGTTCGTTAGCCGAACGAAAGGAGGATAAAACGAGCCGCAAACTGAACAGCGTATGAGCTGGAGAGCACAAGAGGAGGAGACCGAAGCCCAAACGAATGGAAGCATCAGGGACAGTAGTCTCGAAGAGATTTTGACGGAGCAGCACATCATGATTCCCCCGGTCCAGGTCATCGCAGACACAAAACAGCCCTTGTGCCGGCGTAATCCCGTGACTCGAGGTCATCGCTGCTCCCTCCTTCCGTCCCAAACCGCCACCCCTTTATCAACAAGGTTTTCGCAGTCCCTTCCAACGCCCCCCCAAGTACCACCCCAAACTACCGAATAGTGCAGTTGGAGGGGCGTGGGCACACCCGATGTGCCCTCCACCCCCGCCCTCGCAGGTTTGATTCCTGTCTGGGGCGCCCGAAGCAAAACCACCGGGTTTTCGTAGCTGTTCCACTCCCCCTCCCTGGAAGGGATCAGGTGGGCAGTGAGCTTTTTGACTTTTCTTTTTCATTAATGATGAACGATGGGGCTCGTCTCTTAGTTATTAGACGCCGATGGTGGCGTGGTTTTGGATTCTCCCTCTCTCCTCTCTATTTCCTTTTTTCAACAACGCCTCCCGTTTTCCCTTGCCCAATTCAAAGCCGTCTCAGGCACCGTCGGAAACACTCTGTCATCGATTGCCCATGCTGCAACGTGGCTTAAAAGTGACGGCTGTCAACCGAGTTAACAACACGACAAAGAAACCAGCCGGCACAGCTAAGTCGAAGATAATGTGGCGCAACGGGCAGTATCATTATACTTTCTCAACATGAAAAAGGTGAAGTACGTGGGTATATTTGTATCCCTATTAGGCCTGCCTAAACCCTTGGGCTAGTGCCTCAAACTACCCCCCAAAAAGAAGACAACCAGTCTCTAGTCTAATACTCTAATCATATGCAACTCCAACCTAAGACCGTAACACTAGATAAAACCCGGCTTTACTCCTGTTCCTCAACCTTCACAAACTTAGTGATGCTGAAAGCCTTGGGCCCCGTGTACGAGACATCGTTGTCGAACGGGTTCTGCGGGTCGTTCAAGCTGGCCGTGATGTCGCTGCCCGGGATGGTGTAGATGCCGCGGACGCCGTTAATGGTCACGTTCAGGGTGGCATCCTTGGGCGGGGCGGTCTCGACGGCGGAGGGCTGGTAGAACGTCCAGGTGACGTCGGCGTTGTCACACTTGCCGAGACCCTCGTAGATCATCGCGAGGTAGGTCGCGCCTGAGAAGCCGGCGTCCGCTGAGGCAGTGCAGTGGGCGGGCTCTGCGATGCCGTGGGTCGAGACGTCGAAGGAGAATCTAGGCAAAGCAGGCTTGTTAGCAATCAAGTAGTGGCATGATTAACTGAGTACTACTCCCAATTATGAGACTCGGGATGATGTGTGCATGGGAAAGCTTACGTGCAGTAACCGCTGTTGTGCGTCTTGCTGGCGGTAAACTGGGTGACCTCGTAGGGGCTCTGCTTCTGCACCGGGCTGGCGGCGGCAAGGCCGGCAAGGAGGAGAACGGCAGAGGTGAAGGACTTCATGGTGGTTGTTGTTATGGATGTTGGGCTTGATACGCTCAAGGAATGGTTGAGATGGTGAGATTGATTGAATGATATGAATAGGTGTGGTCAAGTTGCAGTTGTCTGGATAAGTCAAGATATTCTTCTCGTTCTCATCTCGACCACCCCATCATTTATACGGATTTCGACACATGCACTCACGAACAACACCATAAAAAGGATCCCAGAGTCCCGGTGCCGGGTACGGGAAGGAATGATGCCGCATGGCTTGGCGCGCCTCGTATTCCGGAGTGCCCCAGCCTTGCAAGCTTGTCAAAAACTTAAAAATAACCAATCCCGGACGGTGCGCGGGATGGACGGGTCGACATTGCGCCGTGTGACTGGACGAGCCCGCTGGAATCCTGGGGGCGGTGTTAAAGGTGTCCAACCACATGCCACGATGCCAACGAAGTCGCACAACGTCCAACGCTCCAACGCGTTTTCACAGGCCGCCCAGGGATCGTTTTCTACCCAGTCAAGCCAGTCGTGTTAGCGATTTGGGGATGTGACGTAGCGTCCAGCGCCCCAGTGGTTCCGGTGAACAACCACGAGCCACCTCGATGATCGACCGGAAACTCCGTGGGCCAAACACAACACAGGAAATCGACACACGGATCCTTTTTTATGTGGCTTGTGCTCGAATAAGCTGACAAGGGCTCTGGAGGATCGTTGCGCAAAGCTCGTAATGGCAACGGAGGAATGAAAAAATACTGGAGAATGCACGTTTCCAAATTCCTATTCTCCGTGTTAGTTCGGATGAGAATGTTGAGTGGATTTCCAGGTTGTGGGAATACCGAGTACACGTACAGTACGCGGTTGTGTGCCGGTTGCCGGTTGATCGAATGCACACATTGGGAAAAGACCGGGTTTCCAGACATAAGCGCGGGCTTTCGAGTTCATGTGAAACCCTTTGAGCCGGGAAAGCGAGACATCCCCATGAACGAAATGGCGGGGAAGAATGGGTAACCGAAGAACACGAATGCCACCGTGCCGTCACCCCCCGTGTTCGTCACGGAGAGACGTTCTCTGCCTCCTTTAGCTCAGAAGGGACAAGGGGCTGTATTGTAGGTATGTATGTGATACATACCGACGAGACATACCCATACCTCGTCGGAGAAGTGGGGTTGAGTTAAGATCACCTGACTACCGGAATCTCCTTTTCCCTTTCACCGGCCTCTTGCATCGCAACTCTTCCCAGCTTCCGGTTGCTTCCCCGCCGAGTTGAGTCTGTTTAGCAACGGGACTTGTAAGCTGCATTTTGAGTTCAGAGACCAGGCATCGTTTTAGTTGCTTGGCAACGGACGTCTGTTGTCAACAGAGGGAACCATCACGACGTAATGATGTACTGTACACTTTCCTCATGCTGTCACTGCTGTGTATGGTGTGTCACCTACTAATAGCTCGCAAGCCACGAGGACGGCTCCATCTCAAAACATGAGGCATCACTTTATTCACTCTCCGGATGTCCATGCCGCGGCATGTGCCATCGACCCGAAAATGCGGGGAGTTTTTCATTACTTCCTCCATCTCCCATGGGAGCTCAGAGACTATATCTGGAAGCTTGCAGTCCGACCATTTCTCCCGGGAGCGCACGTATTCAGACTTTACCGCGTCCATGATCGAGATCACACCTATCTGGAATACGAAGTCGTTTCCAAAAATGCTCCCTGGCGGCTCTCGCCGTCGCGTCTTGCCGCGCCGCGGTGCCTGCCCAGGAGCGCGGACTATAGCTTGGCCTTACAAGCAACAACTCCCGTCTCATGGAAACAAAATAACCCATCAACTTACCTTATCGACAGTGGTCTTTGGACGGCCTGTAAAGAATCACTCCTCGTCATCGAGGCTGAGTTCCAAAACCCAGTACGCCGACGAGGCACATGGACCCCGTCAGAAGTCGAAGCCCTCCGGAAGCGGCGAGGCCGCTTCAATCTCCCAGAGACGGTCACATTTTCAGCCTTCCTCGATGGCTACGAACCCCGTTATCTCACCGTCTTCCCCGCTCACGATCTGTTCATCATACAGGCGCACGATGTTCTAAAAGTCCGCTGGGATTTTATATGGGAGTTTTTTATGCACTGCTTTCGTAAGGCGGAGGCGGCAAACCATTCTCAACGCCACATGGCTCTAGAATACGATCCCGCGTGGGATGAAGTGGCCCATGATAGTCACCACCGGGAAGGGCCTGCAGCGGAGTTCATCGACGACTTCGCCATGAGTAATGGTATCGAGGATCACTTCACTCTGTGGCTTATCGACTATCGGATCAAGCGCAATCCGAGATACCGGGCATTTACCACGGGAAAGATCAAAAGGCCGGCAGTCAAACCCCCAGCAGTCTTCTATGCGAGTGACCGCCGGTATGTTGAGGTGAACCGGTGGGATGTGGAAAGGTGGGCTGGGCATAACTCGAAGTGGAATGCCGGGTCCGAAGCTCCAAGAGAGCATTTCTGCCATTACTGTGGCCCGCATGGAATTATCGAGCGAATTGAGGACAGGTATGAGGATTGGTCCGGTCCCCTTGGCAACGTTGTGTATGGGGGGGTTCTTGCTTGCGAGTACCTTTGAAAAGTACCTTTGACAAGATATATCTCGATGCACTAGACACTCCGCAAAATTTCACCACCAGCGCACCCGCTTCCTCCATTACCTACACAGTAAATGCGATCTAAAATCACATTTTCCATGCCCGGCCCAAGTACTGTTTTCTCAGTGGCCAAGTTGGAGTTAATTCCCTCAGAGAAGAGTAGCGGTGGGCTCGATGCAGTCTATCGACTTACATAGTAGTAACCGTCGATGCGCTCGATCCTTGTTCGTTTGTCGTCTCTTCAACGTCACCGTCTATTAAATAAAGACTTTTGTGAGCATAAGATTTAAGCAACACACAAGTCGTCATACAAAACGTGTTAGACCAGGCCGCTGAGTTTGTCGGCGTGTCCTCAACGAACCAGACGTAAATCGCCTGGCCCCCTACTATTAGTACCATTGCTATTTTAGCCAGACCAGATGAATCTGGTAACAGAGCTGTATCAAACAGGCCCTTGCTATAAGTCTTAAACCAAATTAGTAAAAATAAAACTCGCAAATTAGTGACACCCATCTTTGCTCCAATTATTGTGTCGAAATGGCAACTGACAGTGCTGGTAATTAATCAAGCTCAGTGATTCCAAAATGCAGCAAATACGTTTTTTCTGAAGCATGTGTAAAAAAAGGCCGTTTCCGATGAAGCTCGAGGCTGGTGCCCGTCAATTATCTCTACTTCAGTTCTTAACTTGCTGTGATAGTAACGTTGGTTGCGTTGAAGATTATGTTTATAAGTATGCTGGACAAACCTGTCCTGTGCAGCTACCGGCCCAATTACTACCGTAATAGCCATGACCTTGGATACTCTGAGTAGCGCGTGGTCAACGGCTCCTTGATACTTAATTCACGCGGTCGAATCTCAAACTATTAACCAATGCATTCGACGGGAGGCATTAAAAGGTGTCTTCAGTTGTTTTCTCGATGCAGTTTTTCTTCTGACAGGAGTTAACTAACGTTGATAATTAGAAAAAGTTTTGGAAAAAACAAAAAACAAAAAACAGAGGGTTTTTCGAAACAGTCTGTCGTGCGAAAGGCATTTCCCCACCCGCAATCGTTAGAAGTCTAACGTTACAATTAGACCAAGACAATTAAATGCTCAAGATGTTTGCGGGATTAATTGATTAACGACAGAGTACCTCATGAAGTTAACTAGTTACCGTCGCGGCTGTGCCCGACCACTCACGGTCGCTGAGGAACAAGAAAATGAAACAAGGGTGAGGGCAGGGGCAAAGCGGGATGGTGATTTCCCAGTGGAAATGGTCACGTCAGGAGGATCTACCGCGCTGTGATCAAGAGTGGTGTAGCACCGTGCCGGATATCGAAGCATACTAGGAGAGATGGGACTTTGATAAAAGCGGCTAGGGATAGAGTTGATTATGGTTGAGAAGCAATCACGTCGCAGGAACACGGTTGGGGTTTAAAATTATACATTAATAAATACACTAGAAAGATAAAAACAACCGCTTTTTCAAGGCAACAACAAAAAAGATTCATTTGCCGTGCGCAGACAGGTTCCCCGCGGAACGCCGCCCACACACCCTGGGTATCTCTATTCACAACCACATTTCATAGGCCGTCATCGTTGAAACCCCCGAATATTTATGCTCCCGCCGCCGCCAGGTCTAAACACCGTGGAAAAGGAATTTAGAGGTGGAGGATGGAGAGGACCGAGCCGAGGAGGCCGGTGACGAGGTTGATAGTGCCGTTGATGTTGCCAATGCAGGCGGTGATCTTGCCAAGGATGACCTTGACATCGGCAACGACGTGGAGCTTGGCAACGATGGCGAGAGCGAAGTTGACGATGGGGGCAGTGATGGCAACGACGATGTTCAAGCAGGCGGTGAGGTGGACGTGGATCTTGGCGAGGATGGCTGCAGTATGTTAGTGTTGATCGCACAAGGGAGGTTAACTCGGAGCCTCGAAGAGGAGAAACATACCAGCATCGATGTCAAGGAGAGCCTTGAGCTCGACCTCGACCTTAGCAATGAGGGCCTCGACCTTGAGGAGCAGGCCAAGGACAACCTCGAGATCGGCGGAGACGTTGACATCAACATCGAGGAGGAGACCAGCCAGCTTGGGCACGGCGGCCTGGAGAACGGCCAGGTCAACCTTGAGGTCGACGAGGGCCTTGACGAGAAGGTCGACATCGATCTCGGCAGCCGCGACGATCTTGGCGATCACATCGAGCTGGGCCTGGACCTTGGCCTCAACCTCGACGGTGACGTCGACGACGGTCTTGACGACCACGATGACATCGGCGTTGACATGGACGTCAACATCGACATCCACATCGACATCAGCGCCGGCGTGGACAACAGGGGGCTTGCCGCCGCAGCTGGGGACCGGGACGGGGGTCGCGTCGCAGTCGTCGCAGCGCTTGGCCTGGAGAGCGGCCGGGGCGGCCATGGCGCCGACGGCGAAGGCAGCGAAAGCGGTGGCGAAGAACTTCATGTTGACGGTTGGGGTTGTGGCTTGAGTTTTCTTGAAAAAGAAATGTGGTTGGGTTGGAAAAGTCTGAAGGAGTGACTGTGATTGAATGAAGGTGGGTTGAAAAGAACGACTACTCTCGAAGAGTTGGATGTTGTGAGCGTGGTGGTGAGGAAAGAGGGAAGTGTTCCAGTCGAGGGAGATCAGAGGGTATTAATACTTTGATGCCGTCCAGCTTCCTGAGTCGTATTCTCCCCTGACTCCGATCGATAAACCGTGACGGTCCTCTGGCCCGGGTTCACTTGGCCGGGTTCTTTCGCTCACTCCCTCTCGTCTTGGCCGCCACATCCGCACCGCCAGTTCGCCTTGCGGCCTGCACGGTGCCCGATGGTGATGGACATGCCAGCTCCCCCTGTGCTCTCTCTCTGATGGTCTCCGCAAGCCCGGGATCGAACCAGGGTCTCATGCCTGAAATGCTGGACCACAGGACCGCAGCCGTCCAACCGTCAACAACAAGCAACAGACAGTGTGCGGCGCCGCAAAGGGGCATGCTTCCCGGGATATGGACTCCCCTCTGAGCATGGTGTTTCCCGCTGATCCCAATAGCCCGCCGCCCGGCTCCGCACACCCGGGATGATCGCCAGCCCTATGACTCGAAGCGGCAACCTGGATCCAACGGCGTCGGCCTGGACCAAGCAATAACCAACAGTGCAAGGCCTCGTGGCGTCTCGTACCTGCATTTGCATTGTGCCCCAAAAAAAAAAAAAAAAATCAACTACACGTACTCTTGTCCTAAGGCGGTGGAATAGTTAGAGCACAGGCTTGAAACGATAGTTTGGTGTAGTTAGTCTTTCTTCCTTTTCTGGCAGGCACGGCTAGACTCTTCCAGCCTCGGCTCCAGGTGCTGGAGTTTTCTCCGAACACTTGCTGCACAACTCTGCAGAGTGCAGACTCACCGCACGACTTGGCGGTCCGTATCTCGCGACGGTAACTCTTTTCCTGGGCTCCCGGGGTTCCAGTGAAAAGGGGGGACTCAACAACGGGGGCTCCCGCTGTGTGATTGCACTCTCCAGTGGAGCATCGCCAGGGGAAAGAGCAAACCACAATCAACAATTTTCGGAGCAACCTCGATTTGCCGGCCTGCAACCAGCACTGTGTGCTGTGCAGTCAGTGCGCTGTGGTCTCTCTGTGGAGTCTGTGGAGGCTATGGAGAAAGGGGGAGATCATGCAGACTTGCCGAACACTGTTGGGCCCCGGACCCCTGTCAACTTCGGGTTTTCCTCAGGCGGGTCAGGGTTGTGAGTGGTAACTTCCGCCTGTGATCCCCTGCGTGGGACCTTGAACCCGGAAAGGTACTGCATCCCCTCTCTTTCTCCCCTGTCCATCATCCACCATCATTGCTGGCTGTTGAGCCTCTCAGCGCTCGCCGCTTGGAGTTTCTGCTCGCGTCGACGTCAATGGCTCTGTGAATGCAACACAATCGGATGCATCGAGGATTTGACAGCGCTGTGTGACCTGCGAGCGTCTGTTTACCACCCATTTTTTCCTCTTTTGATCCCATGAGGGTGCAGCTCTGATCAGGATCGACCCCCCAAACACAGGAACGGGACCCAAGCAGCCACACGCAACGGTTAGGCGCGACACCTAATAATTTCCATGAACCCCGGGCGAGATTCAACAGTGCCAAACCGACTTTTTGGCCCGCTGAGAGACGGATCCCTTGATACTGTGTTGCTGCCGAGCCAGACTCCCGAAACATCACAGAAATAGGCCCAGCCCCTGCCACTTGCTCGTTGCCGCTGCGGCTGGACGGCGGTCTCATCAAACGAAAAAGCAAACCACGTTCGCTTTCCTTTGCGGCCTCCGCGGTCAACCGACTCCCGTTGGCTAACATTACTCGTATCTCCAAGAAGCGAATCCCAGGATATCCACCGCCCTTTCGCTTGAGTTGCTATGGCCCTTTCATATTTTGTACGCCATTGTTTATTCCTCCCCGGGGAGAATTCCTCGAATCTTTGGAGCGGTGTACATACATAGCGAAGTTGACAGAGGCTTGTACACGTGTATCCGCCAGCCAAAAAACGCCCTCGCGCTCAACCTCTGAACCCATGGACAATGTTTCAGAACCACATCATTCTAATGATTTGCTCCAAGCCGGGCTCGTGGGGGCGTTCTGGCATCTCATCCAACCAGACAAACCTTACAATCCTCGCATGTTTCTTTTCTGTGTATCATCTCCACAACTGCGCCCAACTTCACATGTAAGTATGTACACAGTACATTAGTTATTCCAGATCCGAGATCCTATCCCGTGAACACTCCCTCGCGGGTTCTTCCCTGCGCACTCGCCTCCTGATGCGCAGATGAGCCGCTCGGATACCACTTTGCACAACCGCCCAGCATCCGCTCTTATCAGCCAAGCCCACGACACCACTTTTCCCTGTGTCTGCGAGTCGATACAGCGAGTCAAGAAGTATGCCAAGTGATCTCAACACCCGACTCCGCAGTAACTGCCGTAGCATCTACACTATACTAACGTTATCTGAGGTGCTCGTCAGCGCGCTCCTGCATCGGACGGACTGACAAACTCGCATCTGGCTTGCAATCTGGTGCATGGTGCACCTCTGCGGCTCTGATCTACGTTGGCCGAAAGAGGCAACTCGCCAAACCGTTGGTGTGTCCGCGCGCGACCTCCACGGTCCAGATCGTGAAGTGGATTCGGGCGGTGGGACTCTGGAGTCCTCGGGTCCCGGGCATCTGTCGCTTTGATCTCTCCTCCTGCCTTCCGTCCCTATCCGATCCGGCCTTTGACCCGGCCTAGAATCTCACGATCTCATCCGAGGCTGTCGTTCCGAGGTTGTCCGGCATTGTTGGTGTTGTTGACCCGGTTGAACGGATCTGGTCCCTTCTGCGCATCTCAGCTCGTGGACCCAGCTCCATGGCGAAATCGGTCAACTCCCTACCCAGTTGCCAGGCAAGCTGCACTACACTCCACTACACTACACGAGTTAGGGTAGTTAACACGCCAATGTATCCTCCGATCTGCGCCCTCATCAACCCAGTTCTTCGATCTCCTTCTCCCTCAAACCCTCTCATCCGCTCGAATCGGTCTGCTCGCATCTCTCCCGCAGTTGATCCGTCAGTCGTTCACTCCGTAAATCCTCACAACTCCACTCCACTCTGATCTTCAACCCCGGACCCTGAACCTTTGACCCCCTGCCTGCCTTGTGTCAGGCGACGTCGATCCCGTTAGACATCAACGAACGCTTCCTTGTCCGTCTGATCTTTGGGTGTTTGTTCCTGGTAGTCATTGACTGAGGCCTGCTGTGCTGAACCGGTCGGTACAGTAGTGTAGATATCCCCTTCTGGGAGGCTGCATGCCACTCGGCCAGCGTGCGCTTCATAGTCCAGCCACTAGATCAACTGGCTTGTTGACGCCGTTCTGAGCGTTGTCCTGTGGAAACCTGAAAAGCGACCAAATCCGATCTAGCCTCGTCCCATCTCAGCAATACCACAATAAAAGAAGAAAAAACCTGGTGAGGCCAAGTCCATGCCTCTTCCCTGCCTTCCCGTCCCGTCTTGCCAGACGGCGACAGACGCTAACGTTAGTTTGGGGCCCCAAACCTCAAAACTTGCACTTCAACCTCCACTAATCAGTGATCACCGATCAGCCTCACCCGCGTGGGCGGCTAAGGGATTGGCACACCCTTCATTTCAATTTCACGTGGCGCGCTTGGATTTTTCTTGTTTTTTTTTTCTCTCTTTCTCTTGATGCTGCCTTTCCCTATTTGTCAAGGTTGACATTAGTCTCTTCGCCGGCGGCGCGCTTGATCATGCTTGTTTACATGGAAACGGCAAGGTAACTCGTGAAGCCGAAGCTGAATCGCTCAACGTTACCAAATAAAAAGGCAGAAACGGAATGATGGTGTTTGCATTCAGGCCGTCTCTTCCCAGGATAATGTTAGCTGAAGGCTGCATGCTGCATACTGTGTACATACAGTACATAATAAGAAAGATGACAATATTAGCCAGGTTTGCTAGCGAAGCGAGATCAACACAGCGATTCAGCACAAACATCATCCCGATTGGGATTCCAGAATTCCCGAATTTGGAACCCGAGTGAAATGACTCTTAACTCGGGAATCAAAATCTGGAATTGGGAATCAATCTGGAAAAGGGGGTTGGAATGTCGGTAAGACATTGACTTTGGACACTCAGCAACGAGAGACACTGTCACGGAAAAAGAAAAAGAAGGGAAAAAAAATTTACAACGCCAAGACTGCACAGATTGAGCACATCAATTACCATCTCACTATGTCTTGCATTACGTTCCAGAACTCATCAGATACCATTCCATTAAACATTGGTCTCTAAGATCGCCCGCGGACACCCGAACCCGAGCGAGTCAGACCCGAAGCCGAACCCGTCCGAGCTCGACCGAGCCCGAGCGTGAAGCCCGGCCATGGTAGCATTACCGTTATTTGTCGCCATCACCGGCGCAATCACGCAATCATCACATGCTCATTATCTCTCCATTCTCTCAACCTCACCGCACCTCTCGACATTTAGGTAATTAGAGAAACATCTAGAGCTTCGCATACCGAATCCCAAAGCTCGCCGTCTCCGCAACATCAAACTCCTTAGCCTTCTTCGCATCCCCAAAGATCCGCAGCGCCTTCACCACAATCTTGTACTGCCCCGCAGGCGCATACGACCCATCATCCAATTTACCATCCCACGTGTAAACAAACGGTCCACGCGGGTTATACGGGATGGGGAAACCAGCCGGCTGGCCGATGTTCTTGCCAGCCGCGGCCGCGGCATTAACAACAGCGCTGACGACAGCGCGCGGGGCGCGGGGAATGCGTGGCCCGCCGAGGTAGACGACTTCAGCGCGGAGCAAGGGGGAACCGAGCGCGAGGTCGGCGATGAGCTTGACCTGGTCGGTGATATCGGCGTAGGCGGTGTCGTTGGCGTGGCCTGCAGGGGGGAGGGTGAAAGTGGTGTTGGCGGGCACGGGGGCATTGGCCTTGTCGCTGGCGGCGCTGATGATGGCGGCGTCCTTGGCGAGGACGGTGGCCGAGTGCAGGCTGCCGGCGAGGCCGAGGTAGGGCAGGGAGAGGGCGGACCCGTCGGAGCCGTTGAGGGCGACGTAGCCGGAGTAGACGGGCAGGCGCTTCGCGTCGAGGCCGACGGGGGCCTTGGCGGTGACCTTGACGATCTTGCGCTGGCCGGAGCGGAGGGTGAAGGACGCAGGGGAGAACTTAAGGGAGGCGTAGTTGGAGACCAGCTCGTTGGGGAAGGGCGCCGGGTAGACGGGGTCCTCTGTGCTGAGGGTGTAGGCGGTAGCCGCGCCGATGTTGCTGAGCAGGTAAGTGACGGAGGACTTGCCGGTGTTGTGCACGGTGAACTCCTGGTTGGGGGCGAAGTGGTCGGTGTCGTTGAACGCGAGGCTGGACACGCTGAGCAGGGTCGTCGCGTAGGCAGCGTCCCAAGCTTGCAGCAGACCAGCACCCTGCTGCGCGACGGGGGCCAGCACGGGCAGCGACTCGCCGTTGAGGCGGAACAGGTTTGGCTTAGCGGTGGACGAGAGCAGGTTCTCGAGGGTCTTGGGGTCCTTGGTACCGCGGGTGTTGATGAGCAACGCGTAGATGGCCGCGGCCAGGGGGCAGGCCATGGACGTGCCCGAGAGCACGGCGTACGCACCGAGAGCACGCGGGTACGTCGATAGGATCAGGCCACCGGGGGTACCGAACTGCGGCTTCACGTCGAGCTCATAAGTGGGACCCCAGCTGGTGTAGTCGCTGAGGAAACCGCCGGTCGCGGTGTTGGGGCTCTCGACCAAGAACGAGCCGCTCTTGAGGGGGTCCTTCAAGTGCACAACCACCTCGGAACCGGCGGCCAGCTGCTTAATCCAGGCTTCGCCCTGCTTGGCGGTCACCATGCCCACGGCGGTCAGCCCGTCAACGGCCGCGGAAACCGTCACGGTGCCGTCGATGTTGTTGTAGAACAGCACGTACTTGGCGCCCTTCTCAACCGCGTAGGTCGCCTTCTCAACAAACGTGCAGGTACCGCGGCGGATCAGCACGACGTGGCCCGAGAGGTCGGGGGTGTCGGCCGGGTAGGCCTTGCAGCCGTCAGCCGGGTCCGTCGCGTCGGTGTTGCCAGACCACAGCGGCAGCGTAACGTCCTCCCACGCGCCCGGCTCGCCCGACGTGAACCCAAAGGAACCCTCAGAACCGCCGTCGACCGTGTAAGTCGCGTTGGTCAGCAGCGCCGGGGTAACCGTGTTGTCGAATGAGGCAATGGCCGTGACCTTCTTGCCGTTGGCTGCCGTCGATGCGTAGAAGATACCCGTCGCGCCATCATTGCCAGCCGACACCACGCAGGGAACGCCGTTATCGACGATGCGCGACACAACCACGGCCCAGGGATCCTCGCTCCAGCCCGAGGGCCCACCAATCGACGCCGTGATGATGTCGCTGCCGGCCTCGTACGCCAGGTTGTACGCCTCGATCAGCACATCGTTGGGGGTGTCGCCGCTGCAGCCGAAGACGCGGTACGAGCCCAGGGTCACGTCCTGGGCCGCGCCGATGATGCCGTACGGGTTGTTGCTCTGCGCCGCGATGATGCCCGCCACGTGCGAGCCGTGGCCGTTGCAGTTGTCGAGCGGGTCCGAGTCAGGCACGGGGGTGTTGGCGCCGCTGAAGTCGTCGCCCACCAAGTCAGTGCCGTACGACACCAAGCAGCCCACACCGAAGCAGCCGCCGAGGGCCGGGTGCAGGTAGTCGGTACCCGTGTCGATGACACCGATTTTGATGCCCGCGCCGGTGACCCCGGTGTCCCGGAACCGGTTGACTTGGGTCATAAGATGGGTCGTGAACTTGTCCTCGCCGTCGTCGCCCTGGCGCTTAGCTAGGTACTCGGCGGCCGCATCGCCCGTCGAGTGCACCGTGTGCCGCGGGAGGGGGTACCGCCGCACCGGGTATACGGCCTTAATCTGCGGGAGCGCAGCCACCTTGGCCGCCACCCGCTCGGCGTTCTGCGTGTCCTTGAGCTGGATCGATGCTCCCTTGAACAGCTTGAACCGCAGGTCCTTGCGGAGCGTCGCGTCGACGCCGAGGCCGTTGACGAACGAGTGCGAGTCCTTCTTATGTTAGTACGTATCTTGTCGAAGCTAAGAAGTCAAGACTGCCTTCTCTCACTCACCTCGTCATCCTCGTACTCGACAATGTACGCGCCCGGCACAACCACCGGCGCATCGGGAACAGCCCGCGCAACGGCCGTCAGGCCGAACAGCGCGGCTGCCACGTTGAGCCGAACCATTCTGTCTGAGCAATTCGCCTTTCTTCTGCCCCGGTGATCTTGTGTGATACTCGGCGAGCTAACTCACTCGGTCAAAGACTGGCGCAACGGTCGGTCTCACTCTTTCGCGTTCCAAAGAGATCGGCGGCGCGACCTGTTGGTTTTATATGGATGTGCCCCATCACTCTCTTCCCTGACCCCTCCCAATCACTGGGCAGTCTCCCTCGGCCGCGTGCAGACCGGGTTCGCAGGGATGCGCTTCCCGCCTTGCTGCAGCGGTTCTCCCATTTGACTGCTTGACTGCGTGACTGACCATCTCCATTCATGCTCCAGATGGTCAAGGTGACTCTGGATGCTGCGGCCGAATTTACCCAAATTCCCCTTCCCCGCGTCCAATTGGCCCCAGTCGGCCACTCCCCTCGGCCACAGCCAACCAGAGCCGGCCCTCAAGACGGATCCGTAAAATTGGCTCGACTGCGAAGCTTGCTCGACAAGGCAGGTCCTCTGCTTGTCCAGCAGCTCGAACCAATGTCGCAATCGTGGGGTGCAAGTGGGTGCCTCCTCCAAAAGCGACCGAAAGGGCAGAGGATCTCGCGCCAAGACCCGACCTTTAATTTGTCTCGCTGTGGCCCGCCGTGCTTGCCTGGGAACAGCAGGTGCTTGACCCTTCTGTCGCACGGCTGGGCTGCTTGGTGCGCCCTTTCAGCGCCCTTTCAGCGGGGAAACCATGCCTTGGAGTTGCACGCCGCATGGCCCACGAACGCCTTGACAACTTTCATCAGTTGACACTTGACATGCCCTCTGGGGCTTGGGATGATCTGCAACCTTAGCGGGCCCCGGGGGGCTCAGCTCAGGCGATTGAGGTTGATCAGTTGCCCCCACGGGAATGCTTTTTCACCGCTCGCCATCGCGTGCCATAATGGCGATGTTGACATGTTTGTGGCCACCTGGCGTGTTTGAGGAGGACGATAAATTCAGACCAAATTCCCCTCTTCTTGGTCGTCCGTTTGTCCCGGTCGGAAGGAGGAACGGGCGGTTGCGTCGAAAAACAACACTGGACAACGGACGAAGTCGACCGAATTGGGCAACTCAGCACCTTCAACCTTTCGGCAGAGCGTGGTCATCCCTGTCATTCAGCGGCCCCAGCACGAACCGAAGACGCCATCCCTTATCGCCAAGCCTGCCGAGCCAGGGGGGGAGAGGGGGGGTTTTGGAGAAAAAGGATTGGGGAAACGACGCCGACTCCCGATTTACCGAGCCACCCGAGCACCGACCCCATCGACTGCCTGTCTGCACCTAGCTGCTCAGCGAATTTGGAAGGAGGTCAGCCCACTAACTAGTTAACGTTATCGCCCTTGATGAAGGAATCGTTAGGTTGGCTCGCCCGATGTGAGATGGATGATGGATGATGGAGGGAGAGTCCATGACTTGATAGAGGACAAGCCGCTATTGTGTTGTGAGCCTCGCTCGTTCTGCGGATCTTGCGTGAGCGCGTTCCTGCAGACGGGACGGGATGGATGCCACCTTCCCGGCCGAGCGCCGTCTCACACCCTCTTCTCGACTGGTCCTTCATCAATGGCGAGCCGTGGAAATAGGAACGCCTTGTACCACATCTGACGGATGGCGGGTTAATGGATTGGCGGCTTTGGCCAGGCCGTGGCTGCGGGTACGACGATCGACACCGGCCGACACGAGATGCAGCACCGCTGGGCTGGATCAGCTCAATTGATCAACCCTCGCTTCTGGTTTGACAATCGGTCAAACACCTTTACGGCTCAACGAAGCGAAAGTCAGGACCGCCGCGTAAATCCGACGCGACACAACACCCGCAGGAAACCGGCGAGAGAGTCGAACTGTTGGCCTCATCCGTGCAGAAACCGGATATACGGAAGTCACTCGCCCCGTGCAGCACCTCAATGGCAGCATCGCGGAACTCAGAGTCACGGGTCGCCACAGTTCGGCCGGCAAGGGCACGACTCCGCGACCGTTACGGCATGGCTACAATATCTCGACGTCCATCCATTGGCCGACCCAAGCGATCGCAGAGACAGTAAATTGTCGCCTCGTTGCTATTTCCGCTGCCAGCGGGAGTTCGGTTTGCGGATGGAGTACGAAGTAACGGCCGTTCTTTGTAAGTTGGCGTTTTGTTTTTAGTCGACCGGGAAAGGAAAATGGGAGATGAGGCCGGAAGAACTCCGCCGACCTACAGTTAGCAGGTCCTGGAAAGCCTTTACACGTACACTAGAGTTGTCGCTACCGCTCTCCGACCCGTTTTCGAGAAAAGGACTCTTCGTGAGACTCCGTGCCTTGATGGGAACCCATGATTCCTCACCCAAGTTCTGCAACCTGCGGGAATGCCACAACGTGTCCGACTCTTTCCGACGTCGTGATCCGGGTCGATGGTTCTCCGGATAGCGTCCCGCGATGGGTTACAGGCCACATGTTTCCGATGCAGCTCGAATATCAATTGACAAATGAGCATGTTGCCCTCCAGAGTCTGGATGAAAGTGGGAGAAATCTGGAATGCACAGTGCCAAGAGATCACAAGAGCCAAGTGGGATGCGGGGCAGATCCACCCAAACTTCGCAACACCCAATCGCCAGCGGGCTGATTACCCCACGGCATGTCCCGCGGCTTTGGCGGGCAAGTTCGGATTTGTCGAAGACAATTATTACAAACCACATCATCAAAAAAAACACAATATTTTCGTCGCGTGAGACACCCAATTGCTCCCGTGTTAAACCGCCCTCGCTAATCCTGTACCGTCACAGACCGCCGACAAACGACTTCCCACCATGATCTGCCGAATCTGCCTGCGCGCCCAGCGTGCTCTTCCAACAAGACTCCTCCAGACGACGACCCAAACACAATCCCCCTCTACCGCCGCTCGCCGCCTCCAATTACCTTCCTCCCGCCGACTCCTTCCTCAAGTACAGCACCCCAAACTCTTTTCCTCCTCCCCCTCTTCGTCTTATTCCTCCTCCGCTACCTCAACAACACAGCCCACCACCCCAACCTCCTCCAGCAGTACTACTCCCTCGAGCAGTAACACCGCCACCGCCCCCCTCCAAAAACCAACCTACCTCTCCGAAGGCGAGTCCCAAGTCTGGGACCTCCTCCACGCCGAATTCGCCCCGGCCCAGCTCGAGGTCCAGGATATTTCAGGCGGGTGCGGCTCCATGTACGGGATTGAGGTGTGCTCAGAGAAGTTCCGGGGCTTAAATATCCTTAAGCAGCAGCGGTTGGTGAATGCTGCGCTGGGGGGGTTGATGAAGGAGTGGCATGGGGTGCAGTTGAAGACGAGGGTGCCGTAGGGGGGGTTATATCTGAGGGCATAAGGGGGGTGCTGGTCTGGGGTGTATGATGGGGTTGTTTATTTGGTGACAAAATATACCAAGAGATATACTCGGGATTGGCTTTGATCACAGGCACTTGACATCGAGCCACATTTCCCGGGTGCTTAAAAGAGTGTAGGAAAACTTGTATTAACTCCCGCGAGACATTTTTCGATTAAGGAAATTAAGCGTTTGAAGAACGGCTGTCAACGTTGTTTGTGATTACAGACTATCTACATGTCCGACAGCACTTAGTGATTACAATTGAAGATTGAGGTACGATGATACGATTCAGTAAACCTAAAATTGCTGTGTTTGAGACACTTGTTGTTTTGTGGTTGTATTTTGGATTTTAGCATCAAGTGTTGTGATGTTTTTTGTTAATTACTTAAATGTTTAGACCGCAAATTAAATCTCGAACTTTGTGAACGTGATGCGACTGATAATTTAACAAGAAAAAAAAAGACAATATTAGCTAGTTAATTTTTCATTATTCATTAAACCGGTTGGTCACCTTCTACATCTGTGGCGACAGACTGATCACTGTTTTGAAGAGAGTATTATCTTTAAGTTTGTCACTTAATCAATTAAAATTAACCAACTTGTAAATACTCAACATAAAAAACACAAAACTATCAACCCAGTTTCAGCACACATACTATTCAACTAGAAAAATGGTAATAAGCCATTGAGATACTTATTCAAGCTGTCGAGTCCATTGGTTGAAGTTAAAAAACTGGTTGCAACTTGCTACACTGATGGTCTTTGTTCTTTATTTACGGTGTTGGAGTTGGAGCATTTTGTGTCACCCAAGCATCATAAGCAAGTCTTACAGGCTTACTGTACCAATAGCCGCAACCCAGGTGATAGGTATCAATCATCGCAAATCCGTCATATTTTCTCCACGCCATCTGCAGTGGGATGTGATGCTGCGTGGAAGTTTCGCAACACAAAAGTCCCAGGCCGGAACTTTCACCCTGATTCGCGAGTCAAACTTGGGCCGAGATCCGAGCCAATTGACGGCCGTTCCTCCGCTGGGGAAGCGGGGCACTGCAACTCCAGCTCGTCCAGCTCTGGGCTGTGCGAGAGGGAACAAGTTGCTATAAAACCCAGATGCCCCGATTTGTCGGAGCTGTCGTTACGTCGTGAACGACATTCATAGTAGTGAACGTTACCTCACCTTCAAGAAAACAACACACACACGCGGAATTTACGAGCAAAATGGCCGCCCGATCTAAAGCCCCAACCACCGCCACCACCACCGGGTGGACCCACACACCTTCGACGGGCACCCTCCTCTGGCTCGCCGTCTCCCTCCCCCTCGTGACCTGGGATGTTGGCTACATGCTCCTGCGCCCGCACACGATGCCCGGGGGTTACTTGCACGAGCCGCTGTGGAAACCGTACGCGCTGTACGGCGAGGTCGACCACATGTACGGGTTCAAGCAGTGGAACCTGAACAACCCTTTCGCGGCGACGCAGAGCTGGCTGAACCTGGCGGAGACGGTGCTGTATTTGGTGTATGTGGGGTTGTGGTATGCGAATGGGCGGGCGTTGGCTCCTGGCGCGAGGAGGGCGGTTGGTGGGAGGGTGGGCGCGTTGGCGGTGTTGGTTGGGTTTAGTGCGGCTGTGATGACGGTTAGCAAGACGGTCTTGTATTGTAAGTGGGATGGATGGTGATGATGAGGGCGTTGGTCGGGCATGCGAAGACTCACTGTTGCGCAGGGCTGCTGGAGATCATCTCTGGCTTTGAGAACATCGGGCAGAACGATGTTTGGAGGCTCGTTTTTCTCTGGATCATTCCCAAGTAAGACGCGTATCTCTCAGTATGCTTTTCGGCGCTGACATTTTTAGTGGTGCTTGGATCGTGGTTCCCTCCATTTTCATGATTATCGGCATGGGATCAGAGATCATTGACGGTCTGGCTCGGGGGCCGGACGTAAAGAAGCAGGAGTAAGCCTACGGCAGCTACAAGATTGGGAACCCAAGTTGGCGACGCGTCTGAACTAGTTATGGAACTGGCCCCAAATGGAGAAGCGAGAATTTAGCAAACAGGATGAGACAACAATTGTATCCGTAATGGTAATGAAATATATGAGGAGCTTGCTTTTTGGGCTGAACTGGAATTGATAATTTGAGTGCACGGGTCTGTAATTTCATGCTCAACCACGTATTTTACCAGATTCCAGGTTAGGGTTAGGGTCGGCAGTCAGCGCGTCCCTCAACGCGTCAAGCTCCCACTTTTCAACCTCGTCCGTTTGTAGCCGCCCTTCCCACCTCGCAGCGGACGATGTCGCTGGCGCAATGGCGGCCCTAACACCATACACCTTTATCCAATGCCCATGCTCGGACTCGTCGACGCTTGGCCGGCCGTCGGACGCCAACCCCGCCGCGAACGCAACCAACGACGACGACGAGGAGGCGGACGAGGACAACCGCACCTTTGACCCCCGTGCCCCGCGCTCGAACTTCAGTCTCTACCCGCTCGAGTATCTACTGTATTGCGAGGATTGTCACCAGATCCGCTGCCCGCGTTGTGTGTCGGAGGAGATTGCCTCGTATTACTGCCCGAGCTGTCTGTTTGAAGTGCCTAGCAGCAACCTCAAGAGCGAGGGGAATCGGTTGGTTTCTTCACCCTCCTCAGTATCCTTACCTATCCCACTCCGTTTTGCTGACGACGCTAGATGCACCCGCAACTGCTTCCAGTGCCCGATCTGTATCGGCCCGCTGGCCGTGACGAGCGTCGAGACCAAACCCGACCCGAGCCTGCTGGCCGCCCCCGACAACGCCGCGGCGCCTCACTCGGGGCCTTATGCCCTGACGTGTTCGTACTGCCACTGGACGTCGACGGAAGCCGGCCTCAAGTTTGACAGACCGAACAACATACATGCGCAGTTGACCAAGCTGCGGAATGGGGGCCTCACACGGCTGACTGCCCGAGAACGACGGGAACGGCGTAAGGATCCGGCCTATCGCGCTCATTTGGCAGCAGCAGCCGCAGTGGCGGTCGCGGCAGCTTCTGAAGATGTCGATGACGTAGAGGAACGCGGCCGGGGGCCTGGGATTGAGGAAAAGGAGAGTCTGGACGTGGAAACACAGTTCGCCAACCTCAAGTCCTTCTACCAGGCGCAGCTGGCCAACCCCAACTCGTCCGACACCGGGCTCACCGGGCTAGGCGACCTCGGGTTCTCATCACCAACTTCGCTCTCCCGTATCATGAGCATCTACACCGGCGGCAGCTTGCGGGATAAGAAGGCCAAGTCGCGGGTGGGCGCCATGCGCGAGGCCCTGGACGCCGACGAAGGATTCCAGCCCGCGCGGCTCGACGAATCCGCAGCCATCGCGGCCCTCCAAGCCCACGGGTTTGACGGTACCTCGTCCACCGCCCAGCTAGCCGAGCAGCCGGTCAACATAGGCGAACCCGCGTTCCCCCACGGCCAGGCGCATTTCGCCTCCGACCTCCGCCCGGTCCCGCATCTCCTCCGCACAAAGCGCTCCAAGCGCTGCCCCGTCTGCCGGCACATTATCAGCAAGCCCGAGGCCAAAGTCCAGACCACGCGGTTCCGCATCCGGCTGGTGGCAGGGAGTTACATCCCTAGCATTGCCATCCGCCCGCTCGCCCTCTCCCCAATCCCCAACACATCCTCCTCTTTCTCTTCCACCTCCGCTCCCATCCCCACATCCACATCTGCCTCAGCTTCCGGCCCGGCCATCCCGGGTGCTCTCCTCGAACCCCTCCGCCCAGCTCACTTCGTGCTCACCTTCAAAAACCCCATCTTCGAATCCGTCAAAATCACGCTCGGCGCCCCCGCCCACACCCCCGGTCGCTTCTCTAGCAAAGTGACCGTGCTTTGCCCCGAGTTCCAAATCGACGCCAACACCGACGTCTGGGACGAAGCACTCAAGGAAGGGCTCGCGACGACGGGGGGCGGCGCCGCGTCGGGCGAGCGTGACCCGCGTGAGAGACGTCGTCGACGGGGCGGGACGGAAGATGGGAGCCAGAGTGGTATCAACCCGACTACGCAGCTGGAGGTGGGTAAGATTTGGGAGCGTGGGCGGAATTGGGTGAGTATTGTTGTTGAGGTGGTCCCGCCGTCTCTTAGTACTTTGCCATCTGGAGGAGGAGATAGTGGGCTGCCGTTGCAGGAGGACGAGGATGTGTTGGAGATCCCGCTGTTTGTGCGGGTTGAGTGGGAAGCAGAGATGGGTGGGGATGAGGTTGGGAGTGTGATGCCGGGGGTTGGGGGCAGTAAGGAAAAGGGGGAAGGGAGGGAGAAGAGGGAGTTAGCATATTGGTGTGTGTTGGGATTGGGGAGGATTCGGCGGTAGGAGTTTGTGTGGAAAATGGTAATGTGATTGATACCCGAGATATGCCGCAGAAAATGGGTTGACATTTGGTTCTTTCAGCTTGCCATGTTTGACATGGATGGATGGACTCATTTATTTTGACCGTATTGACGACATACACTAACTACACTACACTACACCCTTACACACTGGCTTCACGCCCCAAACTGGTCCCCAAAGTTAGTCAAGCAGAACCGGTACTTGACATCAGTCTTCTGCATCCGCCGCATGATATCCCCCAGGTTCGTCTCGTTGATCGGCACCTCCTCAACCCACGTTTTGATCCCCTTGTCCGCAGCCAGCTGCAGCATCGCCAGCGTCTCCTTCCGACTCCCCAAATGCGAGCTACCAATAAAACACCCGTTGGCCAAAAACGTCTGGTTCCGAATCTTGATCCCCTCGTCCTCGGGCAACCCCACGCTCACCCACTTGGCGTGTACATCTAGCAGACTAAGATACGCGTCCAGATCAAACCCTTCAAAGCTGTTGGCCGTGTTGACAATGATGTCGAACGTCATCTTGTGCGGCACATTCCAATCTTTATCGGCCGTCGCGAGGAACCCGTCGGCGCCCATCTTCTTCGCGTCGGCTTCCTTGGCGTGCGTGCGGCTGATCGCCCACACTTCGGCGCCCAGGGCTTTGGCGAAGAGAACGCCTAGGTGCCCGATGCCGCCGAGCCCGACGATGCCGACTTTCTTGCCGGGACCGCAGCCGTTGCGCACGAGCGGGGAGTAGGCTGTTAGGCCGGCGCAGAGCATTGGGGCTGCGATTGTGCTGGGCAGGGCGTCGGGGATGGGGAAGACCCTGTGATTGTATGTTAGCACATGCCACTCTCAAAGACTGAAGCGTAAGAGTGGAAGGATATGGAGGGAAGAAACAGTGAAAACATACCAGTGCTCATGTGTCCGAACATGCGACGAGTAGCCTCCCTGCGAGACGATGCCAGTGTCAGGCCACACCGAGCCATACGTATCAAGCTGCTGCGTGCAGTACGTCTCGTTCTCGTTCTTGCACTGCCGGCAGTCCAGGCACGAGTAGCTCTGCGCGCCCACGCCCACGCGTTGGCCGGGCTTGATCAGCGTTACCTTGGGACCGACCCGGAGGGCTGTGCCGACGATTTCTGTGACCCCACGTTGTGTCAGTCATTTTCCGGTTTGTAGTCTGAGAAGGGATTGATGTATCTGTACGTACCGTGCCCGACAGCGAGAGGGAACTTCTGCTCGCCCCAGCCGCCGCTGACGGTGTGGTAGTCGCTGCCGCAGACACCGCACGCCTCGATCTTGACATCGACATCGTAGTCGCCGAACGGCTTGGGCTGGAACTCGTTCTTGTGGAACTCGGGCTTCGGGTTCGGGGCGTGGACCTGGAATCCGGTGAACTTTTCAGGAACTGACATGGTGGCGAGTGTTTTCGTTTAGTGGATGAATTGGTATTGTGTTGTTATTGTTATTGTTGTGGTGTCAGGACGGGTTGAAGAGGGAGGAGTTGAAGTAATGAGAAAGGGATGGATACGAGTTACGAATCTCCAAGCTTTGACATTTATCATCTCGGCGTTTAAAAGATTCTTCTAAAACTTGACTGAGGGGCATTATCCCCAGTCTTCCCCCGCGCCCCCCACTTGGGGGAACGTTGGAGCCATCGTGATATTATCCAAGAACCGGTTCCACGGGTGGGCGCAATTGGGTGAATTGTCATGGAACCCCCCGTCTGCTCGGTGAGAACTGCTCTCATCGAGCCCGGTCGTACCCCGCCATACCCCGCCATGTTCAGATTCGCCCAACTGGGGAAAAGTTGACTTAGAGGGGCGCAAGATTCGGGGGAACTCTCGCCCCAAATCTCTGCCAAATTTCCCACAAATCAGGTTGCGTTATCCCTTGGCTAGCATGAATAAGATAAGATATCGGATCCCGTCGCTCGTCTTTTTTGTTAGTCTGGTAGTTCCTCGAAAGTCGAACTGGGCCACGGTATTATACAAACCTCTACCTAGGACACCTCGTGAAGCAGGAGAGTAGCTAAGCCATTGCTACTCGAGCTGACAACCACCACAATCTTTTGGTGGAGGAGCCGTCATGCTGGGTCCTTGCCTTGCGGACCTTATAGATTAGCCGACCCAATGGCCCGGTAACATGCGGATTTTTGATGGAGAACCAAAGGCCTGACACAAAAGGAAAATCCCGCGATCTCTCCGAGACGACGACAACCTGGCGGGCCTGACAAAGCTGGGGGCCTGACCCGAAAAACTTTCTCTGGCTTGCCGGTCCTTACATCGATGACATGGCCTACCGGTGGCATAGACCGGAGACCTTCGAAACCAGAAGGTCGGCCGTAATGTTGAGACAAAACTCCGCAAATCTAGCACGATAATACCTGGTATGACCCGCCACACTGGGGAAATAACAGGGAAATAAACCGCTTGCTGCCAAGTATCCAACACCAAAGCTTCCCATGACTCAACCGGCGAGCATATCAACACTACGCTCCGCTAAGACCGCTATCCCCGTGGTCCACCGGCTGCTCAAGCGGTCTTCTTGACCGTTGTGGGACTTCCGCTAAACCCAACACCGGCGAGGAACGCGATCCGCATCGACGCCCCCCAGTACACAAAGCCAATGTTCCCCCAGTCGATGGCGTTCCATTCCAGCACGCTCCCATAGATCTGTCCGCCGAGTGGGCTGACGGTGTAGAGATGCCCAAAGTCGGCCACAAGCAAGCAGAACAGGACTGTCTTCCAGACGCGCAGGTCCGAGGTCGCCCGCAAGACGAGTGCTTCGCTAAGGGCAAAGGCAAAGTAGAGATTGGCCAGCTGCGACAAGGCTATCGATGTGCCTAGCGGAATGGGCGTGGGTGCGGACGTGGCATGGGTGAGGTCGAGGTATGTGCGCTGGTCGAAGAAGGCGAAGTAGGCGCCTGCGAGTGTCGCGATGGGTTCGATGAGGAGGAAGAAGAGGCGGTACGGGACCGGGAGAGTGAACCCGGCTGCTACCTTGTTGGTGGACGTTGCTGCTTGCTTCGGGGATGCCATTGTAAAATTTGTGCGTGTTATCGCCGTACTATGGTGTGAAATTGAGCGGGATATGGGAAGATAGGTAAAGGGACGACACGATGCGCGTAACGCTGAACTTAACGCGTTCGTGGCGCTGGAGGAAGCAGCACAACGGGCCGACGCCGGACGGTCGAGAAGCTCGGGCCTTCCAACAGTATTTAGCCGCCCCACACCGCCTCCCAATTTTGGCTGGCAAGGTCCCACCTAGACTGCAAGGGCTCGCAAACCCTAACGCCAATTCCACTGGACGACTTTTTTCTCTCCCGCCCGCCGTGCAACTCTTGGAAACCGACCCGACCACGAAGATCATCAACCGGTATCCTCGACAACCGCCAACATGAGCTCGCCGTCCCTCAGCAAGATCGCGGCTAACAGCCCGAGCCGCCAGAACCCGTCCGAGCTCGAGCAGGGCATCGCCAGCGCTCTGTACGACCTGGAGAGCAACACCACCGACCTCAAGGTCGCTCTCCGTCCTCTGCAGTTCGTCTCGGCCCGTGAGGTGAGAATTTGCTCCTGAAGCACCCCGCCACTGCGACTTCCGAAAGGAATTGAAGAAAAAGAATCGCATCCGGGTCCTGTTCCACCGACATGCGAGCGATTGAGACAACATCGCCGCACGTCGGATCGTCGTCGCACATTGGGAGATTGATCACACATGGGAAGGGCCGGGCAGGCGGGCTTGGTAGTGAGCCTGATGAGAAAGGTTACCCGTTATACGGGGAGCTGCTAGTCCGCCTTGCTCGGCGGCCCTAACGTCAAAATACCATATAGCACGCGGAATAGGAACGGGAGCGGTCCATGGAATGCAGTGTCATCCTGGAGCTCGCACGCTGACTTGGATCTGAAATAGATCGAGGTTGGCCACGGCAAGAAGGCTATTGTCATCTTTGTCCCCGTCCCTTCGCTGCAGGGTTTCCACCGTGTCCAGCAGCGGTAAGTCCTCTTGTTGCTCCTTGAGCGTTCATTTTTACACTATTTCTCGTCCGCAGGCTCTGACTCTGCCACAGTCTCACCCGTGAGCTCGAGAAGAAGTTCTCGGACCGCCATGTCCTGATCCTCGCCTCGCGCCGCATTCTCCCGCGCCCCAAGCGCTCCAGCCGCTCGCGCAACACCCTCAAGCAGAAGCGCCCCCGCTCGCGCACCCTGACTGCCGTGCACGACGCCATCCTGACCGACCTTGTCTACCCCGTCGAGATTGTCGGCAAGCGCCTCCGCACCAAGGAGGACGGCTCCAGGACCCTCAAGGTCATCCTCGACGAGAAGGAGCGTGGCGGTGTTGACTACCGCCTCGACACCTACTCGGAGGTCTACCGCCGCCTCACTGGCCGCGGTGTCATCTTCGAGTTCCCCCAGACCAGCGCTGCTGACTACTAGAGGGTGGAACTGAGATGAGAGGAAGAAGCTGTGATGGAGGGGCTTGTTTTTGTTTGTGGACTGGCGTAGCGGTCAGATTTGGGATTCGGTCAAATCGGGGTTTCGGGTCTGATGATGCATGCATGGCATCCAAAAGGGACGGCGTTCTGCTAGCTGGTGATAAATCCAAGCTTCATGATCTTCCACCACTCGCCCCACAATACAAGCCTTCATCTGCTTCGTGCTTCCGCTCGCCTTGTTTTCCTCGTGTTTATTATTTACTGACATTATCGCGCTACTCGATCTTCAATGACCATGCATGCTAGAGGCTTTGCTCCCGCTTTAGTCTCGCTTGCTTACTCCCTCGCTTGCTAAATCCTCCATATCACATCGATATGTACACTGAATGATATCACAACACCCCGTCCATCACACCACCTTCACCACCCTTTCTCCCCAATCTCACAAATGCACCTGATACCCTGGATGCTCTCCCCTAACCCACTCCAAGATCCTCACCCACACCTCCCTCCCATCATCCTCCTCGCCCATGACCTTCTCCACCTCGGCGAGCGCGGTCTTCTCTTCTTCCGCACTGATGCTAAACCAGCGCGTAGCATCCCGAACCCGCAGTTTCGCGCACTTCGCATCCTTTTCCGGGTGACCCTGCCAGGTGAGAATGGTGTTGTTGTGGTTGAGGAAAGCTTGGTTGTCGGCCAGGAGCTCGTGGAAACCGCCGCGGACTGGCGGGGAGCCGACGGCACGGCGGTGGTGTTGCTGGAGGCGGAGGGTGGTCGGGTCTTTGTTGATGCTGATGCTGATGTTGGTGCTGTTGTTGATGTTGTAGGCCGGAAGGGACGGGTTGGGGCGGTGGAGGAAACGGCGGCCGGCGGGGGTTAGTTGGGCTTCTGTTACGCCGAGCTGGATGGATGTTATTTCACTGGCTTCACTGTTTTGCTGCTCTTCCAGCTCTCCCTGTCTCCCACTGAAAAAGTTCTTACCTCAGGCGTCTCCATATCCACCAATTCGGCCCCAAATAGCATGCAAATCGTCTGATGGCCCCAGCAGATACCGCAGAGTTTCGTCTGCGGGTGGTGCGCGACCACATCTAGAATAAACTGGTGCAGCTTGGAGATCCAGGGCATTTTCCGCCGCGGGTCGACATTGCCGCCGCCAATAACGATGAGATCGTACTCGTCGGGGTCCGGGAGTTCGTCTTCATTCTCGGCCGGGTAGAAGAAGGTCAATTCGGGTGTGGTATTGGCTTCATCATCCTCACTGCCGAGATTAGCTGCAGCGGTGATGGTGCGGACGTAGGAGTCGCGGATGTCGGTGATGAAGGGGGATCGGTAAGAATTGAGCAGAACTGCGATGCGCAGAGGCGAGAGGGTGCGAGATGGGCTCATGTTGAATGAACCTTGGGGGGGTTGAAGGTGGGACTCTGGTTGCTTTGGCTGTCTTGCTTGTTGTCAAGTCTTGAGATGTCTCAACTTGGGGGTTGAGTGTCGGTTTTATTTATTTGCCCGGTGGGGACCCTCTTATTAAAAGTACAGATTATTTGTTCGCGTGTTGGAAATTACACAGTACCAACAAGCCACAAAAGAAAATACGCACTCCACAACTTGGCAAGGTACAATATTTATAACTAGCACTGATATTGACTAGTGAGGTTTGTTGCCCGGACTGGCGGGGAGATCCAAGTTCCCAAGCCCGACGAGTGTGGCCTCATTCTCAGGTCCCTGATGTATCAGCTGATGCCACGCCAGGGGAGGCCGCGGGCCAACAAGGAAACAGCCGAGTGCCAAGGAGTCCCCGGATCCTCGGACATGACATCATCCAGGGTGTCGCTCGGCAATTGTTCGTTGTCGAGAGTCAGTCTCCAATGCATGGTGGTGTTGAGCTTGAGGGTATGGAGAAGAGTATCACACCATTCCCCGCGAACATGCTTCTGGTGTGATTGTGCTGCTGGATAACTACTTGCTTGAAGTGACTGGAAAGGGTGCGCAAGGTGCCAAGACCGCCGGGTCCTGAGTGCGGGAAGAACCCGCTTGGGGGAGCGGGAAGTTGTCTAATTGGTTGGTAGTCTGGGTGCGCCTTGGGAGCATCAATCACATTGGGTTTGGCTACGCTTCGTCTTAACTCTCGGGACAGCACTCCTGTGGTCATCAGACGCATCTCTGCTTTTCAGCTTCGGCCATGCCCATTCATGGTCCGATGATAGGCCTGGGCCGCCTCGGATTAGGAAGTCCCAGCGCGATCGTGGCTTGTCTTGGTCCAGCTGAACGTTGAAGCCAACTTAGAGGCTGAGCCTTGAGAATTGGTAATGTTAGGCTCAAGAGAGGGCACGAGGGGAAGGTGGAAAAGGAAAACGGCGAGAATAAGAAGCAAAGCTCTCCTGCGGTCATGAAGGTTGCCGCCCATGGTCTGTGATTGAACAAGAGCCGTTTGTTAGGCACTGAGCCACCTGCTACCATACCCGATTCGAACTTGACCTGCCATTTAATTGTGCCGGTAGTCTTGATTGCTGGATACCAATGATGCCCTAAAACAGACATTCCTGGCCACCTTTTCTCGCTCGGGATTTGGCTTCGAGATCCATGGTAAAAGGGAAGGAAGTGCAGGCGAGTGTATGTACGCACCTAGGTACCTTCCCCTTGACTACCTTACGTATTCTCGTCCTCGGACATGCATTGGGAAGGATGCGAGGCCAAACACGTGATGCCCGTGCCCCGCTTTATGTGCCTCTCTTGAGTCCACAAACCCCAAGGCCGTTTTCGTTCGTCAAGTAAAAGACACAATAAGTTTGAGTTGAGGTCCCGGAATGTTTTCTGGGCTGCTTAGCAGGTCGGCTGTTGCTCGGCGTGGCGCTTGCCTACTTCGACTGCCTTAAAGCCAGAAATTGGACCTCGATAATTAATGATGGCTGACCCAAGCCCCGGCGGTTACGAGAGTAGCAAGATTCAAGACACTAGCAGTCTTCCTGGCATATTACGCCTCACGCCCGAGATACGTCACCGCGTCTATGTCCACTTAGGTCTGGCTTACGTGCTCTACAATGGCACACCACGGCCCGGCGTCTACGATCTCAGCAACTGGTTTAGCTTCGCCAAGGTGGCCAGGGGTGGGGACACGGAGCCCGGGTTCAAAACCTTCCACGGCCTGCTCCTGTCCTGCCGCACTCTCTACGCCGAGGCCTCTGCGCTTTTCTATTCCTCAAACCGCTTCATCGTCCGCTATGTCTCGCCGTACTGCGCCCTCCCCCGCTACGAGCCGCCACGCCCTTCCCTCGCACCCTTACAGGCTCTTACACCGCACGCGCTGCGGCATCTGACCCATCTCAAGGTCGTACTCAACCAGGCCTCATGTCATGCCAGCTCTCCGGGCGCCGACGGCCGCGGCTTTTGTTGCGAGAACGTGTTTTCTGTTGGCGAGTGTCCCAGTACTGGAAGGTTCCCCGTGGACAAGTGCGAGCATGACTTACCGTTGGACCACGAGCCCAACGCGAGCAGGAATTTCATCAATAGGTTGATGGAGGAGTGGCATGCTACCGCTGCGCGCTTGGCGGCGAACACCACCCCAGGTCGGCTCGAGTTGGCACTGGTCTGTGATGTGCGCTCTGGGGCCGTGGATATGGCGAAGCGTGTGCTGGATGGTCTGTTGTCATTCCCCGCTTTGAAGGACTGTCATATCCGGTTGTGTCGTGATCCAGACCCGGCGCTCCAAACTTTGGCTCAGGAAGCTGTCATACAGGCCCGACGGCTCACACCACCGGCTCTCCCACCACCAGCCCGCCCCGCTTGTTCCAATTCCTCGTCTTCGTCCTCTCAGCTAAACCACACCCGTCCTAACCTCCTTACCCTCCCCCCCGAGATACGCGTCCACATCTTCCAGTACACCGATCTCGTCACTCCCTTCTGCGAGCTAAACTGGGGCCGCAAGGCCCGGAGGTTCTACTCTCAAAGAGAAACATGCTTTGCCCTCCAGGACGAGAAATGCCCGCCTGAACTCCACCATGGCTGTCAGTTCCTGCAGTGTGCCCAGGTGCCTGCCCCAGATCAGACCATCGGCTGCTTTTGCCGTTACAGGCACACCGCAGCCTCCTCTACGTGCCGATGTTGGGACGGCACCAAGGCGACGGCGTTGATGTTTGTGTGCCGCACCCTTCTTCCCGACGCCCTCCGCGTCGGGTACGGCCACAACCGCATCGTGGTTCTGGACCACGATGAGCATGTTTGGCCCTCCTGGCCCTGGCCCCCGGGCGACTACCCACACCAACGGTTTGCGATCAGCGAGTTCCTGCGCGACGCACTGCCGCCGTATTGTCGGCAGTATATTCGATTCTTGGAAGTGGTGTTTGCACCGATCACGGGCGACAGTCGACCGCGCGACGGACACCCGGCGCTAACGGACTGGGAAGAGACGATCAAGTGGATAAAACAGAATTTAAATGTGGCTGGGCTGACGTTCCGTGTGGCCACGACGAGGACTCGTTGGGACCAGGGGCAATATGACTCTGTGACAACGCCGGAGCAGTTTTGGGAGGTGGTGGAAATGTGTAGAACCCTTCTGACTCCTATACAGGCGCTCGTTAGTGCCACTCCCAGCACCTCCACCAGTGACACGAATCAGGTTCTGGCGGGGTTTTATGCCAATATCGCCTTCCCAACAGTCACAGACACTCGTCAGGTACACAACTGGGGATGGCACAAAGATCAGGACCAAATGTTTAAAAGGCGAGCGGAACAGTTTGTAATGGGGGAGCGATATCGTGATGATGCTACGTTCACAGAACCCCGTGATAGCGCTTGGGCATATTTGTCGGATAGAACCCACAACCGGTAGGCGGGTTTGCAAATCCTGTCGAGTGATGTTGGGCGGATGGAGAAGGTATCTCGAAATTGGCCAATATCTCTCTAGAGATTGCTTAGGCACCGGCTGATGAGCTTCACTGGATATGACGGTTCGCCCCTGTTGCAGGCGTTAGCACTCGTGTTTATGTGGGATTTGTGTGACCTGTCACTTGCACGTCAACATATAAGCAGCCCATATGGCGGCGGCAGTTATGTCTGGACGCCTGCTTCACACCCAGGTGGACGGAGCTCAACAAAACCTCTATTACCAACTAACCCCAAGGAAAACCTGAGAGAACCGAGAGAACGACACTGGATATCCCGCCCAACACCGGTCATCCAAAACTGCGACATCATGAAACCAGGTTTCGCACCGGCATAGCGAGTAGATAGGAATAGTGAAACGAAATATGAACAGTAAATTGAGACAAATGACTAAGAGATCCATCCTTCGCTTAGCCCGGAAAGTCCCTACAAAACCCAGGAAGTTTACATTACCCCTCTTCTACCTCGCATAACCTCCGCCGTTACCACCGCCCCAATAGTTATCATTCCCCCTCCCACCACCTTGCCCCTGCCCGTACCCATCATCTCCAAAATCCTGATCATGATGGCCATGGTTGGCGTTGGCGTAGTTGTCAGTGGTGAACGCCCGTTGTGGTTGCGGGTGAGCAATCTGCTGCGGCCCAGGGGATCCCATGCGGGGGCTTGTGAAGCTGCGGTTCGGCGAACCAAACCCTGCCCCTGGTGGAGGACTCCTCATGCTACCGGGTCCGGGAGACGCCGCGTGCCGCGACGGAGCGGGCGACATTCGACCTTGGGGCGAGTTCGGGAACCTGCCAGTCGGTCCTGGGGTCCCGTTGCGGGGCGATTGGGAGCCGTTCCGGAGAGATCCACCGCCTGGGCTGCGCATCCCGGCCGCGGCGGCCGCACCGATTCCGGCACCGGCAGCGGTCACACCCAAGGCGGAAGCGGCGTTGGAGTCCCAGCGGTGGTCAAGAGGCGAGGCCGGAGTAGTAGCGGCGAGATTGTTCGACCCGGTCACGCTGTAGCTGTCTTCATCGGCGAAGCCGTCCCGGCGCATTTCCTTGGCGTTGTACTCGTGGCCGTGAGAGGCGAAACTGTCGGGGTCAACACCGGCTTTGCGGAAGCGTTCCAGCTCGAGACGCTCAGCCTCGGCGCGAGATTCAGCCGCCTTAGCCTCACGCGCTCCACGGCGGCGCTGGCGGATGCAGTAGAAGAGACCGGTGCACAGCAGGAGCCCAAAGAAGCCGCCCACACTGGCATAGATGGCGATCTTGCTGGTTTGGGGAAGGTCTGCCCACTTCTCGGACAGTGACTTCTCAGGCGGGGCATTGATGGCCTCATGGACGGTTGAGTTCCCTCTGAGCAGCGAGGTTAGTATCTGCGAGAGCGTCTGCCGGGGGTGAACGCCAACTTACTCGACGATCTTGATGCTCTCCCACGACCCGCTCTTGTCGCTGTACTGGTACTCCTTGCCGCTGCTGAAATCCTCGACGTGAACGCTCTTAACGTACATGTCAAAGGGCGCTTTGCTGTAGTCCGTGTCACCACCAGCCCAGTCACGCGTACCCTGAGGCATGCGCGGGTCACCACCGGCCCAAATACCAATAGATAGGCGCATCGGGGTCTGCGGGTAGTAGTAGGTGTTGTTGGCATCGGCGGGCACGAGGCGACGGACCTTGTCCCCGTCCACATAGAAGTCCAAAAAGTCCTTGGTCCAGATCGTGGTGTAGTTGCGGTAGTCGTTGTGCACGCCTTGGGGAACCTGGTGGTAGATGGCGTTGGACTTCTCGGGAATGAAGCCCTTGCCGTAGTAGTTGCTCTGTGCAACGGTCGCGTTGCCGCCAAAGAACTCCCAGTCGATCTCGTCCAGGTTGTCACTCAGCATCATGATGGAGCTAATGACACCGGTACCTTGGGCCGCCTTCATGTGCACCTCAGTGCGTCCCCAGAAGTAGTAAAACTTGGACCGGATGGTGGGGGACTCGCCCTGTTGGCCGATCCGGAACCGGGCACCCGTGTCCGGGTCGTAGGCGACTGGCTGGGCGGTTGATTCCCACACGTCGAAGTTGGGCGTGATGTTGAAGTTGAAGTTGGCGTCCATGCTCAAGGCGGGGTCCGGCGGGCAGGTCTTGTTCATGGGAAAGCAATCGGTATGAACTTGGGCGACGGCATTGCCGATAAGAGCAGACCACGCCATCAGCGCGGCGGCTGAGGCGCGAACGGGTGTTGTCCACATGATAGAAGGCGGAGCGGATAGAACGTGTGTGATGGTTGTCGAAAATCGAAAAAAGGCGCTGGCAAAGTCTGGGGTATCTCGGGGTATCTTCTGGTGCTGGGTATCTGATATCTGAGGTCGCCGTCTACGGTCGATGGAGCATGTCGTGATTAGCGTGTTGTCGCCGGGACTTGTTCGCTGGGAAGGCCGGTGTAAAAACGGCAGAAGGATATCGTGGGGCGGGAAGCTTTCGGGATCGGACGAAAAATAAAACAAGAAAGGACGGCGATTGTTTGGTGCAACAAGAGAGCGAGATGGCACGAGATAGCGAGTAGATTGAGGCAATTGGGGATGCCCGGGTCGGTGGTCGAGGCAAAAGCAAGGTGCGTGCTTCGAAATGGTCAAGCTAAAAAAGAAGTGACGGTTGTCCAAAAAGAGTGACTCGAGCTCCAAGGTGCTGCGGGCGCGCAGATGCACCAGAGGGGACTCGGGATGCTATCTCGAGGGGTCGAGGACGACTGGAAGAAGAGAGCGGACGCAGTGATGGCAGCTGCAAGAGAGGGACGAATGCACGAACGAACGAACGGGGGACTGGATGCTGTGGGAAAAGGGGCGCCCATGTTTCACGGGATGGATGCAGGTACTGCGGGCGCAAGGTCGGAAGGAGCTTGGCAGCACGCTCAAAGCGGGATAGCCCGCCTCGTGCAGCCATACAGTTTCCGGGAGCCCCTGGATTCCGCGACACGATGAACACCGAACCTCTCCTCATTAGGCCTAGTGTTTGTATCTCCAGCCAATTGTCGCGCGGCCGTTCTGCAAGGCCTTGTGCCGCGTCCTTGCACTTCCAGGAATCACTTGTCCAGTTTGGGCGATCCGGATCTTGAATTCAGGCTTGAAAAAACGCAGTCCGCGGTGCTGGATTCCGAAAATCCGAGGAATGCCCTCAAGGTGATACATGTAGTTTCAAAGTGAGAGGATGGCGATTTCTGGGCTACATAGTATCAGGTATTATGGGTTGTTTTATTTCATACAGCGCGTTCCGAGTTTTGCTTCTCTTGAGGCTTGGGGCCCAATCGGAATTGTGGTCCGATTCTGGGACGCGGCTTCTCTTTTCGATATGGAGTATTCGTTTTTAAAATTTCCCCTGGCTTTTCATGCCCCGCACTCCGGCCAGGTCCATTGCCTGGAACTGGAACCATCAAACGGAGACCAGCCATCATCACCGGTTCACTCGGCTTTCAAATATGTCTAGGATATTCGTCCCTGTCAACCGTTCGTCTCTGGCTCATGAATCCGCCCTTTCCTGTCGTGTTGGAGTCAGCTCTTCGGAGCAGCCGAACGGGTGATCGCTGGGCCCGTTGGGCAAGGGCCGACCCGCAAACCTTCGTATTGCTAGGGACCGATATTTTTTCTAGCAGAAACTGACCTTCGAATGCTCGGCCGACCGGGAGTTGACTGGAGAGTGGCAAATTGTCCACGGCAAACGGGCACTCTTTGACCCTGTGCTCATAGTCCTGGTCACACCCAACCCGATACAGGTCTCACAAACCGCCGTGGGTCTCGGGGAAGTTTGAGAGTGAGTCGAGTGCGATGGGATGCTAACGGGTAGTATTCAATCTTTGAGCAATCCGAGTCCTTGCTCGAGGCTTTCTTTCTCCCACTCGAGCCTGTCACACCTGTTTACACGCGTACCTTTGTCTGGCATGGACGCTGACCTGACATTGTCATCCACATTAAGAGTTGTGGTTGAAGAGTAGGGGTCAAACACCCGACCCTACTTCTCCACACCCTCTCTCAGCACTACGGACACCCACATCTCGGTTTGGAAGAAGAGGTTGAAGTTGGCGCTCTTCCACGGCCGTGAGGGGTTGACCAGCTGGAAGTCAAACCGGCGAAGGAGCTGACATTATGGGTGAGCATGCAACATGGGGATGAGGTCAGGAAGAGGAGATTCCAGACTCACCTCGACAAACACCTTGTTCAATTCCAAAAAGGCAATCATTTTGCCAGCACAGCCCCATCGTCCATACCCAAAGGCGAGTTCAGCCACACGCCGCATCTCGGCCTTCTGTGTTGCGTCCACCTGGAGCCAGCGTTCCGGACGGAATACGTCGGCGTCCGAGCCAAAGAGGACTCGGTTTTGGCCCGTGGTCCAGAAGTTGGGCGCGACGAGTGTGCCGCCGGGCACCGGTTTGCCGTCGATGATGTCCCCTTCGGGCGGGACCACTTTGAAGGGCAAGCCCGTGAAAGGTGAGAAGATGCGGAGAGACTCGATGATGACGGCTTGTAGGTATGGCATGGCGTTGGCCTCGGCATTGGCGATAGGGCTTGAGATACGGCCCGCTCGGATGCCTTCGTCAATCTCAGCTTGGAGCCGAGTGTACGCCCGCGGAGTGGTCATGAGGTACAGCATCGTGCAGCGAATGGTGGTGGCGGTAGTGTCGGAGCCAGCCACAATTTGGAACAGCGCTTCCATCTCACACTGACGTTGTGTCAGGCCGTGGCGCATAAACGAGCCCTATGTTCTCCGTTAGCCTCCGGTAGCACCCTACTTAGCGAAGAGAGTCAGGGGCGCAGACCAGCATATCTTGTTCATCTTTGGCATCCGCCTGAGCGAACCTTTTCCCAACGATTATCCTACCGGTACTACAGTTGTAGGTCTCGTCAGTTTCTGGATAACGTGACCATAGGGGCCTTCAAGTTGCGGACACAGTAAAACGAGAAACGCACCGCATCATGGTACCCAGCCCCTTTTTGTCTTTGACCGACGGCCCGATCAAGCCCAGCACAAACCGAGACGTGAAAATAGTCCGCAGATACGGGACCACCGAGACCACGGTAATCGCCAACGCGGTATCCCGAACCACGGCCACAATCCCATTGACGTCCCGCTCCGACTCCATCATCCCAAACTCCTCGCCAAACGCCACCTTGGAGATCGAGTCGAGCGTAAAAAACTGCGTCATACACCCCAAATCCAACCACGGCTTCTTCGTCTCGCCCCCATTCTCCCCAAGCGACGCAGCCGCGTACTGATTCCGAATTTTATCCACCAACACTCCAATCATCCCATCCACCTCCCGCTCGAGGCCCGGGTTATCCCGGCCTGCATACCCGGGCGCCGTTTGTGCTTTGATCCGATCGTGAGTGGTCGTGTCGAGCGTGTTAAACATGGCGTCGGCATAGGGATCGGCGGTGTTGAGTTTGTACCATGTGGACCGGGTATACCGCGAGCGGGCGGCCGACGTGCGGCGGATGACGTCCGGGTCGCTGGTGAGCAGCTCGTTGGGACCGATGCGGATGGTCGAGGGTGATACACTGTGTCTTTGCCCGTCATTATACGCGCCCTTCTGCCCCTTCTGTTCCTCCGCATGGCTGTCACTGTAGTAAGCTTCGGTTTGGGCGAAGATATCGGCCATGCGGCCGCTAGCGCAGACGCGGACGATCCAGAGGTAGGAGAAGGAAGCGAGCGGGGGACCTGGGAAGTGCCGGAGGCGGTACCAGGCGGTGATTGATGAGATGACGTAGGTGGTGAATATGAGGCCGGTTAGCGTGAGGATCCAGGAGAGGGGGGTGAGGTTGGGGAGCTGGGAGGGGAGGTCTGTGATGAGCTTCGCCATGGTGGATGCAGTGAGCGTGAGAGGTGGAAGGTGGTAGGTTGCGGGAGGAGAGTCTTGTGAGCCCGAACTGGGTTCAACTTCTCCTCTTCAGTGGTTATTAGACTCTACTTGTGCTCCCGTTACGCCAAGCGCTCATAATAGGTTTGCGCTCGGCATTTATCAAGCAGAGCCAAAGTACGCAGGAAACCCAGGGTGTCGAGAACGTGGGCATATCGCCATAGTTAATTAACTTTAAAAATTAAGAACGAAGGATTCCAGAACATCAGGATCTCTCGGCCCTTCCCGCCTGTCTCGCCCAGCTCGCCGTTTTCGTCCATTGACTCCATTCTGGAATTTCCCGACCTCGTCATCGCGAATTGTCCGATATGAGCCGCGAAACGAGAAACGAGAAACGACAAGCGAGAAGCACACCGGAACGCAGATTGCGGAATGCAGAAAAGCGGGATTTCAACTCATCATCTCCTGCAGCTAGCCGGCCAAGACAGCGAGCCAAGCCAGCGCTTTCCTGCCTCTTCCCACTCTCGTGCTCTCTCACGCACACCTTTTGTACGATGTACGACTTCACAGCCTATGAATGAACGGCGGGTTTTCCTCTGCCAAGTCATGACAGCACCAGCAGACGGCTCGGCATCTTCGCTTCGAAGGGTATGTCATTGGTTCGCGTGTTGGGAGGGGCCCGGGGGGGGCACACCTTTTAAGGATTTAGTCATGCGCGGCAGTCTGAGATGGATGAATCTGGAGCTTGCCGAGCCCGCTGGTCGGGCCGTCTGGTGTGCATGGCGTGCATGGCGCGCATGGGAATGGGTGGTAGGTGGTGGTTCAGTTTGTGGTTGACGAGCTTGACTGGCCCTGTGATGCTGCAGGGTAAGCGGGGGGTTTCTGCTCCGACTTCTTGCAGGTTTTTGGGAGGGGGAGACGACAAGTCAAATGGGATGGACGGTTAGAGGTGATTGCCGTCGGACGGAGTTAAGGGTTGAAGTTTCCGAGGGTTGTGATGGCGTTGTTTCTTCGGGTGGGAGAGGACAAGGGTGGTTTTGACACTTGGTATTGATTTGACAGGGGGCTTGTTGAGCGCTGCAGTCGAAGAAGAGCCGCTGAGCGCGATGTTACTGGTGTCGCAACACCTTCCGCACTAGGTAAGTACGCCACCGAGATATCAGGTATAAAAGCCATCCACTCGGGCGTTTGATGATTATGCCTTCGAAGGTCGGGACCGGAGCCCAAAGCTTCCGAACAACGTCTTCACTCAAGATGGAAATCACCCCTGTGACAGCACATATGGAGTGTGGCGTACCGTCGTCTCCAATTTCTCCATGGGAAATGCCAGCGGGACGTCCCAGCATGGGCCTTGGTCTGAGGGGCTGCGCGGCCTCGTTAGCGCATGGTTAACTTTTCTGCAAAAGGAGACAACAAACGCCGAGGGTGGTGGCCGAATTCACATGACACAGAATCCTTATTAACCAACCAGCTATCCTAACTACTTAACAACTCATTAAAGATGGGGAATGATTGCCAGCCAATCCGGCATGTCATATGCGTTGGAAGGGAGCGACCGGAGGCCAGCAAGGTCTTCCGCAAAGATGTACCCCCGAACCACCACGTAGGCTAAACAGAGAATCCCGAGGCATGCGACCCATAACCTATTGACCGCCAACCGTGGGTCTTTGTTTTCGGCGAAATAATACAACTTCCGGTAGACGGTCTTCATAACCTCCTTGGGTGACGAGCGATGGGGCCTCGCCTCCACAACTATTATGCCTTGCTGGTGCTTTTCCTGCCCAACTATGACTTCCTGAGGCTCAAAAACCTGGTTTAAGACCGGGTCAAGCCTTTGAGCGAAACGCTTGTTTGCCGCAAGTTGGTCATATTTTTTCTCCAATAGACTTTTCTCGAAGGGGCGTTTTATCGGCATTATGGCCATCTTCGCCGGCGATAAACTGACGAACGCGTACACGTTGAAGACGATCATGAACACACTGGCAGTGCGCCACAATATTTGTTCAATAGAGGAAGGGAACACCGAGTTCCAAGCCATGAATGGGACGGAGGTGAAAATAGCGATGAGAAGCACGGCCCAGAGGTGGAGGTCGAGATCCATGGGGAGGAACAAATCGCCGGGTATCCTGTCCCACGGCTGGCTGTGCACATGTCGCATTAGAGGGGAAAAGCCTAAGATGCGCCGGGCCATGGTGTTGTAGAACTGCCACCAGATGTTGAATTCTGTTTCGTGACGGCTGATGAAGTCGAGTTGGGTGCGATAATAAGGCGGGAACGGACGGGTGCCTCGCTGGTCGGACGGAGAAAAGTAGCGTTAGAGTGGAGCAGATAATTAAACGGGGGAAAACGGGAGAGACAGAAAAAAAGAGGTATTACGTTGGTCATGATGAAGTCGATGTGTTCTGGCGACTTGAGAATGATGGAAGTTTGGATACCACATGGTTTGTCTTTCCAAAACCACGCCGTGCCGATGAGATTGATGACAAATGAAGCCGTGGTGAGCTCGATTCTGGTTACTGTCAAGCCCTGGATACCGCGTACGAGCAGGTTGAGACTGAACCAGATTGCCTGACCAACGGTGAGTAGTCTATGTCAAGAGTCATAAGATACCACCGTTAGCAACAACGTATTAGTGCATGAATGGGTGTTAAACATCTGAGCGTACCGGGACATCATATCGGCTTTATCGCGGTCCTCGATATCCCCCTTGGTGACGTTGGGATACTCGAGGAACTTGTGCTGTACTAGGTAGACTAGCTGCTCGCCATCTATAGGAATCGACTCTTTCAACCCGGGGGCCTCGAGACGGAAGCCGCCCATGTCGGTGAAAAACGCGTGGGTCATGGTCCAATCTGTATATCCAGCGTTATGGAATCCCTTTAGTAGAGGTGTCGTTGATTAGTTAAGACTAGCCTTTGAATCCTCGGAAGTTTGTAAGCCAAAACCTGCCTTAACCGATTGCCTCGCGGACGACTTCTGTCCCGCGGCTAGGATGATCAAGAACTCAGGACCAAGAAGGTTGAGACAGGCCAAAGCAAGTTTGTCTCGGAAGGCAGCCCATCGGCTGTCGCGTGGGGCGATGATGTTCGGGTACACCGAGACCCAACAGCAAAGAAAGGTTGTGGCGGCACATGTGAGAATGATGTTTGCGGTACCGCGTTGTGAGGGCCCCACGGTCCAGCCTTGAAATTGAGGGCTGGTCTCATTGTGATGATCCGCGGATGTGTTTTGGGCACGTTGGAGAAGGAGGGCTGCGGAGAGAAGTATGGGTGACATGATGAGGATGGTTATGGATTTGGCCAAGGAGAGGAACCAACATATAAGAGACTTAATTATTATCCGGAGAGGCCCTGGCTATTTTAACTTCCGGGGTTTAGCAGCTCACGGATGCAGTTTTGAGCATAATTACACTAATCCAAGACGGTTTTGGTTTGTCGGATCGAGTCGCTAAAGCAGGGGGCGTTGGGGGCCAGGTTGCGGGGGCTGTGTAAAAAAAAAAAATGCTGTTCAATTAGACGCGTCGAGCTTGAGAATAATTAATGTTAAGCGCCAGGCTTGCAGGGTGTTGGGCGAACCACATGTCGCAAGGAACGCCAAGCCTAACGCTGCAGACCTGACCACTGCATTGCTGCCTCGCACAAGGCCCTCGACAACAGCCGATTGCTTTCCCCAAACGTTGTCCTCAGCGATTTCCATGTTCGTGCATGATTCTGAGCAGCTCTGAGCTCGGGTGAGTGAGCCATGTGTGAAGTAAATAGTGTGGCCCACTTTTGGACCCTCGACTACTAACTATAATTAATTAGAAAAGAGAAAAGCGCGTTGTGCACTGGAAAGATGTGGTGCCAGAAAAGTAGGACCAAGGCTCTTCGTTTCAGCAAATAGGAACAAAGGAAACTAAATCCTGCATGGTTGCTGCAGATATACCATGCAACACTTGACATATCGGGCAATTAGGAGTGTGTGTGGATGGGAAGCTGGGGTAGCGGCCTGAAGTATTTATGTCTATTATTTCCTCACTTCCTCTTCCTTGCCCCCCATTCTTAAGTCAAACCTACCTTACCGTCCCAGAGCCCCTCTTTCACATCCTCTTTACCAACTGTGAATTAGTAGATTAACAAATAATTAGTTACTACTTTGCCTTCTGTTCAACGGCAGCAATCATGTTATATACAGAGCCGTTTCTCGAGGACACTGCTCCACTCAAGCTTCTATCACTCGGTAAGATGTGACTTTTATCTGCGATCTCCAATCTATTCCGATGTTGATATCCGATAATCTAGATGGAGGTGGCATTCGCGGCTTGTCGTCGCTTATCATCCTCAAACATCTTATGAAGATGGTAGACAGCAAGAATCCACCCAAACCATGCGACTATTTTGACTTGATTGGTGGCACTGGTACTGGGGGGTAAGGTCATTTGCCATGTGGATTCGTGCTGAGCTGTAGTCTCGTACCTTTTTTGTTATTAATTCACAACCAACAGACTCATCGCATTGATGCTCGGCCGGCTGAGAATGGATATCGACACTTGCGTAGAAAACTACAGGCAGCTCTCGCGTTAATCTGGTCGGTCGAGCGGTTGATTGGTGGAAGGCCGTGGCGTTTACGGGGGAGAAGGGCTCGCCGCCGAGTTTAAGGCCGCGACAAAAGATGCACTTGGCGATGAAGAGATGCCGCTTAAGGGTCTGGACAGTTCATGCAAGGTGTAAGCATTTTATCCCCCCAATCATCTCGTTGAGAATTTCTTAGGTTCTGTATCTCCCTTCCCGCCGAGTTCTGACAGACAAACCCTCAACGCAGGTTTGTATGTGCCTTCACAAAGGCCTGTAATACGCCTGCAGTCCTGCGCTCATACGACACCGAGGACGCGGTTGACTCATTGTCGACGTCGAATTGTAAGATTTGGGAAGCTGCACGGGCGACATCGGCTGCAGCGACGTTCTTCAATCCCATCACCGTTGGTTTCCAGGAATATGTAGATGGTGGGACTGGACATAACAATCCCGTCGAGATCGTGCTGGAAGAAGCCAAGTCGATCTGGAAAGATGCTGCCACAAGGATCCAGTGTCTAGTCAGTATTGGCACCGGCGTGCCGGATCCTAAAGATTTTGGTGACAATTTGAAAGAGGTAGTTGAAACGCTGAAGGCCATCTCCACCCAGACTGAGGCGACTGAGATGCGCTTCTGCAAAAATGCAAAGAGCTTGGGTGTTGGTGGGCGGTACTTCCGGTTCAATGTCACTAGAGGTCTTGGGGATATTGGTGTCGATGAGCATGACCAGAAGAGCTTGAGCGGTATTGCAGTGGCATCCGAGCGTTATCTGAAAGAGCCAATGGTCGGAGAACGAGTTCAGAAGTTCTTATGCGCTAGATCGGAGCAACACGGTACGTGATTGCGGTTTATTCGAAACCGTATGTCTTCGTATTCGAATCCTATATCTTTTCCCTTCTGGCTGACCTTCTCCTTGTAAATAGTGCTAGTTAAGTCGGACCCCCCCCCTTTGGAACACCCCACCTTTGGAACACTTGGCAAACCACACCGCTTTTCAACCACTTCAACTTCAACTTGCCACAACTCGGTCAATCTTTGGTCAAATAAGCCCATTTTTTGAACACAACTCTGTTAGTTCAAGATGCAGTATACTGAACAAGATATACAAGATGCGATCGCAAAATACCACGAAGGTCGCCAGTCATTGCGCAAGATCAGTCGCGAATTCGGTATTCCGACCACTACCCTCTACCACCGTATTCAGGGTACACAGACCCGTTCGGCAGGGGCCAAATCGCTCCAGATCCTCAGTCCAGTGCAAGAAGCCCACCTTACGCAGTGGGTTTTGACCCAGGTAGCCCTCGGTC